TGCCCCGGAGTCCCTGGTACCCAAGGACTGACTGGACCACCTGGCCTTCCAGGACCCCCTGGACACCCAGGCTCCCCAGCGTCTTGCTGCGGTTAGAAACAGAAACCATGAAAACAAGCTGCTGAAATATTTGAATTTGCGATTTCGATAACTTTTTCGTTTGCGTTTTACATTTGTGTCATTTTCTTCGTCTTGGAGATATATGTTGTTTTAAGGAAGCAAAAGAAACAATAAATTAGGCATTATGAATCAAAGTGGTTTCATTTAGTCCGTTCAACTCGTTCCTGATAGAATGCTTTTAGTCACGAGGGCAGCAGCTTTGCAAATTATTGGAACAAAAGAAAGTTTTTCAAAACAAAAAGGTTCAACTCCAACGGGACTGATTTGGGACACAAACTTGGCCACCATTTCTCTTTTTTGGGATACCAATATGGTGGAAGTGACGTCGTTTGAAAATGATCCATGAGATTTTATTGAAGTATACTTTATTTATAAAGTAGCAGTGCGATGGAGTCACAGACAATGAAGATAAACTATGACAGTCCTTTTTCTCTGGTTTAGCAATGACTGATTTAACTCGAATTTTTTCAGATGATTTCCAGTTTGTTGCTTGTCAGCAAATAGTAGTTACTGCGTAATTGCGTTCAGCAATGACTGATTTAACTGGAATTTTTTAAGAGGATTTTCAGCCTTTTGCTGTAAGCAAAATTGTAATTAGTGCGTAATTGTGCATATAGAGAAGTAGTACGCGCACATATCCGGTGATGGGATGTTTAGGTTCCTTACCGGCTAAATAAGTAAAAGTATTGCGTGATACAGAATTACTGCTGAGATTCTTTCCTTTTCCTCACTGCCTTAAGATTAATTCCTTTTAAAGGCTCATTGGCAAGCAGGAAATACATTAACATACAAATAAGTTGGTTATGCTACAAGACACATAATTTTAAGGGCAAATGTCCCGCCTCGAGGAATAATGTCAGTAGTACCTAAACTATAAGCGTCAAAACACCCTCAGTTCACCATCTTTCCACTCCGTGTATTGTTTTACATCAAAAATTCCTTTTAAATTTTATATCACATCCCCACAAAAAATATTACAAACCGTTCGCGCCGGGAATCAACCCCAAACCTCTTCGTCAGAGGTTGTACTCAAGGGAAACGGAAAACTTCAACAGCTGACCTATAACAATGTATATGAGAGAAGTTCCCTGTCGTAATAATAATGATTGCTAAGTTCTACAAGGTCAAATTTGATAAATTATATTAATGTGAATTCTAACCTGTCATTTAAAGATGGTCACAAATGGGCATATCCTTGTCAACGCTGTGGCACTTCAGTACTGTTTTTTCTGTTAAATACACCTGTGGATGAGCAAGGAGTGTTGCTTTCATAAAATTGTTCTTTATTTAAAAAGAGCACTCAGATAGAAGTGTGGTTATTGAGCTCACGGCCCAGAACGTTTAGACGAGATTTTTCTTTTAACTGGGTCATAGTATCCATACATGACAATGTACAGAAAGAAGACCCTGTTGATACAATTCTGTCTTTTCAATATCACGCCACCAAAAATAAAAATGGAAGCCAGTCAATACATAAAGTCCAGAATCTGGGAAATGAAAGAAGATAAATAAACAGAAAGCCTCGCCTAGAATGAAGTCGATGTGATAACTCACAAGCAAGATATTCGGAAAAACGCTTTACCCAAATTTATAAGGCTTTCTATGGAGACGCCATGATGGTGTCCCTGTGAGGGACACAAATATGGCCGCCGGAAACCAACAGAAACATCTGTTTTTGAGTTTTCCTACTTATGCGTGAATTCATCGCTTGAAGAACTCACAAAGATTAAAATAATATTTATTCTAAGACAGGGAATGATTAGATAGCAAATCTCAAAAAAAAATAGTAACGTTTTTAACCCACACAAGAGCTTTCCCGGTCGCCAGCTAAATGCCGCGTCACGCAAAAGCCTAGAAATTTAGGCGTCTTCTATTGCAAAACGAGGAACCCTTTGGAACCGAAAATGTGTGTAAATAAAAGATTTTAGGTGCTGCAATACCTCATGAAAGTAGAAAATCAGAAGAATCGATAGTTTCTTAGTTTGACTTTTGGCGACGTCACGTCAAAACCCCTAATATGCTAATAAATAGCTATTTCCTTCTGAGAAGATTCAAGAGATGACAGTTTGTAACGTGTTGAATTTTTATGTTTCACTCAGTTTGGTGGTGGTATCCACTGCCTGAGTTTTGATTAATTTCGTGACATAGCTCCTTTGAGGTTGTAGACTCTTGCGAGTTGACGTAGCTTCATGTAAATGTTTTGATGATTTCACTTCACAGCATACGATTCCAAAACCGACGCTCTGTTATCCTGAGTCCACTCCAGGAGCTCTAATTTTTAAGTATATGGATAAAAATTGCTGACTATGTTCATTAAAACCTCCTCGAGAGTATGTATCCACTCGGTAATTCCTATATTTCTGGAAGATTTTAATATGAAAAAAAATTGGCAGTGTTTTATTTTTTTCCTTTTGAGAGTTTTGGTTTTGTGACGGAGAGAACGTGGATTAAAAGAGTAGAATGGGTTAGGCAGTGGTTTTAAAGTATCTTTTGTTTCCATCTTTACTTTCAGTTACAAGACAAGGGTTGGATCCACCGTTGCACGAACAAATGGATGTAATACTCACATGTACGTTAGCTGCCAGTCAAGATTCCAAGGGTTTAATACCCTGAAAGAAAAATATCGCATAAGACATATGGTACAGTTAAAAACACAATCGAAATTGTTATTTCTTAGGAATCTGTAATGATAAGGAAAAAAATTCAAGACCCCAAGTTGAAAACCAGCTGCGCCCTGGTATTTCACACATTCCACATCCACCAGCCATACCGTGTTCATTTACCAGCAAACACATAAGAAAATAAGACGAAACAGACTCTCATATACCTCCTCAAATTAAAACACGAAAAAATCTCCTTTTCTGTCAAAATATTCGCTCCAACTTGTTTGCTTAACTTATCTTGAATGAATAAAGCATGATTTTGTGCGCACCTGGGAAAACTCAGACATACACTGCGCGCGACTGTGCTGAAACTGGTTGGCTTTCCCTGGTTGAGTCTCTTGTTTCTGTCTGTGTATTAATTTGTTTCTTTTCTTCTTTTTGAACAGACCGTCTAATGTTTTATGGCGATAGAAAGTACATTTGGAGCACATTTTTACTCACAGCATTATAGTTTAAGCGACATAATCAAAACTAGACAAAAAAGACAACGTTCAGTGAAGAAAATCCAACTTGTGATAACATTAAACTGCAGTTTCAGGTTTTAACACCTAATGCAAGGGTTGCCTCAGTAAGAAACTCCCACGGTTGTCAAAAGAATAACATATGACACCTGCTATGTCGACTAGCACTTTAAGACAACCAGAGCCCATTCAAAGAGAAATACAAGCACACTGAAATTTGATTGCAATACCGACACCTTGGGCCACACCCGTCAAAATTAGTCATAGCTTGCCTGTATCCTTCACACCTCTACTGTCAGGGATAAACCAAAAAAAATAAAAGAGAAAAAGAAAGTTGAAAACTTTAGCTCTGAATAGAAAAAACAAGCAAAAAGTAAAAAAAAATGGTTTCTGATAAAAACCACTTTGAAATTATCGAATGAAAAGAAATCTCACTGACGCAAGTCCATGAATCAAAAAATTTCACACCATTAATTATGAATAATCAGTAGAGTGATGTCACAAGTGATTAAAAGTGGGCGACTAGAGAGGATCAAGACACTATTCACTGTTGTGAAGGCACGCTTCAGGTAACAATTACTTCCTTAGTTCTTTTAATATTCTAAACAGCATCAACTGTAATTTTATGCAGAGTAATTTGCATCTCTACATTTCAAAATAATCTACAAGACACGCCTTTCCGTGGGAAAAGCCTGCACCATGAGGACGAACCCCCTTCAAAATGAGTTGACGCTGCTCGTGGCAAAGCGAGTTTTATTTACTTTAAGGGAAAACAGAGATGATTGCTACACGTATATCTATTGCAAAAGTCCACCCTTAACACATTGTTCTCTTCTTTACAGGGCACAAAATGAGTCTGTCTTTTGCTCTTTTACTGACAGCCCTAATGGCTGCTTCAACGACCGCCAAATCAATTCGAAAAGAAAGTAAGTGAATAAATCGTAGACTTCTTAAGACTTAACTACAATTACTATCTTTTCATTCCAAAGCTTTTGGGAGCACATGTAATTTAGTCTGAGCTTTTCATTCTGAAAATGAAATTCACGCATGATTTGATCACTGGGATAAATTCTCTCAAAAGCGTTTTCAGGCACGTGGTTATTGTTTATAAATAAATGTAGATCACAATTATGTAAACATCATTTTATGAAGCACCCTTAATCACTTCAACTATTTGTCAAATTTCATCTTGACCATTAACTCTCATAGCATAATTTCCCTGTCAACACTGAAATTTCATTAGGATCGTATTAATTTTTATTTCAATATTTAACTTTTAGAGAGAAAGAATTCATAAACTATAAAAAAAGGTTTCTCAATTTCATACTAACAGTTCGCTAAAATGACATATTTTACGGGATGGACAAGATCGCATAGGTTTCATTAAAGATTTTGTCCATAGTAATGGAATTTTTTTTGTTAGTAACAAGCAGGTTTCAATCACTACCCGCAAGAAAAAAGTCCAAAGCATAACATTCAAAATCATCTGTAATTAATATATATGAAGCGCGATACGCCTGCAGAGAGGAATAAAAATTGGTTATTTGATCATGAGTAGCAGGCCAAGCATTTTACTCAATCATTCTGTAAGTAAATGCAATTTAACCTTATCACAAAGCGCTTTAACTTGAGCAATACTACAATATACCATTTGTAGGAGTTAAAAGGCACAGATATGGGTTTATAAAAATAATATTAAATACCTGAGGTGACAATTATAGTTTATAGGCTGTGCTCGTTTAACTACCATTATATCTTTTCAGGTTCAAAGAGGTGCTGTCCACCTCAAGCCTCCTCCACCTGCACGCTCCTTCCTCCATGCCCAAGCCCACCACCACCACCGCCACCTCCTGGTCCCTCCGGACCCCCTGGACCTCCAGGGCCCCCAGGACTTGTAGGATGTTCAGGCAGTCCTGGAATGGCCGGCTGTGCCGGAATGAAGGGCGAACCAGGAGCACCTGGACTTCTAGGACCCCCAGGGACTCCTGGACTACCTGGTAAAGCTGCTCTCCCTGGGCCACCTGGACCACCCGGATGTATGGGATCAGCCGGTGCAGCCGGTTGTCCCGGCTTTAAAGGTGCCCCTGGTGCAATGGGTCCACCCGGTCCACCAGGACTTCCAGGGAAGGCTGCCCTACCAGGACCACCAGGACCAGCAGGATGTAGAGGGGCACCCGGTGCTCCTGGCTTCCCAGGATGTAAAGGCGCCCCTGGACCAATGGGACTTCCTGGTCCTCTCGGACCTGCTGGAAAACCTTCTTTACCTGGGCCACCCGGACCACCTGGAAGCATGGGACCTCCTGGTACTCCTGGATGCATGGGTTTGAAGGGATGCCCAGGAGCTGCAGGTGCCCCCGGACTTGTGGGACCTGTTGGCCCTCCTGGACCACCTGGACCACCAGGACCCCCAGGATCAGCTCCTGCACCGTGTGCTAGTACCTGTGGTGGAGGGTGTTGCTAGAGTTAAAATCTGAAAAGATTGTGATGATGAAACATAAAGGCCACGAAAAAAGGAATATGAAAGCTTCTTTCTAGATTCTCCAAGATTGACACTATGATCGACATCTCTAAAAGAAAGAGCCCCTTTGTTTGCCCACTTCAAATGTGCTGAAAATGTACAGATAACATTTTCCAGTAGCAAATAAAGTATTTCTTTGTTATACAGATTGCGCTTCCTTGATACGTCCGGAGACAATATGTTTCTAGTATTTTTCTTCCGAAATTACGACTATGACATTCACAGTCTTTTTTTAAGACAGATGCATTATCCATGTATGACTTCCGCTGTTGTCAGTGAACCTGAGTGGGACAACCTCACTGAAGTTTATTGCCATCTTGAACATCACATTGGCGCTTTCGTAAACCATTTCCTTCTTTAGTAGCTTAAGAAGAGCAACTGCCGATTTTTTTGGTCGAGATATTTCAAATTAAGTTAATAATATTGTTTCACGACCTTTGATATCTGAAAAATAGGGCTATCACTACAAATCAAGGTTTTCATATGATGTCAGCAAAATTCAAACTAAGAAACTATAGATTCTTCTGAATTTCTATTTAATGAGCTATTAGGGCACCTTAACGCTTTTATTAATACAAATTTTCGGTTCGAAAGGGTTCTCCGTTTACGATAGTGGACGCTTGAATTTCCAGGCTTTTTCGTGACGCGGCATTTAGCTGGTGACTGGGAAAGCTCTTACTTATGAGGGTTCAAAATGTTGTCGATTTTTTGAGATTTTAAAATCTGAACATTCCTTGTCGCAGAATAAGTATTACTTTAATCTCTATGAGTTCCTCAAGCAATGAATTCACGCATTTGTAGGAAAACTCAGAGACAGATGTTTCTGTTGGTTTCCGGAGGGGCCATATTTGTGCCCCTCAAAGGGACACCAGCATGGCATCTCCATACAAAGCTTTTGGGGTAAAACGGTTCTCCGAATATCTCGCAAATAAAATAGCGCAAAGACCTGATTATTGGCAAATGCTGTTTGTTTATTTATCATCATTTGTTTTCCAGATTCTTCTCTTTCTGTATTGAATGGTTTGCATATTTATTTTTGATGGCGTGACAGTGAAAACAGAGAATATTATCATTACTGTTCGCAGTTTTAATTATTTCTCTCGTTTTGACTGCATGGACAAGATTTAAATAGTTTGAGAGTATTAAACCACCAAGAAGTGCAAAAAAAATCTCAGCTATAGAGGGTTTGTCAAATGAACAATAAATTTTAGTACGGTGGCCGGTTCTATCAAAGGTTGACAAGACAAGCCAGGTGATTTTTTGGTAAGATGGCTGGTTGTGGATTGATTGAATAACAAACAGCAAATTTTACCAAAGCATGGCTGATTCTGGGCCCAGATGTCAGCTGAGATGTCGCAAGGTCGATTTTTCACTAAACCGGTGTTAAATTTTAATCCGGGTTCCTGTTTCTTTCGTTCGAAAGCGTTTTGCTTCTATATTGTTCAAGAAAAAGGGTAAATGTTAAAGGAACACCAGGAATCTTCTTTGTATGCGTTCAGATTTGATGCCAAATTTTGCCCTAATATTGGGTTACTTTAATCCTCGTTACAACAAGCGGGGCAAGATATATATGTATTGTGGCCGTAATGGAAAGCCCTAGCGTTGTGAGACAATCTTGTTTGGGAGGAGGGGGGAAGCGACAATTGTCGAACACTTCTTGGCCTCGGCTGCCTACGTTGCGAGATAGCACAGCCTAAACGCCTATCTTTTGAAAAGAACCACTGAAAAATGTTGGGACAAAAAGCAAACGAAGTCGCTTTGACGCAAACTCTACGAATCCAAGATTACAAGAATTTTAGTTTCATCCTCTAAGTCGATAAAGCAGTTTTTTTTACCGTGATGAAGAATCAAAAGCGAATTGGCTCCAACTGGATTCGTTCGAACAGAGGGTTACCGTTCAAAACGTCAGCTTTCGTATCTCCCTACTGTAGAAAATTTCCTTAAAACTTTATTGGTCCTTTTTCCCACCAACGGCGTAACATCTTTTGAGTCAAAATGAAATAACATCGCCATCAATTATGCATATTCCACGAAGTGACATAATAAGTGTTTGATAAGATGAACACATTTCACAGTTCTAGAGAAACGGTTCAGGTAGGGTTGATTCCCCCAGTTTTTTTTTTTTTTTTTTGTAATTTTCGAACAAGCCTCTCCTATAAGGTAAACTATCTTCATACCCTTCTTTATCATTGAATACAACCAAAAAATGAAGTTAGAACTGTTCTTTTAAAATGGAATGTACAATAAATTGGTTACCTCAAATCAAATTGTCATATAGAATGCAATATTCTTTTCTTCACAGGCATCAAAATGAGTCTGCCTTTTTTTCTGTTGGCAACAGCCCTTTTTGCTGCTTCATCGATCGCAAAGTCAATTTCAAAAGAAGGTAAGTTGATAAATTGTAGATCACTAGGGTTGACTAAGATTGTCTCGTTTGAGACACAAAAATGTCGATGGCGATATGTAATGTAGTATGAGCTTTTGATTCTGTGAATCACTAGACTCGGTGTTTATTTCAGCGTAGAACAATTTTCCCAAAAGTGAACATCGGATGCGATTATGTAAACAGCACTATGAAATACCCTGTAAATCTGAAGATTATTCGGTCACAATACATTTACCTGATTCAACATTCACCATAACCTCTGAAAGCATCAAATAATTCTGTTAAAAGCCTTGTCATTGCTTGAGAGTTGTGTTAAGAGAAATCAGATTTTATTCTCGAGGAGACTCTTTTTATCTTGATAAAATTTTTAGCTTTTTAAATGCGCAATTCAACCATTTATACGATAAACTATTTATCTTTTGGCTCTGTCCATCAGATTCTAAATCTGTTGCAAACATCATTTTTCGGCAGTTTTGTTAACTATGGGTAGACGTTACTGGTACTTGTAAATCGAAAGGACATCGAAGTTAGTAAAAACCAATTCAAGCATGCAGGAATAAATGGGTTAAAATACGTAGGGTTAGGTTAAAACCTTAGGAAAAATGACACTGATTTTGTTATATTTTCTTAAGGGAAGGAATAGAAATCTGAATCTTAAGATGGTTAGAAAAATTAGATTTACCTGTAATGAGGATGGTGACACTGTGATGTATTCGTGAGATGTATCATAAAATATACATTATCAATGGCGCAAGGATAAGCAAAAAGACCCACACGCTTTATCCCAACGAGTTGTCTCGACAATGTCAAGCTAATATTTCAATGAACCTGCGTACCAGTCGCGAAAAATAGATCAATCCTACTGGCCTTATGCTTCGGAAATTTGGTGAGTGAGATGCCATTAAAAGAAACATGCTTTCCGCCTCTTCTAAAAGATGGGCTTTCTACATCTTGCAGTCGAAAGAGCTGTTTAATTATTATTATAGTTATTATTATTATCATCATTATTATTATTGATGTTATTCACTCCACGAAGAACTTCAAAAAACAAAACACTCGCAATAAATAAGCCTTTCGCAAAGCTGATTTTCTTCTATACATTCTATAGTTAGTTTAGTTCAGTGTTATACAAACGAAGTTAGAAAATTAACAATAATATGTTGGTTCTTTACGTGTTTACTTATATTGGGCACGTTGTGATTTTTTATCAGGTACAAAGAGGTGCTGTCCACCTCAAGTCTCCTCTTCATGCACACTCGCTCCTCCTTGCCCAAATCCACCACCACCACTGCCACCTCCTGAAGTCTCCGGACCCCCTGGACTTCCTGGACCCCCAGGACTCCCAGGATGTTCAGGTAGCCCTGGGATGTCCGGATGTGTCGGAATGAAGGGCGAAGCGGGACCACCTGGACCTCTAGGACCCGCTGGACCTCCCGGACTACCTGGTAAAACTGCTCTCTCTGGACCACCTGGACCACCAGGATGTATGGGGCCACCCGGCTCGGCCGGTTGTCCCGGCTTTAAAGGTGCCCCTGGTGCAATGGGGCCACCCGGTCCAGCAGGAATTCCGGGAAAGCCTGCGCCAATTGGCCCACCCGGACCAGCAGGATCTAGGGGAGCACCTGGGGCTCCCGGTTGTCCCGGACTTAAAGGTGGTCCTGGACTGATGGGTCTTCCTGGTCCTTCTGGACCTGCAGGAAAACCCTCCCTCCCTGGCCCTCCCGGACCACCTGGCTGCATGGGACCACGTGGTTCTCCAGGATGCATAGGTCCAAAAGGATGCACAGGAAATGTTGGTGCTCCAGGGCTCGTAGGACCCCCTGGCCCTCCCGGATTACCCGGACCACCTGGACCAGCACCCTGTCCGGAAGCGCCTGCTCCAGCGCCTTGTCCCTGTCCTCCCCCCTGTCGTAGATAAGATAACCATGACGATAACGATGCTGGAAACTGAAGGTCTGCGAGAAAAATATCAAAGTCCCACTTTGCATGAAAGAAATAAACACTAGTCATCGAGTAACCTTCCTAAAGGAAGTAGCATTTTGAATGCACTTTTCTGTATCGTGTGTTTAGAATGTTTACGATAAGGCAAATAAAGTACAACTTCGATATAATGCATTCCACTTGATTGTTTTACCATTCACTCTGTTATATATCTAGAGTATTGTGTGCGATTTACAGCTCTCATAATGCAGTCACATCACTACTAAATGGCTTTCTTTGCCCGGGTTTTTGTAACACGTTGCATCACCTGAGAAAACCTAACAAGTTATAAGCACAACATTTGAAACCAAAGCTTTCCTGTTCTACAGCATTGGTAAATAAATAGCAGTTTATAATCTGTTCGGTGGGGAGGGTGCTTGTGGATGGATTTATGTAGACTTCAGACAGAAAGTCCAATTGAAAACTTACTTTTAGGAAACAGAAAAAGGAGAGTTCAGGAATAAGTAAAAGATTACCCAGCCAAAGTTTTACTGAGATGAGGCAGGTTTTACTTGCCGAGCAGGACAAAAGCATAAAATTGTCTTGCATCTATGATCTTTCTGACCTGCATGTACTCGATCCTAAGATGGCGAAACACACAACTGCTCGAAAACTACTGTTATATGGTTCTCGAAGTTCACGTGCATTTGACAACCTTGATTAAACACCTAACAATATATAAAAATATATTGAAAATATATTGTCGTGTTGATCCGGTCGCTTTCCTAGTTACCGTAAACTTCAGTACAAACAATTAAACCTCAAAGCCTTCTAAGACCTGTTTAACAGCCATGAGCTTCGAAAGGGACTATACCATACTACCTTCTCAGAAACAGGATACCCAGTTTTGCACGCAACCCAACACTCAACATTTTTTTTTTATTGATAAAGTGAAATTAGCGCTAAAATTAGCACATCGTAAAGCGAGGGATGGAATCTACTCAGCAAATCACGAGGAAGAAATTATTCATTGAATTGTGCCCGCTCGGCTGGTCAAAGCTGTGTCAAGATTTTACCTATCACTGGTTGATGACAAAAATACATTTCTAAAAGCAAGTGCTTTGCACGAAATAAGATGTTAGAACAACCATTAAACTAAGTACGTTAGACGTTGGTTTGCTTTCGGTGCTATTCTTTTTTCCCCGTAGAAAATTCAAGACAGCCTTTAGAAATGAAAATCTAGTTAATGTTCTTTCAATGAACGAATCAGGATATATTGAGAAAGGAATCCCTTTTTCTTGAGTGGCAGAATTAAGACAGCCCAAAAAGCTTTCCAACCACTGATTTATGTCTACACCAGGTAGATTGGGATGCCATAGGAAGGATAGAAGTCCTACTGGTTTACGTACCACATCTGTAAGTCCTGCTGTGAACACTTGGAAAAGAGGAAAGCACAAAACGCACTTTTGTCAAGAACGAAACATGAACGGGTGGCATATATTAAACACGAAAATGACTTCCTGACATTCTTCATGGATACTTTAAAAGGTCTGTCATAGTTACCAGGTAGATACGTCAACGCCCAACATGGAAATTAAATTCAATGCCGGTGCCTATGTGAGGTAAATGGATGATCATGAGGAGCCGTTTCTACTGGGAAATTGTAGTATTAAATTTAACTGTGAGCTATAGTTAAGATACATCTTTTTCCATCATTGCCTTTGAACTGGTTGTTTGAAAACTTAATCAAGTTCGATCATTGAGGGACTGGCCTGGCTAAGCAATTGACGTGAAAAATTAGCTATTAACATGTATTCTTAATATAAACACACACCTCAACGATACGAATTCTATTTGAATTCCCTATAACTATATACAAATCGATCTTAATCACTAAAAGTTAAAACATTTGGCTATTTTCGTAGTCCTTTTGAGGTGTGTGAGAAAAATTCATCGAGAGCTAGTCATCTCGATAAATGAATTAAGGTGACGCAAGGTGGTCCTAAATAATTTACATCGATCACGTCAGATAAAAGTTGTAATGAAGTAACAAGGCACTGGCAACGCAAGTCTTAGAAACAAGTCTACGGCAAACCAGGTAAGAACGTCTAAAGTTCTAAAATTCTGAGATTCAAAGGCGAAGTATTCACTTTGTGGAAGCCACAAAGCTTCCAGCCATAGGTAAGTAGAGAAAGATTGTAAATCAAGACAGATCATTTTAGCCAAACAGATGTTGTCAAAAGCGGCTAAAGTAATTATCAATTAAGTGTGACTCAATCCAGCATACACACAATTTCTTTAGTGGTCTGTTCTACAGTGCATATCGGACTAGTTTCGCATGCCACTTCCTCGAGCTCCCTACTTCATTATCATCCCAAACCGTGGCTTCCCCTCAAATAACAACACGGTAATTTAATCTCTGGAAGCTACCAATAATTCGAAGAAATTATACTTTTTCCCAAAAAGATTTTAAAAATCGAGTAAGGTGCTGGATTGCGATAAATAAATTCAGTGCTGAAAAGAACGAGGTATATAACAAATGTGTTGTTTTGTTATTCAATGAGTTGCAAATAAGGGTGTTTTTTTATTTTTGTTCTAATGTATTTACTTCCAATGCATGTTCCTATTATAATATATTTTAAATCTATCGACAGGAAAATGAATCTTCGGATAATTCTGTGCGTTGTATTCACCCTTGCCACCTTAGCGACTGCCAGATCACCCAAAAAGGCAACGACTCGTCAAGGTAAGTGCATAACGTAATGGAAAAAAGGCAAACAGAGAATCACAGTTGGTTCAATTATTAGAGTAACGTATTAGCCGACGTACCAGTTTCAAAAAAAGGAAAAACTCCAAGCGGAAGCGGTTGACAGTTATCAAGTGAAAATTTAGTCCAAGCGTTTAAGAAAACATGAAAACGTGTTTTTGGAGGTTATCTTGGTCTTTCACTTATAAAATTTCAAAATATTTTCAGATATAAGCAAAATGTAAGGTCTTTCAATGTCTAGACTGTATTTGACAACATGGAAACTGGTTTTTCCAGTTTAGAGATTCTCCAGGAGCCAGATCCTTGACAGAGATCAGCTTAACTAGTGATTTGAAATACTTTGAAACTTTTTGACGGTTAATATTAATCTACATTTTTTGACGGTTGACGGCAAAAAATATCACCTTTCGCGACGGCTGACGGTTAACCCCATTGAGAGCCTCTTATAGAGGATGTGACCACGCGATATCGATGTCGAAAGAGCTTTCTTCTCTTCATGGTCTTGGATAGAGTCCATAAGCACTCATCTCCAGCAGCAAAATTCTGCCTACAGATAAAACTTTACCGAGGCTGAGCTATGTAGACGGGATAGGGTTTGAAAAAACACAAAGTTATTTTTTAAATGACGCATTTTCGCTGCTGTCGTCATCATGGATGCTTTATCTCCCCATTAAGAAATTCCTCATGAAGTCGTCAACTCGGTGCAAACCTCTGATAATAAGCGTGTAACTATTAAACAAAAACTTATCATAATCCTTGTAAACTTAGTCATCAAAACTTGCTTTAGCTAGTAGAAGGACCAGTACCGCAGATACAGGTGGCTTCTGCTGCTAGTTTGACATAAAGGGGTTACCCACCTCAGCTTCCCGCCTCCCCCAACACCGCGAAACGAAAAAAAAAGGAAAAGGGGATTATTTTATGGGAGAAAAGGTACAACTTTGTTCAGTAGGTTTACCAGGTGTTTAAAGCCACTATACCTCAATGGGTGATATGATCCGTTGGAGCGCGTGTCATTTTGTAAGAAGGTCACCGTACTTACATGATTGACAGTTATGTTTGATGACTGACGCAGCTGAATTTTATTCCTTTCGTATATAAAGTCGATAATACGCTTTTCCCTAGCACAAATTAATCGTAAAGAATGCTGAATTCTTACTGTGAGTTTTAAGGATACTGAGGAAAAATCTCCCTTTATTTGGCGAAGGCACTTTCAAGGATCAAAGTTATTACGCGTCTTTAATAAAATATCCTTATCGACACAATATTAACTAGATACAACTGGACTACAACTGGAGCAGAAAAAGAGATCAGAGACGGCAAAGAAATAATATGACGAATCGCTTCCATCGAGATTTTTAGAGCTCATATAATGCAACATACCAATGACATAGATCTAAATACTGTTTGTCACCTAACCCTAGGTTTTCAAATGCTATTTTCCGCACAATCTTAATCTTACTGCGGAGCAAGTTCAAATGACCGCAGCAATCCAAGGATCGAACTTCATTACGCCTAGGTTACGTGTCGCTGAGTTTCACGGCAAGAGTATCATTATACAACTTTCTAGCTTCGCTATCGTCTGTCCAAACAATAATCAAGTATTGCTTTCAAAGTTTAACTTCAATACTTACAAAGTATAGCTTATAAAATATGTCTGAAGAACGAGTGTCAATCTAGACGAGCAACACAACTAAAAGAAAGCAATAAAACAAGGGCCCATCAAAAGTATGAGTATTGGTAGATCGAGTTATATTTAATTACTATATGGTGAAAATCGCGAAAGGCTCTTGAGGGAAAAGAATTACGCACAAGTGTGTGACAATTACTACGTTATTGCGCTTATTTCAAACTAACTCCATGAGAACTTACATGTCTGTTCTTTGCATTTAAGGTTAAAAAGTATGACAAGAGACTTGCAGCTAGTCGTAAAGTCTTCTTAATACAAACGACAAACGTACCTTTGCCTCGCCGAATTTTCCATGTTGTTTTGTTTGTTTGTTCGTTTGTTTTTTGGCAGGCCCGGGTCAGCAGAAAAAGAGACATTATAAGCAAGAAAGAGACACTTCAGGTAGAAAATTTCTTTTACGGTACAGTTCATGGTACAGTTCACATGAAGAATGATATGTCTTGAATTCTATAGGAATATTTTAAGCCACATCTTACTTAAAACAAGTGGCTGTTTTTATTAACGTCTAGCGTCAAAAAAGTGCTGTGTGAACCCAAACGACCAAACAGAAAAGCCCAACTGTGTTACCCCGCCAGTACCACCATGTCCAGAAGGAGCAACAGGAGGTCCTGCAATTACTGCACCTTCGCCAGTACAACCAGGACAAGCCGGATCACCGGGTGGTGCTGCAACAACAACGTCAACGGAACAACCAGGAAAACCGGGAGGTGGTCAGGGTCCTGCACCAACACAGCCACCACAACAAACGCCGGCGGCATCACCAGTTCCCGCACCGAGTTCAGCAGAAAGGAAACCTGAAACGCCTTCGTCTGCCACACCGCCACCAGGACAATCGGCAGCTGTTGAAAGTACAACAACAAAACCTCCACAACAAACGGAACAACCAGGATCTCCTGCGGGTCCCACAACACAGCCACCCCCTGTGGAACAAACAGGACAACCGGAAAGCGCTGCTGGCCCCGCACCAGCTTCACAACCAGCCAAACCTATATCCCCAGCAGGCCCCGCGCCTCAGCCTCAACCACCTGTAACTCCTGAACCACAGCCTCAACCACCACCACCACCAGAAAAACCAGAGAAACCGGCATCCCTTGCAGGACCCTCAACGCCACCACCTCCGGGAAAACCTGGAAAAGAAAAATGTCCGCCCGGGACACCAAAAGTTGAGTGTACTCATACATTTTCAGCAGGCGTAAAGGTGTCGGTCAAGGCTACCACAGGTAGCTCAACAAAATAACAACCCAGCGAAGGGAGAAAAGAGAGTATAGGTGATCTACCTATAACATATGTTGCAATAAAAAAGTTAAAGAAAAGTAGGTGGCCTACAATTGACTTATTTTAATGCTAGAAAATACGAATTTAACAAAACGGTGACACTGAGACCATCCCTTAGAAAGAAGTAATTCACGGAAGCCACTTCATTTGCTCCGGGTCGCTGATTCTGTTCCCCAGGCGGCACGTAAGAGCGAGGAAGAAGAGCGAATGGCAAGAATGAAAACAAAAAAATTCAAATATATTCGCCAAGGATACGCCAACAAACACGATATTCCACGCAATAACAAAAACGCTGCCACAAAACGAACAGAACAGGCTTTCCTTTCAACTTTTAAAGTAGTTCCCATTACACAGAGTGATATGATACTGATTGGGGGACTAGATTGATCGTTCCATGCTCAGGGTGGTGTTTTAAGGCCTTATCACAAAATCACGTATATTCAGCCTAAAATGTTAGACATCACTGTAAAACTACGGGGGAGAAGACTATAAAGATTCGTTCCCGTGGGTGATTCCCGTATCAGTAAAAAAGAAATAACATGGATGCTCGCCGGAATCTTAAGCAAAGTACCTAGCTTTTTGAGAAGAATCCACTTTTCAGCATAAAACAACCGAATCTGGCTCTTTAATGCCAAATCAGGTGAAAAAATCGGCAAAGGGGATTTATAGGTTTTTTGATTAAGCTCGATATATTAAAATTCTAACATGACTTCGAGGCTTTCTGGTCATTTTTCTATGTTTGGTTTGGTTTTCATTGTTCTTAATCCTCTTCTGGGGATTACAAGACAATGGAGTCGTCAAAAATTTGCAATTTTGACGCTGAAGCCTCGGTGTCATGTTAGAATTTTAATATATCGAACGTGGGCTATTGAATGAGGCTTTAGGATCAGAAGAATAACGCAGAGCGAGGAGGGTAGTATTCTCCTCGGCCTCGGCAGATAACACCTTCCAAGAACTGCATAATCCTTCAGATCACACGCTTACTTCGATCGATAATAACTTCTTATCTTTACTTGTCCGCTCCCTGGCAAATTCAGGCCCGGTTTGGTTCTCATTGTTCTCAATTCTCTTCTGGGGATTACAAGACAATGGAGTCGTCAAAAATTTGCAATTTTGATGCTGAAGCCTCGGTGTCATGTTAGAATTTTAATATATCGAACGTGGGCTATTGAATGAGGCTTTAGGATCAGAAGAATAACGCAGAGCGAGGAGGGTGGTATTCTCCTCGGCCTCGACAGATAACACCTTCCGAGAACTGCATAATCCTTCAGATCATACGCTTACTTCGATCGATAATAACTTCTTATCTTTACTTGTCCGCTCCCTGGCAAATTCAGGATATAAAGGGATGTTTCTGTCCAGCGGATGTTCTTCAAACAGCACTTGTCATCCGTTGAGTTGTTTGAGGTGTTCAACTGACGCGTAACTGGCCATATTTGGAGAGTATGGTTTAAAGGCTCGTATACCATGATGGCTAAGCCAATCAACACCTCTTGAATTCCATTGTCCAATGATTCAACTTTTTTCTTTACCCCTACCCTAAGCAATATCTGTTTGGGTAAAATATCACCTTTCCGTCCTGAACACCCTTATTGAGACCAAAATCAGCAATACGTCCTTTGCAGCTAGTTACTCATGCGGTACAAAACCGTCATAGTGGACAGCAAGAGGTGCGTTGGGACGAGACAAACAAAGAAGAATACCATATTAATGATGTAAGCCTTTTGTCTGGCTTGAGCCAGTGCGTTTCTTGCTCTCCAACAAGGCGGTTTTGCACCATTTGAATGAATAGCTGCAAAGGGCCTTCGCCTATTTACACCGGTAAAGGAGAGGACGAGTAGCCCCTCCTCCCAGGGGGAGGATGGGGGTCTATTGTCTAAGATTATATTTTTTGCCGAAATTGCGTTATTAAAATTTTTTAAAAATCTTCGTGAGTAAAGATCTTTTAACAGATTCACACTTCAATAAAACGAACTTTAAGGTACACATCACATATCCATGTCAACGTTATCAGAATCAACCCAACCAAAACAGTGGAACTTGAAATCTCGTTTTTTTTTCTTCTTCTTTGTGGTCCAATGAAGCAGAGACAACACAGCGTGAAAATTTGCAGGTTACCAACAGAAAAGCCAAGAGAGCATCAAACAGGCACTCGTAAAAACTTGAAAAAGAATATCCAGCTGAGCCTTTTAAAACAAAATTTAATTCCTTATGTTTTTCTCCCACTCGTCCTAGTCCTACACAGAAACAACCATCTCTAAATGATATGCTTGTATTTAACCGTAAACTGGCAGTCCATTTTTATACCCTTTCCTTATTCTCACTCACTAAACTATTCAATGACACTTAAGTAAAGGATACCGCACGCAAAATTTATTTGAAATTTGTCACCTTTAAATATACCAAGAAGAGAATAAAAAACAAGAGTGCCATTGTCTTTTCTTCCGCCAGTCCTACGGGTCCTAGAATGCTGATACAAATACATTGTTGCTCGTAGACATAGAGATGTTTACAAATAAATATGAAGATATTGTTACTTCAAGGACACGATATTTCACTCTATCTTATTTTAGGCACAAAATAAAAAGTAATATTTCGGCAACAAATGTCCTATTTCAGTTGTGTAGGAAGATATCATCCCCAGGCTGCTTCTAATGACAAATGATGCAAATGCCTCTGTTGTCAGGGAGAGGCTGGGATCACTTACGGATTGACTGAAATATACTGCTTTTCAATATTATTGATCCTAGCGAATGACTTAGAGTGTAAAAAGAGATCCGCTTTTATGCTTAGATCAATCTATCTATTATTTTGTGAGCAAAACGCTGGCAAAAAGACAGCGAAGAGTAAAAACATTGTCATGCGTCTAAATGATTTCGAGTTTGGTATAACGTTCGTCAAATATGACTTTTTTGGCAGCTACCCACAAATATAAGAATGGTTTAGGCCCACGTAAAACGCCGTACTTTGCATGAGTCGAGCCTAATGGTAATGACAAACATTTACTGTTTTTGCTAGTTGACAAAACTACGGCGTTTGACCCGGATATTAGGATCACGTTTATAGCAAACGCAAACGTGACATTATACCGACCATTCTTCAAATTAGGAAACTAGCAGTTACAAAACTGCTCAGAACGATTCTAGTGGAGAAAACTGGCATGAAACTACTTACGTTCGTGTAGACAAAGTGAACAGCGAACGACAGGTGAAAAAAATTAGGTCACTTGGAACAAATTGATGTTTTCGTTTTACACTCATTTTGATTCTGTCGAGTCCAAAATGTCCTTAATCCTGCTGGTAATTGCCAAAAAATCCTCAACTGTACAATGAATTACAACAGCTAGAATATTTCACTTTAAACTGTCTTCCCGGTAATTCAAATTGATAGGACTTGATAGCTTGCGTGTACAACGTTTATAGAGTGTTTGTTTGTTCCTTAAATATAACCTGCTCCTTTTATTTCATGAAAGAAAATTAGAGATTATGGTAGCTGGGAAAAGATACTGCAACATCCAATTTCCTTACCGCTCGATTAAACCGTGGAAAATTGCACTTGAGTTAGAAATATAATTAATAACTTCTTAGTCATACAGGCGACAGGCGAAGCGTTTGACGAAAGATTTGTCACTTCCACGCCCCAATTACTTGACAATGTTAAGGGTCACCCGACCACAGATTCAACTACCTGGTGCCACCCGCTTTTTTACTCAGGAATCGACGAATCACTTTTCAACACTGGAATGAGCAAATTTAAAATTAATTACATTCGAGACGGTAAATAGCAGTGTCTCGAAGAATTAGGTCACATCTTGTGCTGTTTTTTCTTCAGGAGGGAAAATAAGAGGTAAGTCATTTTCTCTTATCTAAGATTATATCGATTCACCTTGTGAAACGAAGATTTGCTATCATTGATGCAGACAAAATATTATTAGGTTTTAGTCAAAACACCCTTTTCAATAACATTGTTTGTTTCCCTTTCGAGTTTTAGCTTGCTGAAAATTTCATGGGGTGACTCCGACTTTCATGTTAAAAAACATATTAATTACCTAAACATTCGCGTTTCCATGTTCTTTGGTCAGATAATGTTGCAGTTCAATAAGATGAAAGAAATGGGTTTTATTTTCAGTAATTCAGTTTCTCTCACTTATCTTATTTTGTGTTATTTATTGCTATTGTTGTTACAGGCGAAATGTATATGAAAATAGTATTTTTGGTCGTCCTGGCCGTTGTGTGCTACACACAAGCTAAATCGACAAAAGGTACCGTAAGACATGTTACTCTGGTGTTTAATAAATAAAATAAATACTGTAGCATTTTAAACTAGGAAGCTAACTAATGTGTTTAGAAATAAAGTACCATAGACTTTTTTCCGCGATGAACTTAAGACGAAGGCGAAGGTAGGTAAAGCAAAAGGTGTTCGTAAAATAAAATTGAAGGTAAATTGTGGTAAGGCAATGGAACTCTAATTAAACAACAAATGACCTGGTCCATTTATTGTTGTGATGATCAAGTGATATTTTCGAATCCAATCAACACTTTTTATCGGATAAAAAATTCCCACATCGTCCATTGTATTAGGCGAGCATTGAAGGAAAAATTGCACGAAAGAAGAATTCTTTCCTTGGCGCTCTTGTTGTATTTAACAAACCTTTCGTAGTTGAAGCCAACTCCGGCATTAATAATTCCCTTAGCTGGTGGCCAGATTATCTAGATACTGGCAAGAGATTCTTTTGTTCAATCGAAAATATTTTCTCTTTCAACTTATTCTTTGAACAGTACTTTTCTTTTTATTTCAAAAATTTCTTTACACTTTTTCTGATTTTGCTTCTGTAAAATGTTTTTTTTTTCCAATATCCATTTACCATGGTTTTTAACAACCGGTAATAATTGGTGTTCTACAATGCGTGATTTTACTCGCTTGCCCTACAAAACGAATGGTCTTAGAGAGATCGTGGAAAGGGTCAAAACTATCTAAGAGATCGGTTAAAACGAGAAACTTAATGTCCTAGTTAACACATTTTCGAGGCTGTTGAAAACTATACGAGTTAGGCTCTATTGAACACATAACATTTATGTAATCATGTTCATTACAACAGGCTCGAAAAGGTGTTGCCCGTGTTGTCCACCACCACCACCACCTCCTCCACCTGTTCAACAAGTCTCCGGACCAATGGGACCAATAGGACCACCAGGATGCTCTGGACCCCCAGGAGCACCAGGATGCCCCGGATGGAAAGGATGCGCAGGTCCAATGGGTCTTCCTGGACCACCAGGCCCTGCTGGCCCACTCGGTGCAACCGGACCAATGGGACCCAAAGGATGTCCAGGCAATCCCGGTCTTCCAGGATGCCCTGGACTCAAAGGATGCCCAGGATGCGGTGGACCCCCAGGACCTCCCGGAGCCCCAGGACCTCAAGGACTTCCCGGAGCTTCTGCCCCTGCCCCATGCCCTCCTCCACCACCCCCACCATGCTGTCCTCCCCCAGCTTGCTGTTAGCAAATGGTCATATGACCTAATATTGGATTTGTCTAATCTATGCTTTTAATAAATTATACTTTTTGAATCGAAAATGTATTTGTTTTAGTTACAATATGAGATTGATCTGATACGGTGCTTAACAATTAACAATTATTGGACGAGAGACACTGATAAATCACGATATTTTGCGATAGCCGAGTTCAACTATTGTTTTATCATTCGATCACCATATTTGCTTTTTAATGATGAATATATTCGGGAGGCGAAGCGATCTGCCATGTTCACGCAAGCCGGCGATCGAAAGAAGGACAGAAGCGTGGTTTCCCAGAATACTATTTGCAGCCGAACACAGTTGGACGACACTGTGCATGAGCAGACCAATATTTGTTGGCAGTTATTTGCAGATCACGTGGTGGGCTTTTGGCCGATGAAAAGGAAGACGAAATTGCTTCGAATGAAAATAATTATTATTAATGTTAATTGGACGCAATCAACAAAATACCCTTTAAAACTCAAAGTTTATATATCCACCTCCGCAAACAACTTATGAGCTTGCAATTTTTACGGACAGATTAAACGAATTTAAACACCATAATAGAACGACCACACCCCCACCGCAACCCCCGTCCCCCCCAACCCCTAATCCTCATCCAAAGGAAAAAACTTACATGGGTTGAAATAAATCCCTTACCTAAGAGGCTTTTAGATCGTTTTTGTGGTTGCTTCTCTTGTCGATGGTTTGAGTTAGATGCGAGCAAGGTAGTTCATTTGCTTCGGACTACAAAGTCATTGTCGATATCGAAAAAGTTAACTTTGTTTTCATATTTTCACTGTCTCTACAAATTTTTTCTTTTCCTTGCCAATGATGAATTGCATTTTATTGTTATCCCAAATCAAACTCAAAAATTGCATTTGTTTTAGTACAGTTCAGTTGAAAAACATGAACTCCCTGAATAGATTCGATTTCCGCTGTCTCCTGCGTCCGGTCCTTGATCCTCTTCGAAGAGAGGGAAGGATGGGTGCGAGCTCATTTTCTCAAACCGCGGCTGTTAATGGAGCCTACCACCTGAAGTAAACGTGACTGGTGACGACGAATCTATCTTTTTCGGATTTAGTACATAAATTGCAATTTCTGACTTTCAACGTGAAACTGATAACGCTTTCGTCCCATAATTTTTTTGCGACAATCTAGATGCAGTACATGTTTTCGATAAGTTTGGAATTACAAAACAGCCCATCACGAAAAGGTTATTTTTTATCCATTGACTCCGTAAAACACCAGTCATGTTTATGCACAAAAAAGATCAACAGATAGCGTAAGATTTTTCTAGACAGGTTGAAGCATCTGCGGCAGCTCAATAAAGTTAGTTCAGTTTTCCACTCCTGCAGTCCTCCAAGAAAGGTATAGCTTAATTTCCTTTTACCCCTTCCTTTTATCGTCGTTCGGAGACTTTCACAGTTGGATGTGCTTTCAAAACTTGTGTTTTTTCAGATTAAAATGGAAGTCAAAATAGTAATAACAGTGGTGTTGTTAACTGCAATTTATGTGACCAATGCGAAACCTATGGATGCTTTCCGTAAGTCAATTTAAATTTTTCTATTCACATTAAACGGTCAGTTTTTCTCTCTTTCCTTGCTCTTTTGATATTCCAATAGACTTTTACTTTTTAGAGAATATAACATTACTAATCAACAGATAAATAACTATGAAAGCGTTTGGAATTGAATAAAACCCAGTAATAGAGCTGATTTATTTGATTATTGTATTGGTTTGATTTCTTCGTACGCTTACCTTTTGTTCAATATACAAGACTTTCATTGGGAACCAAACAGGCTAATTCCCAAACTCTAAATTGACAACCGTTTTCCGTTAATACCCTCATCAAGTAGAGAAGCTCGAACTTAAGCAGTTTATAACATGTGTTAATTCCTCTCGCACGTCTTTAAAATATACCTATATCACTTCAATCGCTTTTCTTACCATCAATATTTCAACCAGCGACAACGACCTATGTAACAGTGTACACTACAGTCCCTCAGATCCTCACAACAACCTCTAACATTCATTGCCTCATCCACCATATTTCCAAAAATTCACTCCATATTTTAAGGAAACTGCTATTTCTAACGCTGTCGCTCAAAGGAACATATATCCTAGACACGTTGACAATGACACTTATTTAACATGGAAGATACACTGATAGATCAAAGCATTTAACAAATTTGTGTATTTTGCCTTTTTAGTCAACAGAGTCTTGAGAAGCAATCCACTGCCTTGTTCGAAGGAATGTTGCGAGAAGTGCTGTACTAACGTCTGCAACAGAGGCTGCATCTTTACTTGCTGTGCATCTCGCAATCTAGGCCCGTATCCCCCTCCTCCTCCCCCACCACCTCCGTATCCTCCCCCGACCGCGAGAATAATTCCTGGCGCTTTAGGAGCCCCAGGTTTATGCGGATTACCAGGACCTCAAGGACCAAAAGGATGTCCCGGTTGTCTTGGTCCACCCGGACCACCCGGACCCCCAGGACCCCCTGGTCGTTAAGTCCCCCTGCTACCCTGGACATCCTGATGTCTTAAGGACAAAACTTTTTTTCATGTCCTCGTTTTAAGTAACTTACTTTGTTTTCTGTACAGAACATTTCAAGAGTTCTCTTTTCATCCCGTGTACAATAACATGAATAAAAGCAGTTTTCAACTATGCTCGAAATTTCTACAATTTTAAAGTTCGACAGGTCAACACCTCGTGGCTGTATTGTGGGTGTATTGTATTGTGGGTGTATCGTGGGAACTCGTAATTGCCTGCTTATGAGTTTGAGAACAGAGCATTGATAATAGACCTGCTACCCGGTGAGTATTTCATGTAAAAGGCCACGATATGTACCAATCAAATCGTCAGTATATCATCATCATCATCACCATCATCATCATCATCATCATCATCATCATCACTTTTATTTATACACGGTAAAACATCAGGCAAATATGTACAATATCCTAAAAAAAAGTTACCAACTTTTGAATTAACAGTAATAGCACTTACAAAGATGAATGTATAAGATATAACACTGATTTCGTCCGTTGGCATGTACGATACAATATTAGTCTGATTTAGCAACAGAACGGGAACGTCATTTGACGACGGGAAAGCGCACGGAAAGGACTAAACTCGACTTCCAGTGCCCAATTTGCCGCTCAGCCATTGGTCAAGCCAGTGGTTTGATTTGCGCGCGCCGTCGTCAACTGACTTTCCTGTTCTGTTGCTAAATCAGCCTAATATTTCTTCGGGGAATCACAATTCAGCTCAGCTTTGCACCTAGCTCCTCTCAACAATAAACAGAGTCGTAAACTGAACACCCTCCAACCACCCAATATTAGTTGTAAACGGCCGGTATTCTCCACCAAGGGCTGTATAAAGGCACCAAAAACGTTTTCCCGGACATTGCCGTCAAGGTGCGCATTTATAGTTGGATTTTAGTAGTGGGTTGCTTAGTCCTGACAGAAGGGAGTTCAAACTAAGGCGTTTTTGAGCAAAGCACGTCAATTGGAAGTGAACCCTTTTCCTTTTCAATATGCCTTGAAGGTACCAAATTTATATTGATAAGTGTCTTTACTCATATGGTAACGATTTGCCCGAACTTTTCGACACTACTGCCAAAGAGTGCAAAATGTCCACGGAGAGCGATGGGCAGCTAGTCGGGACGCAACATTTACGTGCGAATTTACTGCAATAAAATGATAACAAAAAGGAACGAGAGAGTACCTAGGGAACTACAATAACAGAGCCATTATCCTGATAAACTGCAACTGCGATTCTTGGAAGTGGCATCAGGCTAATAAAGAGTGTCTAAGCCTCAGAACGGCGACGTCCTGCACACGCCGGTTTCACATCCACCAGGCATAGAAATGAATCACTATAATATCGATGTTTGATTACGCTTTCAATTAAGGGCGCGGTCTCTAGATAGCGCTTCACGTTTGAAGTTGCATTGTTGCTTGAAGGACATGAAAGATGGGTTTAATGGTAAAAAACGTGCATGCGCAAGAACGTGTTTTTAGCTGGCGTGCTGAATTTCAAATGTGAAAGATATGTGTTAAGGGTAAACTACGCGCACGCGCGAGCCAGTATCTTCACTGGGGTGCTAAATTTCACATCTGATTTTCAGTTAACTTTAAGTCATAAATCTTTACTTCTCATGGTTTGTTTGCATGGCTACGTGTTCATACGTCAAGAAGAAATTTTTCGCTAGACATTCAGTCCTAGGTTCTCATTAGTTATCAGAAAATACGATTCCACTCACTTTACGACACTTGAACAGTGGATTTTGTTAGTGATTGCTGTTAACCGCTGATTAAAGACAGTGGCGGAACCAGGGAGGCCCTCCCTTATATATAGACCAAACTGCGACCCGAAGGGCCGAAAAAATGTTTTTTGGAGACCGCCCCCCTCCCCTTATCTAAGGGTCTGGATGACCGCGCCCCCCTCCCTCCCTTCCCTTATCTCAAGGGCTGGATCCGACACTGAAAGAGATCAAGTTGTTTATAATTATTAACCGAGCGAGCTGTTTATAACTTTACCTTTCGAAACCTGCTTCATATGAACGTAAACAAAAACGTAAGCATCAAAAAATTCACTTACCACAGATCACTCGAGTTTGACAAAAAGGATATCTAAAGGACGTTTTCTATAGGGTAAGTAGTAAATTTATGTTTTAAAAATAGAACACTTACAAAAGGCAAAATAATTCTACGAAAATTAATGGCAATTTAAATCTTCAAATAATCTCTTGGTACTGAAATTGCAGTCTTAATCTTCGTAAAGCGGAATGCAATTATATTATAAAACAATGTCTTCTAACCTGATAACCTAATACTGATAAATTCTGCGTAGACGAGAAAAACAAGATAAAACTTTTCAGATACAGTAAGATGACTAGTTTCCTGGCAATCGTAGTTCAACGTTTAACATAAGAAATAACCACAGTGAAACAATTTTTCCTAATTTCCTTCTGTGGACATTCTCTTTCATGGCAAGATCTTGCGCGCTTTTAACCACCAAAATAACATAGTTTTAAAAGTTGAAATTGAGGAGAACAGAAGCTACTTAACTTGTATTTTTCGAAAAGAGAGACTATGCTTTTAAACAAACCAAGAGTTTGACTAGATAGATCGATGGGAAGCATTACCTTTGGATTCTTTTTTTTTTTCAGGAAATATAATGGAAAAACTACTGGCTGTTTTATTCACTCTGGCTTTTGCAATCAGTGCCTCTTCACTGCACGGTAAATTAAAAGATTGTAGAACGTCTTTAGGCAGAGATGAGGGACCAAAACGAGGCCCTAGAAATGACAGCGCTGAAATTATTTCCATCATTTCTCTGTTGTTGAAAAAGCCAAAATTAGAAGCGGACGAAAGTTAGAAATATATCCAACGAATTATCTACCATCCCATTCCATATTCAATAAGTCAAAAAACAACAGCAGCTAGCAACAACAAAAACAAAGCAACAAATATTTATAACATTTCCTTAACTCAATGTGTAAGTGCAACCTCTCGGTCATAGTATATTTGCTCTCATCTAATCTTACAGATGCCAGGCCGCGCATGCGCGCAAGATGGAGCGACTCCAGTGTTCTCAGGCCTGTAACTCGGGCTTGTCGGCTTTTTACCTACAAGAAAAAAATTTCCGTGTACCCCATATGATAATGAGTTTTTATTGACCAGCCTGTTCCGTAATGAAGTGGTAAATAACGGATATATATATATACTCCATAGGTGCTATAGTTCCTGATAAACAACTATAAGTCTGAAGAAATAAATCGCGCAGACTGAATTTCGGGAGTGAATAAAAACCCAAACAAAGCCATTATGCAGGAATGCTTAAAACGAGTCACAATTGACATAACACTTAATCCACTTAAGCAATGCATGCCAGCAAGAGAAGAATAACGACGGTTGTCATTGTCCCCTTCTATGCAAATCAGTAATAACATGCGTTTACATAGGAAGCCGTCACTATTAGTACTAAAACAAATAAACTACTAATTTCTTGACCCTTTTATTATTTTTTAATTTTTTTTTTACAGTGAAACGCGACGCCTTTCCCTGCGGAACAAGCTGCAACCCCGTATGTTCCCCAGCATGTACGGCCACTTGTTGTGGCAGTCCGCCGCCGGCCCCGCCAAATCCGCCAATCCCCGCCGTTTCGCCTATGCCAAAACCTGCCCCATCTCCCATCTACGGACTCCCTGGTCATCCTGGAAACCAAGGACCACCAGGAGTAATGGGACCAATAGGATGCCAAGGGGCTCCGGGTCTTCCAGGACCCCCAGGACCACCCGGACCACCAGGACCCTGTATAAAAAGTTAACGTGAACACACATTTTCTGCATCAAAGTCAGCGTAAAAGTCTTTGTGGTGGTTCATAAACAGAGGCATTTGCAAACAACAAAAAATGCAATTATTCTGACAATTGTTTGTTTTATTTAAAGACGCTTTTGATTGTTTTCAAATTTCGCAGCCAGTTAATGTAACTGTTTTAATGATACTAAGAAGAAAGATGATAATAACAATTTCAAGTGTTGCTTTTAATCTGTTTGCTATATTAGCCTAATATGTTTAACAAAATACATCACATATCGTTGAAATTCTTGTATGACTTGCACCAAGGGAAGATAGAAAAAGCTGGAAAATTATACTGCCTTCTTAATCCACAAAAAATATTTTCGTCTGCCGGGCACCCTTACATAAATGCGGAATAAAATAGCAAGTAAAAGGAACAGCCTACTCTAACATGTACCTATTTATTTACAGGTAACTTGTATAAGTCTTTCTCTTGACTGAGATTCTCAGCTGTCGGTTTTGTCACAGAATAGTTGTAAAAGTGCACTTTGCGTTTTAAAATTCCGTGCAAGCAAACCATCAGCGACCTATTCGATCGCATTTTGCCGCTTCCGAAGCTAGTCAATATTTAAATCATCGTCTAGTGTATCGTTAAATTTAAAAAGCCAATTGTCATTGAGCAAAGTATTTTCTTGGTTTGAATTTACAAGGCTCGATGAAAAAACACCCGGTAAAGGACTGCTTCGAGCCATAAGGCCCACATAACCGGAACTAATAATTTCCCAGTTTCAGTAACATGAAGCACCAATGGGCTTTTCTACTGGCCCTAGACGAGATGCTATAACGTAACCCTGGCAGAATGCTGGTCCCCAGTTTATGGGTGAAGAGAGACAAATTGTAGCATAATTTTAAATCCTTGGAATCCCGCGGCTCGTTGGGGGGTGGGGCGAAGGGACGGATAAAATTTCAGACTACTACAGATCCGAAGTCCGAAGTGGGAATGGTAAAGATCCCAAATTTTACTTTTGAAAAAACTGACCCTCTCTAATATCTTGTAGTGTCGCATTCTCATAAGCGGCGCAAAAATGGCATTTTATAGCGAGCAACTATCAGTAAACAAAAAGGCCGAGTTTCTCAGGCCTGATGCGCTAGAAAAAATGCGCAGACGAAACGAAGACACCGCGACTAAAACGAACATGGTAGACAATGAGTCTTCTCGTTGCTTATACTCTGCCAATGTAGACTTCACAGACACGAGCCATGCAGTGTGAACAAACGATTGAGGATGAGTTTCTCAGTCATCTGATGCAGATTCTATCCTAGTAACATAAACTGTATCTCGTCGGTTTAAACAGTTGAAATCCGAATCCATTACCTACGGAACACAGCAAAAGACGCAGTCCCTTTAGATGTGAGCAAAGAAAGCTTGGCAACACACTCGAAAGAGAGCGAAGACTGACCGACGAGACAAATCTCCCACTAAACCCTCACTCCCATTACAACGATTGCCTGAGATTGGGCTGTTATCTTACAAGGTAACATCACCGCGCCCTCAGCCTCTTCATTGTTTTGCCAAATGACAAAAATAGACAAGAGAATTTAAATAAGATAATATGATGTGCTTCGCACCCTTTTGAGCGGAGTGTCGAGTAAAAGGTCAGATGGTGTTCTACTACACATGAGCAACCAAGCAGGACGTCGGTAAACGTAAGCTCTTAAATATGTCACGCATCACGTGTTTTTGTGAGTGATTTAGTCATAGTGAGCGATAAACTCACCGATCACAAACTACGAAGCAGTTTTTTTGAAAAAAAGATTATACGACGTAAGTATGTTTAAAATTTCCGAAGAAAACGTTTCTAAAGACAGCATGTTACAACCGCCGTCTTACTAGTGACAGTAGTGGTGTTTTTACGAGACAATCAAAATGTCTGAAAAGATTAATAATTTTTGGCCTCTTTTGAGACATTATTGATTGCGAGTTAACAAAACGAAACGCGCGCATGCTGTAAACGCTTTAGCTTAAAACACAACGGGTTCATAAAAAGTATTCCTTAAACCTTCTTTTCTTCAGGGTCGTCATGGATCTCCGCTTCCTGTTACTGATCACACTTGGGTTGCTTTGCTCCGTGGGCGCGTTCAACAGTAAGTAGTCGACAGGTCTTTCTTTAGTGTTACGATTTTCTTATGAAAAACGATTTATATATGTATGTTCTAAGGTGTCTGGGTCTTAAACAGCTGAGAAAATAGCAAAAACTTCACTAACATAGCCCGAATAATATATTATAACAGTACTAGACTTTTGGAAGCAAAAGAACTGTGAAAAGACAGGAAAATCATTTCTTTACAAGTGTTTATATCCACACGGAAATAATTATTGTAAATGGATATTTTGTAAACAGTCTCTAGAGCTGCATAACAGTCGCAAAGAAATATCATTATCACCATATTTGTTGCAGCCAAAAGGCAACTGGGAGCAGCGGGAGCAATGGGACCAATGGGACCACCGGGGATATTAGGAGCAAGGGGCCCTATGGGTGATCCCGGACCGCCAGGACCCCCTGGAGCTCCCGGACCTCCTGGACAACCCGCCCCACCCGGCCCACCAAACGGCTGCTGTCCCGTTTATGGGAAAAAGTGAAGAAATGAAATGGAAAAGACCTTTTGTGTTCTAAACCGTTCCCTTTAAGTTTCTTGTAATTTCAAATTGAAAAGCAATAAACTGAAGAACATTTTGAACAAGACTGGAACATTTCCTTAGATTTTGTTCATGACAATCAGACTCTTGCTAAATTAATCTGCCAGATAACGAAATTTTTGAAACTCTCAGAATACTACGATGTCAACAAATGGAGAACCAAAGAAATCTCTCGGAGAATAAGACAACAGAAACCGAAAGAACTAATAATAATCAATAACTGGGATTCCAGAAGAGTTGTAACTTAGTTCTACAGACGTCTAACCATTAACACGAACGTTCAACGGAATTTCCATGAACGACAGAAAACAGCGACAGACTAGGGGATAACCGACAAACCGAAACCCTGGAACACTGCGGTCCTCTATTTCGAGTACGGGTAAGATCGCCTTGGTCAAGCGGCACAGCAAACCTCTAACGAATTCTGATCCTTCCACCATCTCTATCATTCTTGTCATCTGTATTAGCGTCAATTTACTCTTCCTCGGCCATCGCGGTTTTGGGTTACCTATTCTTCATGTGGTACTGCAGTTCTCTTACACTGTAACCAGTATCCGGTGTATCATCCGACAGACATTTAACGTTTCCTCTGTGTCATTTGCCAAAAGAGGACGCGATTTATACATTTTCAAGACGCGCAATAAAAGTTAGCCTTGTTTTTTGGACCAAACTAGAAGCAGGCATGCACTGGCTCAAGTAAAACCCGTTGTAGTCTAGCCAGCAGCCGTATAAGTGCCTAACATTGAAGGCTACTTCAGAAGCCTAATGGTATTCGTGTTTCAGGCGATCAGATTGATTTTTAAGGTTTGTTTTGCACTGCCGCGGCATTACCTAGTGCGCATAACATTGCGACTGCAAAGGTAGCGATAATTTTCCCCGGTCGCCTAAAAAGAGGTAATTATGGACCCTATTGTAGTCCTAATCCTTTCAATGGCGATTTTGATAATTCCGCCGGGCTAAGAAGGTGTTTGTCTTCAAACTCGCCCCATTCCTCTCGCCCAAAACGATCATTTGAAGCCGGTGGAAATTATCCCTTTGTTGCCGTTTTGCTATGAAAAGAGAACGGTGACCCCCTTTTTTGCTTGTGTTTTTTACTCGTTATGGCCACAAAAAATATCTATATATATTAGGGAGAAAAATATCTGGATAGTAGAAGTTGTATTTTTTATAGTGAATGACGTGAATTTCCGCAATTAGAGCCACAGAGAGGTACGAGATGATGATAAAACTGTCCATTTCTCTGCAGTTTTTCAAGATCTGGTAATTTGAGGTCTCTTAACTGAAAAAAATATAGCCCGACAAACAAGTGATCTGATAGGTTTTAGTAAGATTCATAGTTTTTGCTATAAAATATGAATTTTTGACGGTTATTTAAGTTTCGAACACTTCGCGGAACTGGAAAAATCACTCAGAATTACAGGCACACAAGACGAAAACAAGCACGGCGACCTCATCTTTTTAATGCAGTTTTTTGAATGTTCTATATATAGCTGACATTTGTGCCAAGTTTGAAAAAAATCTGCACAGTGCATAATTTTCAAGGGAATTACCTTAACGCTGTTTAAGTGGTTTAAATTGCCGTCCATTATTATTTGAAAGCTGCACAATATGCGGATAGCCCTAGTCGCCAAGCCAGTTTTAATAATGCAGATGCTTCGAGGCAACAAAGGATAAAGACGAGATTTCTTTTGTTATTGTTATATTTCAAAAACTGAGAATACAATGACCAATCAAAGTTCAAATTTGCCTTCGTTCACGCGCATGCGCACGTCAATAAACAGGCGATGTTGTAAGGGCCGATCAGAAACAAGATCGTAGTTTCAAACAAAAAGCAATCGGCCGCGATAACTTAAAGAGACAGAAGGTATTAAAAAGCGAAAAACAAAAATAAGAAGCTTAGTTAGGATAAAGAGATTGTCGTTTTAAACAAAGAACAATCGGCCGCGATAAGTTACAGGGACAGCAGGCCTTTAACGCAAAATTAAAAATTACGAAGCCTAATTTGAATAGTTTGAAACAAAAATATAGCCTGGAGATCGAGAAAAAAAGTTATAAATTCAATTATGGTTTCTGCTGCTAAAATGAAAAATGCCGTCTGATGCTCTGAGTCCACTCAAGTGTTACGGAACAATCCCTTAGCCGGAACCTTTCTTGGTCTTTAAGAGCTTTTATTATACTACCTTCTTGAATGAGCAAAATTTCTCTTGTTCTTTTGTCTTGTAATGGACGATCCTTATAGTTAAGGTCAAATGCAATTGATGTTGCATTTTGCGTAAAGCCCTTTGGCCATAACACTGTTTGGTTCCTGCTTTACCATACACTTTCTCTTCCGTCCATAAAAAATTCAACACGAGAAACTGATGAGAACAATGGATAACAACCGGTACCGTAAAAAACCGGTCAATAACCAAATGTTTATTCTTACATCATGAGTAAATAATGAAGCTTGTTCTCTTGTCCTGCTTTCACAGCTTCGTAGAATCAATAACGAACGGCTGTGTTTCTACAGACAAAAGAAAGAGCTGTCGAACATGAGGTACGAACTTCATTTCTTGGTAATTTTAGAGACTTAGTTATTAGCAGTTAGGTTTTCATTTGAATTTTGACTCTTCAACCAGAAGAGGTTAAAACTGTGTGAGTAGGCAAAAAAATTGAAACTCTTTAAGATCATGAACCATAACGTGAACGAGCCAAAACAATTTTAACCACAATCCATAGTTCTCTCAAATCATGATCACTAAGGAAAAATGTACCATTTGTTTATTCATTTTTCAGGAAGATGGGGCTTAGATATTTCACAGTTTTGGTCCTCCTCGGGCTTGCCCTTGTGGACGCTAAGTCGCTTAAAGGTAAGCCAGCCTTGTTGGATGTCGTGAAATGTGTTCATTCGCCGTAGGGTAGTAAAAGTAATATCCAGTGCAGTGATGAATTTTACACAAGGGGCATTTTTGTTATGTGCTCGAGAACTCATATGCAGTCCTTGGCTTGTAAAGTGTGTGATTTCAAGTTTAGAGGGGGCTTGTTTCTTTTACGGTTGGATAGACTGAAAAAGTTAATATTTTATTCCCTAGAACAGTCAAGCTAAATTGAACAATAAGCTAGTTTGTAGTCCACAAAAAAGGATCCCCGTTTCTTCCCAGGTTCACTGAAATTGATATTTGACAATAAAGGAATCACGTACTTAATTTCAGGAATTCGAAGCTGGTCAGAAAAAGGACTGTTGCCAAGGAGTAAAAACCACATTTCCCCAGTGATGTCCACATTCTGTGTCGTAAAGCGTAACAGTACAGATTTAGAATTCGTATATGTTCCAAGTGACTCATTATTTTCATTTCGCTATACGTTTACAGAATTCCAGTTATGGTACATTCGAAAGATCAATTACTCTAAAAATACTAGCATTAATCATCAAAACTAAATACAAATCGTGCCCATATATCCTTATCGCACAACAGAGAAATCAGGAAAGGTTGTTTAAGGAACTCAATAAAGTCTAAGTTGGTTCAAATCCTAAATGTCAGTTCTGGGTTAACTACATCTTATATACCTGGCCATTGTTCAAAAGATGGATAGCACTATCCATCGGATAAATCGCTGTCCATCGGATAGTTATTGGGGAAACCAATTGCGCTATTCAGTGGATAGTAATTTATTCAGTACATAGCGCTATCCACCTTTCGAACAATTGGCGCCTGTAGTATAGGTGTACATTTAGTGACTCTGGGAACCCATTCAAGAAACAAGCATCTTGCCCTGCAAAATGCTAGAATCGTTCGACTTCTTAGAAGACCTCTCGTCTTCAAAGTCATTAGGATCACTCTCTAATAGCCGTTGTTTTTCTCCACATCTAGAAAAACAACTCAAGAAATCCCATCACGGTAAGCTTCTAAAAGATCTAATTTCTGCAAGAATTCATCCGACAGGTAATAGAAAAGATTCACTTAATGTTTCACAGATTTGGTCCATACATGAAGATTACGACAATTCCAACACGTGACGGTTTGTACGACTTGTTTAGCAAGACGACTTCTTCTTTCCACACTATCTCACTACATACGATCTAACTGTAAAAACGGAGATTGCATGTCATACTAAATACGATCTCACTTAAAAAACTGAAAGACAGTACATGTTGACAGTAATTTCTAGGCCTTTGTACAAATAGTTTCTGGAAATGCCAGCCAAAGAGAAACCACGACATTTTTTAACCATGGCATAACTGCAATGAGTTGAAAAGTCCTAACTGATGTGCTATACTCTTTCGCCGATTAGAGTTGATATTTAACACCTTTATTACCTAATAACAGAGGATCGCCTACTGAAATATTAGTTGTCATACTTAATGTATTGTGGTATGAAGCTGATACTACATGTAACAATGTGCCAAGTAACATAAGTATTCTAGTAATATTAGTGTCGTGGAAGCGCACAAACTTCCTCAACTTTAGACTGAAGCAACCTAACTACGATAGACATTGTGATATCATAATTTACGTAAGTCTCCTTTTAATCAGCACAGTTTACTCGAACTGAACGGACACTCCATAGTAACTGATCACGAGTGTCACTTAACTTTGTTTAATATGTCTCGAGAATAAAAACACTCAATATTACAGGTGCTTACAAGATGAGAAAACAAGGAAAAACGACAAAAAAAAAACCACGCTGATTCTCATACTGATCTTTTCTTTCTTTAACAAAATATTTCTCGGTCTTGATTTGCTTTCTTTAACTTCTAACAACAGAGGAAAAGAAGAATGATGAACCACCTCCTACAGACGAAGTTGCGGACGATGCTTCAGGAAGTGCTGGTAAGTGGTATCCCTGTGATTATGTAAGAGAAGTTTTCGCACCGTAACGCATTCTGATTTAAACCAAGTAGAAGAGAATTATCTTGAATAAAAAGATTCTGGGCTTTTCAAATAGACTATGAGTAATAGCCGACATCCAAATTATAGGGTAATGGAATCAATTTAGGTTTCTGGGAAACTGCCCACCTACCCCTCCCCTAAGCCAGAGAGGTTGACTTGTTAAAGTAAAATGAGTAACGTGTGTTGCCGGGTCTCGTGTGGAAGCAATTGATGGACCACAATACAACACGAGCAGTATATCCGGGTTTGTATCAAATTGTTAGCATCTGAACTGTGTGGGTTTTACAAATTTCGGGCATAGATAAAATGTAAAGTTATATTAACCATCTACAATAATTATTTCTTTTACTATAATTGCATCTGCCTGGTGGAGTTTATGAAAAATGTTTTGCCATGGCTAATCAAATTCAGGTTTCACACGATATCATACGTTGAAAGACATGATTGGCCACATCAAGTTTTAGCTTGAAAAACGAAATACAAGACACAAATTTTCATCTGAAAGAATCACAAATGATAAATATACGAATTCCACATATTTGAACTGCGGGATGAGGAAATAATGCAGCAGAGAAGATCATCACAATTAAATACCCAACTTATGCAGCGCAGTTGCGCAAAGAACCTAAAAAGAAATTCAGGTTAGCCGGATTCGAACCATGACCTCTGCGATACTAGTGCAGCGCTAGCACTCTAACCAATTGAGCTAGCAAGCCTACTGGGAGCTGGTCGTTAAATCACATGTAATCAGTTGGCACTCTGGCGCTAAAAAGTCTTATTTTAATATTTTCATAGGTGGCGAATCTGGAAGTGCAGAAGAATCTGGTGGTAAGTACTTGTTTTTTTGTTGCGCTTATAAATTTAACTTCATTTTGCACTTATGTACGAGATAACATGTTTTTATGGTAGTGACGTCAAATCCCACGAAAATAATCTCATCCTGGTAATAACAGAAAAATGAGTAACAATGAAGCAATTTTGAGAAAAAGAAATAAAATGAAACAATTTTTTCACGTCGATATATAGCTGATTCAATAAAGGTTACTTTGAGAATAGCGCGAAGGGAGCTATTGCTTGGTGGTCAGTCAAGCAAATCATGCGTGAGTTCGGTATGTTAAAATGCCCAGTGCCCAATTGCCAAAAGCAATCTTTTTTGAACTAGGTATATATACGCACTATGAACTGTCTTTAAAAATACGATATGTTAATGTTTATCGCATGTGTCAAACGCTGTTTCGTATGTCCGCTCCTGGTATGTCCCAAAAAGGCTTCGTTTTTGCACACATAGGTTATTGTCATTTGCGTTTGATGCGGCTTCATATTCTAACTGAAATTTTACATTTCCTTTTTTTCAGCTCCACCACCAACAGAAGGTGCAGCTCCTCCGCCTCTAGTTGTCCCTACCCCCACTCCCGAGCCACGACTTTGCCCCGCCCCTTGCCCACAGGTCTGCGCACCCGCTTGTATGGAGAACTGCTGTAGCACACCTGTACCTCCTCCATGTGCCGGTCCTGCCCCCTGTCCTATGCCAATGCCCATGCCCATGCCCATGCCCATCCCATGCCCAGCCCATGCCCATGCCAGCACCCATGCCTGTACCCATGCCAGCACCCTTACCAGTTCCATCGTGTTGCCAGGCACCTCCCCCACCCCCTCCCCCTCCTCCACCACCACCTCCTCCTTCAGCTCCCCCGGTTGTGCTCTGCGGACAGACCTGTGTAGATGGCTGTGGACCTCAGTGCCCCCCTCAATGCTGCAAGCACCACAAGAGAGGAGAACTGAAGAAGGGAGGACGCAAACGACACCACTAGAACGACTTTATAACCACTCATAACTCAGCTGTAAATAGAATTACATCAATTGCACTCTCCTCCATAATTATACACAACGTGATCAATGCTGCATCCTCCGATCGTATTTCTGTACTGAATTGCATTTTGATAAGCCAATTATTTGCAACAAATTGTAAAGTAAATTTTGTGTTCTTTGCAAAGAAAACTACGAATTGATTTTATAGAATGACTTTAAGGAATAAATTTGCGATGATTAAAACATTTTGGCTTATGTTTCTTTATACTTTGAAAGAGGCAATATAATGCTATTTAGAATCGTCTTTAAAAGAACCCAAAAGATTTTTATCAACTCGTTTAAACTCGTGACTTTATCATCACTTTTATCACCATCATTTAATTTTAAACTTTAACCTCCAGTAGTTTCGATTGGAATGAACATAGAAATATCCAAATTTTGTTTTGTTATACTCTTAACCCACGAATTAAACGAGCCAAAGTGGACGCCTTCCTTCTTAGACAACTTCAACGGATGGTTTTAGACAGCATGGTAGAGCCTCTTTGACTAGCGTCTTTTTTCTGCTCCAAGGCTTCCTATCTTTAACTTCTCACTCAGCTTTCTAAGCTTGTATATTTGACAACAACAAAATGCAAACTGAAAAGTCGAAAAAGCCAAAGAAAGAGAAATGAAGCACAAATTTAGGAGATTGAGTTAAAGCTCGGAAGCCTTGAAGTGTTTATAAGCTTCCGTAAATTGAAAACAAATTTTACATTTAAGTTAACAAGTTGCTTCTCTTTTTGGCCAAAAAGGTCAACTTTTGGAAACTTGCTGTTGTCAAAAATGCAAGCTAATCTTTTCCTTCTTCTGTTTTTCTATAGTTTCACCAGAACCAACCACAAAAGCACTACCATATAAGGTAGTTGGTCCGCTGGGAGGCCACCCACATCCGGGACCTCCATCGGCGAGCAATCCTTGTCCACAACCTCGATACTGTGATCCCGCCAGATGCAAGGATCCAATTGGTTGTGCCCCTTCATGTTCAGATATCTGTTGTGCGGACATTCTTATACCACCCCGAACCCCCAGTAGGATCCGGAGCAGGTCCATGCCCCCAGACATGTGCACCAAATTACCTCCCTGACTGCTGCATGGGAGCTGCACCTCCTATGGGCCCGGCCCCAGCATTTCCCCAACCGGTGTATCCCCCAATGGGACCCCAGCCGGGATTTTCGCCACCCGCTGGTCAGATACAGCCAGCATTTGTCCCTCAAGCGCCACCTGCCTCATGTGATCAGAGTTGCTACGCAACAAACTGTGCACCACCCTGTCCTCCGACATGCTGCCGTAGAAAAAAGTCTTTGATTCATCATCATCGCAAGACGAGATCTATAACGACAGGGATCGCCATGTGTCATTAGCAATGACATCAGAAAAAAAAAAACACATCTTTAGATAAATGTTGTGACCACTTTCGAGGACGTCATCTTTAACCGGAACATTTTAAAGAAACAACATTTCTGATACTTATTTTATCCAGTCCATGTGACACTGGTTTATATGAACCCTTGCTGAATTGTCTGCAAGACAAGAGGGTATTTTTCTTAGGACTTAAGCCGATGAAAAAAATCTTAGCAAAGTTTTCTTTCATTGGCTAGACAAACAATTAAAAATATGTTTTAGTGTAGGAATGTGTGCCTATACTACTCTTTTTTGAACTTTATTTCAACGTGCTAAAGAGCTTTGCATAGAACGGTAGTCACCATTATACCTTAATTCATTATTTCATAAAGTTTACCTTTCACACAAAAAAAAGATAAAGCTCTATTATTACACATTTCATTTAGATACATACAAATTCTTCTGAATTTTTTACGGAGGGATACATTTGAAAGTTATAAGCAATTGGCGTTTACATTTTTTTGTTTTTTCAAACCTGTATGTGGCAGACACGACGATGATTTCGCCAGACAACAAATAAACACATACTAAGGCCAGTAAATATTGCTTGGTGTTTTGCTTGCAAATCAACCAGATCACGCGTCCTCTTAAGCCAACGGCAAATTGAGATTGAACATGAGCCCCACTTCCCGAACAATAAGCCAAGGAAGGCTGAGGCGGCAAAGTAAACTTCCACTTAAACCCCTCACCCCCCCCCCCTCCCCACCCCTCACCACCACCACCACTACCACTACGGCGGCATACCGTAAAGACTTAAAAAACTTAAGTTATAGAGAGACACACAAAAAGAGAAAATCAACAAAGTCTGTCATTTTGAAAATTGCTGGCGATGGATCTTTGCGCGGTGATTATAGTGGGATGAAACGAAGTTCCTAGCCAACCATAGTGCTCAATTTTCGATACTCGTCAATGTGATTATACTAAACATCAATATTGATCAATATCTTAACTACCTAGGAATAAACATTATAAGGTGTTCAAGTAGCAGTGAAAAACTTAACTTCTTTTAGAGAGACAGGGAAAATCTAGTCTGTCCTTAAAAGCTCCGATTGATCTTTCGCATTTTATTTCGTCTGGTAATGCGTTCCAGACTTTTGCCACAGTGTAAGCAAAGCTTTTTCGGTAATACAACGTTAAGTAAGTAAAACAAGGCCAAGATCCAGCCACCTTGATCTCACGCTTGGTCAATAAAGGTTTTATTATCAGTGACCAGAAGACGACTTCTTGGGGGAACAAAGCGGGAAATCCCGATTGGACAAGACAGACCCGCTCAAGTAACCAATCAAAACACAGAATTTTCCCCATCTTGAATGCTCGTGGAGCAAGCCATACAATAAAGGATATTAACAAACTGAGCCCGCGATACGGTCAGGCGATACTGGCCAGCGCAAACACTTTTTGACAGCTGTCAACTGATCACAACATGGATGGTCACATGGATGTACAATAACAGGCTGTAGGCTCCTAACTCGCTAGAACGTGTGACATTAAACATTTCGAAAAATTGACAAGAATTTTATCAACATTTTCAAGCCTGTACAAATATTTGTACTCGGATTGCATATGTCTTAGTTCAGGGAGATTTTTCTCTGGTCAGGTAAAATTCAGTTATTTGATAAGCAAACTAAAAATCACCGGTACCTGTCTCTAAATCCCAATTTACAATTATTGTCGAAAGGCGGTCTTTTACGTCTTTTATCTATTAACTAGTCTTTACTGCTATTTTGTATTTTCCGAAGCAATAAGTTTCTAGTCTATCACAGCTGACACTTTTAATTAATTCTAAAATATTTAACAAGTTTAACTATGTCAAATGTTCTAAATCCTTTACTCATCCCCCTCTTTTGATTGCCTAAAAGCAAACGCATGATCTTTTCAAATCTTGTTAGCTTGTTTGTTATTTTTTAGGTAACAGCAACCACTTGCAAATCATTTGATTTCCGTTAGAATATGAGAGACCCTTACGTTCTTATTTAACGCCTAGAATTTCTTAGCTCAAACTTGGGAGGTTTCTGATTGGCGGCAAAAATTTGACTAGCAACATAGCGGGTAAATTTTAAGATAAATTATTCACGAATACGATCTCTTGTGGCTTGGTAGTGAGATTTCTTTGTGCGATTTAGTTGAAAATTTTGAAAATTTGCACAAGGATACTCCTGAAATGGTCTTTTGAAAAATTCTACCCTTAAACACGTTTAAAACATAGACCACACTTTGACCACATTATTTTCATTTTGTACCGAAATCGCAGAGGAAATGAGGAATTTGTTATTCCGAGTTTTGTTTGTCGCCCTCTGTTCGACTTTTGTCCTATGTGTTCCCGCTGATGACTCTGATTTTATCGACGAGAAGGGAAAAGCTTTGAAGAACTTAAGAGGTGAGGTTAAAATTATCATTCCCCCTCATTTGAATTGGACTACATTTACAAGTAAAGTCAAGGCTACAAACCATTCTCCTACCGAGTCCATTTTACCTGTCGACTCAGGAAAGTTCCTTTGAGACGTTGATGTCACATAGTGAATTGGTTGATGATCTACTGCTAACTGTTTAACACAAATTAACTCAATCCCTAAAAAGTATTATGTAAGCCCTCAGCAGTGAACAATTCATTCTTCAGATCACCAAAACCTTAAATCTATTGTTGCTGTTCTGTCTAGTCATGAGGTCAAATTTAAACAAACAAAGCAACACTCTGTCAGATGCATTATTAAGTCAAAATCTCAACTTTGAATACCAACACAAAATTATTGGAAAAAAAATATTTCAGTCTAGTAAATATTTGAGACACTTCAGTTTTAAAGTCAGTTGTCAGTTTGAAAAGGGCATAGCACTTATAGTCTTATCACATGCGTTCACGCGTTCACACCTTGGAGAAGCAACTCTTGAAGGGTGTTTCTGGACCCAATAAAATATAGGGAAATAGTGAAATAGGGGTAGGACTTCCAGCACAGTTTAAGTAGTATCAATATCTAGCGGAAGATAGACTTAATGAGTTTCAGTATATTCATACCGAAACCATAATGTATTTTGTTTAAAAGAGTTGACTATTCTGTCAAGATGTTATTAACGTAAATAAATATTCAGTTATTCTAAGATGCAATCCCCAATAACAATAATAATGATAGAAATAGAAATAATAGTGATATTAATGAGAAAAGGAATAATAATTTTGAAGTAGACGTGCTTGCTTTGATTGCTATTTGGATATTGTTTTCCGCGTTTGTTTGCTTGTGTTTTTTGTTGTTGTTTATTTATTTATTTTTTTGCTGTTGTTTTTGCTGCTGTTGCTGCTGTTGTTGTGGTTGTTGTTTTTCGTTCACTCTCTACGGCAAAGACGATTTGCCGATCAGTTACACAGCAAATCGCTTGGCAAATAATAATAATGACCCTGGAAATAATCTCCAAAGACAGGCAGTGGACATTTCTAACAGTTTTGAGTATCAAGACTTTTGTAACTAGTCTATTCAGCTTAAGTGATTTTTTTTGGCCCAGGCACAGATTGCATCCATAAAACGAAGGACTGATTTGGCTTTCATTCTCATTTTTCAGTTGTACCGGGAAGCAAACGAGACAAAACAGATTATCACACAGTTGAACAAGAAGCCGGTAGAGCTGTGCTGAAGTTGCTAGATGCTAAAATAGGTAGGTACAAATTTATTTGAATTAAACTATCTGCTTGTATCCGTTATCAGACGGCGAGAGCTTGTCGGTCTGGAGACCAAGGAAGATTGAAGATTGTCTGGTCTTTGGAACAGCAGATATACAATTTGTGGTTTTCGTGAGGTTACAACTGCAGTTGTTGGTTGAAAGCAGAATTGCTGTTCCTGCCCCATTCTCGCCGTACTATATTGATAACCACTGCGTGACTGTATAAGTATCTGGATTGCCTAATGTAACAAACTCAAAACATTCTCCTTTCGACATTTATTGAAAGCCGACGTTGACACTGTTTGCCCCCCCTCTACCCCATTCAACACTGTTTCGACATCTCGTAACAACAAGTTGACAACTGGATCAACCCCAATTAAATTTAGTTAATCTCTAGGGAGAAGAAACGCTAAAATGAATCTAATGTTTTAGATTCCGTCGCGAAATTTTTATAAGGTGAAGGAGTCTAAGGTGATTTAGGATGGCGATAAAAACGTGACAAAACGTCGCAGTGGAGCCCGGGAGCTCGTATCTGCTATCTCCATTACGCGTTAGATTGGAGTGTGGCAGTGTATTTCAATCCCTCCCTACTCGTTTCTCGAGAGTGTCACCTTCTTTTGTAATAATCAAGGGAGATGAAATTTCAAGGCTATGTCCCATACTCTTCTAGCGCCGTTTAAAACTCTTTTAAACTTTGGCTCAAAATCGTCTCAACATTTCTTTTTGAAATGTTGCAGTTGTTGTTTGATCCTTTCTATCAACTTTGATAAGTGATAGTTTAACAGGACATGGTCTTTACGTGTCTCAACATTCTACAAAGAAGTCTTGAGACAATTCTGAGACCGTTGTATTGTGATTGATTGTACTTATTGTTGTTTTCGCAGGGAGGAAAGTTAGTGACGCTGCCAAGGAGGTGACTGATTTTCTGAACGACGCAGTCGGTATGTTGGACAGAATAGACGATAGCACTTTTCTCCCAACTCATAAGTGGAATTCTCTATCTTCTATATTAAACATGTAATGAAAGCATGGTAGAAAAGATTACGGTGAATTGCGAATGTCATATCATTTTAAACTGTAACAATGTAAATGGCACACACGATAGTGTTGGAGACATACCCCATATTCTTTAACACGATACCATTTAAGTTTAGTTGTACACTCGAGCCCGCGATACAGTCAGGTAACAATGGTCAGTGGATACTCTTTTTGGCAGCTGTCAATTGACCATAACATGGATATCCATAAGGATGTCCACTATCAAGTTAAACAGAGATTGTATATGCCTTGGACACCTGGCTACTATTGCCCGGTCCTTACAAGAGAATTATTACAAGCAAACAGCCAATGAGAGCGCTCGGTCTATTATAGCCGTATAATAAACTCTGACTCAATTTTTGTTTTAAGGTCATCATGCGAAGCAAAGGGCCGAAAAGATACAAGCCGACAAAGAGAAAGGTAAGAGAGGACACTTAAAAATGGAAATAACTTCATGTTCATACTTCACGTTCCCTAAGTCATGTCAAGGATGGCGAAAAATATCTGGCAGTGAGCTATCTTGGCTAAGACATGAAATAATGAATCATACGAATGGGTTGAATTTGGCCACAAACTCATCGAGCTGAAATTTAAATCCCGTTGGTTTCTCCACAGAAATGTCATTACTTCACCTCGGAGCTAAGAAAATTCTATCGAATAACGACGAGGAAGACAAACCTAAAAAGAACAAGGACGGATCTTTCCTGGTGCACTTTAAAATCCCTTACATTGTAACACCAGTTGACAGCAAGAAACCAAAAACCAAAAAGTTTCACCATAAAAAGGTCAAGAAAGTCCATCCCTTGAAGAAATTTCATCATCGTATTCACAGACATCATCATCACCATCATCATCATCATCATCATCCGCCGGCGCTGGATACCAACAGCCTTGCAGCCCCAGCACCATCACCACCCAGCCCCCTACAGGCACCAGGTAGGTGTGGTAAACAAGAAATGACCCCTTTGGGTTGTTTTTCTGGCAGAATGTTGTTCCGCGTTAGCATACAACAGGAGATAAAGTACAAAAAATGCTCTAGGAAGCATATTATGTCTCTTACAAGATGTGGCCAAACCAATTTTAGATACTTTTATCGTTGTTTACTCCTTCCTATTTCACCCTATGTAAGGTAATCCAAAACAGTCTTGGATTCTGGGCTCCACGCGAAGGATTCCGGATTCCTTTTCAGTAGAACTTGGATTTCGGATTTTCGGATTTCCATCGCTAGCAGGATTCCGAATTCCTTAAGCTAAATTCCTCATTTCAAAGCCCAGAATTCCGGATTCCACGAGAAATAAATTCCCGGATTCCTGATTCCACAAGCAATCCTTTTCCAGGTTCCTAAATCCGGATTATCTTACATGGGGTGAGCAATTGTGTTATTATAATTAACAAAAAGGCATTCCGTACATACCAGATCAATTCCATCAGCATCATCACATCACTTGGTATCATCACTATTACCACTGTCATCAAGTTGCGTCATTTCTGTTATAAAATACAAAAAGAGAATTCCAAAATAGCGTTGCTCTACTACACCAAAAAATGTAGCAAAATCTATCATGTACATGAAGCACTCCTTGAACCTTAAAAGACTGAAAAATCAAGACTGACAATAAGGCTGACAAAGTAGAAAGTGTGCACACACCGGGAATTATGTTATAGATTTATATGAGAATTATATTGCTTTTTAATTAGAGTTTCCTTTTTTTTTCGCGTAATCGTTCGGTTGGTGGATCGTTTCAACACTGTTTCAGTGATGAAACAGTCTTGAAATGAAGTATTGGCAACGTGAGAAACTGTTTCTAAACGTCTTCTAGTTCCGAAGCAGGTAGTGAAAAGCGGAGAAATATTTTAAAAAAAGACTGAAAAAAATACTGACGTTTACTGGTTCATGTGCGCTTCTTCTCTACCTCTAGACTTTAAAACGGTCGATTAAAGAACAACCTATTTTGATGATGGTTAAGTAAGAACTAAGTTGAAACTATTTTTTTCCAAGTTGAACATTTGCACCATAAACACTTCAAGAGAACTCGTCACATAAAGAATCATCACCATCATCATATCAATTCTCATCATCACCCACATCATAATGAGTATGCGCTAGATGATGACAGGCCTTCATTTGAATTAGAACAGCAAGTCACCAACGATTCTCAGTCACGAGGTTAGTTTCGATAAAAGGTTGACAAAGAAGAAAAGTAATAATCAAGGGATGATTATTTGCAGATGTATCAACATACGTACTCGTAATAAAAAAGAAAACGCTCAGGTATAGAAGCTTACACTCATAGTTGTACAACGGGCGGGCTAACTAATATTCCAGTTACTATTTCCCCCGTTAGAAAATTGAACACTATAAGTATGTTATGAAAGAAAATTTTAACAGATTTTGCGAAGGCAAGGTGTTTTTTGGCGAGATTTATGAGCATTAGGTAGCGGCTCAATATTGATTACGACTCATAATGAAGTTTGTTCGCCAGCTTTGAAAATACCACCGAGCACCCAATCACCGATCATGGTTTCCTACAAAAACAATATAGAAACAAAAGCTTACAGTTTTGCAAGAAATTAATGATCTTTTTATTGGATATATAGCTCCTCAGCCTCAGGCCACCCCTCAAAGTTACAACGCCATTGATATGACCTTTAATGGATACAACTGGACTTACAAGTTCACCAATGATAGCAGTATGGATATGGTCCCTTGTCAAGGCAACTGCATGGGCCCATGTACATCGCAATGCTCCCTCAGTCAGGACTGTTGTTGCTGCGATCCCAACATGATGGCACAAAATCAAATGGCTCCTGCCCCAGCGTACCCACCTGTAAGTCAAGGAATATCATTTTCAAGGATTCGTTTAAACGGCCCCAATATGTCAGTCCAACATCTTGCTGCATGGTGTTGGGTTCGTTTCAACGAGACCAAAAGTTTAACCCATTTAAACCTGATCCAACGAGCTCTTTGCAAAAGTCATTTACGTGGTACAAAACTGCCATGCTCAGTGGAGAGCAAGGGAAGTACTAGGACAAGAAGATCAAAAGGCTTTCTTCATTTTAAGTGAAATTTTTCTTTGTTTATCTTCTCCCAGTGACTTTTGCTCTCTAACATGGCAGTTTTGTATCACGCAATTGACTAACTGCAAAGGGCCTACTGCATTCCACAATTCCAAACAAGATGTTTTAAAGAATGCAAGAAAAAAGTTACATCCAAAAGTTTTGGACGTTAGACATTCTTGGTGTTACAGAAGTTTTATTATTGTTGTGTTGCACCGTGGGTGCATAGTTAATCTGTTTAGCCATCAGCTGCGAAGCAAGTTCCAGATGTCAGTTTCAGTAAAAAAAACATCGTATATCTTAAATTATATTCTCTAAAAGAGCTATCACCTTGTGGCTCAGCGTTAAACGAAGATAAACGGTCTATAATCACGCCTGATGCTCCCAGGATTTTGATTAAGTAGCGCTGAAACCTCTATCTACTTCTGTCTCAAAAATATCTCAGATTTTGTCTGGTTCTCAATACTATGGAACCTGGCTTTTGAAGTTCTTCAAAATTTGTACCAAACAGTCAAAGATGACAAATTATCAAACATTCTGTTCCTTGTGATTTCCTAATTTGAGTTGATGAAAGAACGAAATTTAGATCATAATTTTCCCATGAAAATTATTTATCCAAAGAGCGGTATAAAATAATGATGATTTCTTACAGGCTTTGCCACCACCACCACCACCACCACCACCACCACCATCACCACCACCGCTGCCGTTGCCGCCGCCGGCGCCAATGTACGAGCCTCCAGTGATTGCACCGGCGCCCGTTTGCCCAATGGGCTGCAAAAGAAACTGCTTCACTTACTGTCCGAGGGATTGCTGCGGTGTTGCAGGCAAACGGGACAGGGTTTTAAGTAACGAAGGGTCTGGGAACGAGGAAACTCTTGACAACGGGAGTGCAAGTGAGGAAGTGAAGCAGAATGTAGAAGAGAAACATGACGTGTCTGCAAAATCTGCAGGGGATAATGCCAACGACAGGGAACAAATCACAAGTGATGTCAGCCAAGAAGGAAGCTCGGAAAGTAATGAAAAAGTGCGCACTGTCGAGAACGATGATTGAAAGAAGCACTAATGCGACGCACTCGATGATTTAAGAACAGAACATCTCCCAAAGGGTTGTTCAATGGAAAAAAGTCACAGTACCATGACGAACTTCTTTATGGTGTAATTTCACTCCAGAATGCGACCATAACCCTACTTTTTGGAGCCCGTGTGGATAGCTTTAATTCATTGAATACAAGAGACAGTTCATAAAAGTAAAAGTTTCAATTGAAATATTTGTGCCACCAAGAGGCCTGTAATCGAGACGTCTGCTTTTCAATACTTCAGGGTGGACAAGTAAAAACTTTCCTACAATCGCAACTGACTACTTTAAGTTAACCTTTGAATCTGATTATCTAACTACGTGAATGGTGAATAACAATAACAATAGAAAACCCAGCATACCCTCCGTTTTTCAACGACGTGCTAATGTGCTTAATCTATTAGTGACAAAAGACTGAGTTAACTGAAAACCATTTCAACCCTCAAAAAAAAGCTTATTGTACAAAGTTTAATGACGGCAATATTTGTTTATCTGAATTTATTTCTTTTTCAATACTTTTTGAACCAAAACTTTCTTGGTCATTACGTTGTGTAAGTTTCTGGAAAATGGAAACATGTAGGGAGAGAAAATAACCCAACGTAATTGCTGTATATTACAATAATCTGTTGAGATATAAATCTATATTTCTTATACAGTCATGAGTCATTACATTACTAGAGCTAACAGGAAAAAATAAGGTAATAATGTGTAATATAGGTTACGACGAGTTGAAAAAGCAGTTGTTCATAAATAATTGGGAATTTTTACTTTGTCAAACGATGTAGTAAAATAGAGTAAACAGAATATACTAATAGAATTATGGAAACTCAGATTTTGGGTTAGGTTCCTTTTGGTTGATCCTTATTGATGAGATTGATGTTTATTGTAAAATATGTTCAAAGATAAATAAACTCCTAAATCCTTATCGTTGCTACGTATTATACTGTTGAAGTAGATCGATCATAAAAGTTTGCACCAAAGTTTTAAGATTCGAACGCAGTTTTAGTGGGAAAGACTCTAATTCATGATGTCCCGAGCGTGAGACAAACTAAGCTCCCGATTAAAAAGCTCCCTTGGCTCCCAGAATGTTCGTTGGGAGCCTGCGAGGCACAGACAAACTTCTAATAAACTAGGACAGTTACCATTGAACAATTATTGGATGAGGTTTTGTCATATTCGAAATAATCAAGGTCGAAGTTAGTGTTATCAGCAAAGACGATGTCCGACGCTAATGACACTAACCGAGACATTGATTATTTAGGATATCGCAACAGCCGGATTTGATAATTGTTCCGCCGCAAGGATCCGAATTGACATTTTCCTTGAAAATCATGCATAGCGCGCAACCTTCAAATTAGTCAGTTATCTGCTAGCGGATAATTAAACTAATCAGTAGGCTGCGCTGATTTCCAAAATTAACTGCTGGCTCTTAGCCAATGGCAGGACAGATAATGAGTACAATGGAAAATAATAAGAGTTATTTGTCCTCTTCGCCTGCATACATACTGCATACAAATGCTTCCTTTCCAGTAATAAAAAATGAAAGATAGTCAAAGCAAAGCGTGATTAATAAATTGAAAACGCTCTGTGTTTCTCTCTACGAAGGTGGTATACGACTCCTTGTGCCATTAACAAGTTAATATCAGAGCGGAAACGACTGAAAGCGACTTCCCGCCCTGCCACTGGGCAAGTTTGTTTTCAGATCTGCGTGTGCCTTCGTCACTGCCGTCTCGTCTTAATTCTAAATCTGTGTAATAAAACGATGAGGGAAGTGAAACCTTAAGCTTCGTCACAATTGACGAATGCACAGCGTTTCACGCCTAGCCTTGTATATGGCATTAGCAATTTCCGGTTTGCAGTCACGTGGCGACTTTTTCCGCTCTGCCATACCCCTTCAAAATATATGTCTTCTCTGAACACACGGCCATTAAACGACGCAGAGGAAAACTGACATTTTTCTCTTCCGTTGTTGGTAAATGAAACGAAAAAGTGGGGTCATAAAAGGTGCGTTTTTGTAGACATTTCAAAGTCTGACATCAGTCAATCGCCACTTTGCTTAGCCTCTAGTATGAGAATTATCGACCTGCAAACTTCACGCTCCACAAATCCCTGCTCACAAACACTTCCATTCAGGTAGAATTTGACGTCTTTGAAATCCTCCACCACAAGAATGTCATCGTGCTAGTTTTCAAAAGTTTTTTTTAGTCGAAAGGAAAAGAAAAACTACCATTAAAAAGTCAATACTCCTTGAAATTTCTTAGTTATGCTCGCAATTTCCATTTTGTTTACAGATCGCCACCTGGTGGCATTCTATAAAATTATTTTTTTTTACCTTGAAGCACACAAACTCGATCCTTGGCGAGTTTCGCCCCATCGCTTCACGGTATTGACTAAGAAAAGACTTCTGAAATGATTATTGTCAATGGTGGGTAATTCCTCGTGGTTACCTCTTTGACCCTTTGAAAAAGCCACAAGCTAACTTTTATCAAGTCAACAAAAGCTGTTTGTGGTACCCCTGACTTTGTTTATTTCGCTTGATTAATTTTTCTTTTAATTTATTTATATTGCTCCAACCAACACAAATTCTGGTTCGCGCGAAAGTCGAGTTGGTGATCGACGCTTTTTCAAAGCGCGTCAAAGCAATTTTGCCATGATTTTTATACTCTGATCCAAAGTTGTCCATTATTAACCTCTTAATTTTGTTTTTCCTCACGGGAAGGCTTTAATAATCCACTATTATGAAATCTCGAAGTTTTTTAGTTATCGCAGCAACTCTGTGCTATTTTGCTTGGTTCTGTTTCGGCGCAAAGACTACTCAAAGAGCGGAAAAACGTTTTGATATCAAAGGTAAGTTAGTTTCCAACTGATCAGCGGCTGCCTTAAGTCATTGATTCTTTTTGTAATAAGGTCCCGACGCTGCAGCGAAATTCAAAAGGTACTTCTATTAAGACATCTCCTAAAGTAACTTATAAATATTGATGTTCAAATATTATCAAATTCAACGGTCAACAACATTTTTAGTCGTCAGATTCGCACTTTCACCGATCCAAGGACTAAACCGTTCATCCAAAGTTAAAAAAGTATAGCCTGTTTAAAAGACACGAGATTTTTTTTTAAGTTGAGAAAAGACAATATTTCAAGACCTGTCGCACAGCTGCAGGTTCCTGTTTCTTACTGTGATTCTCTCTATCTTGGGATCATATATTTCACCTCAGTCCAAGCTTTGAAAAAGAGATCGTTATTAATTTCTTCATCATTTCGGAAATGAATTCCAAAGTTCTCAGAGATGTTTTCTAAACTAAAAAATACGTTTGGTAGTCATGTTTTGGTCATGACTGTTGGTCGAGGTACGGAGTAAATATGACAAGTGATAACACTTCTCTTATTTCCTTTTTACAAAATACCGCCAGTTGTTTCACATTAAAGAACGCAGTGACTATAAGACATTTCATTTTAAAATATTTAAGAATATTTACATTATCAGATGACAAAGCTACAAAGCTGCGTCTCAAACATCGTCAAAGAAGAGAAAATCTCTCTCAAAAGCCGTCGCACTTAACTTGATTCTGTAGAAACTCCCCTAAAGATGAAATTCCGCTGTCGCATTTTTTTACTTGCGTACGCACGTAACTTTATGCGCGTAAATAAAATCTAGGCACTGTAAGGAAAACCGCGCAGAAACGTAAAGTCGAATGTCGCCTCATTTTAGCCGTACATGTATGTACAACGCTTCCCAGATTATGCAAAAATCTAGAGAACTTAATATGACAACATGGAACTACTGAAATACTTAGAAATTGCATGAAATCAATTCTCTTCCTAAAGGTTGGTTTCCACTGACGCGTTTTTGGCTACGCACGTTAACGCACGTAACTTTTAATCACGTAAATAAAATAGAGGCAAGATTAAAAGTGCTGAGCTTAAACAAGAAGTGAAGCGAGGTTGCCTCTATTTTATTTGCAAACGTAAATTTAACGCAAGTACGCACGTAAAAATTTCGCGACACTGGAAATCAACCCAAACACGCATGTGTCGGGAATTCTCCTCAGAAAAAAAACTCTTATGGTTCCATTTATTATCGTAAGCGACCAATAAATCTTAGAATTTCTTGGTTGAATGTATTTAACCATTCAATCCAGAAGTATGCAGGCCGCAGTCTGCGAAATTCCGTGATCCAGCTCATAAGGTCTTCATCGCATACACAATAGGCAGACATGATTTAGCCAAGACAGCGTCGAAAAGACAGTGACGTGGGTGCGCGCAAATGACAGAACGGAAATTTGAGCACCGGAGGTCGTGTTCAGTCCTTTCCCCGCGCTTTCGCGTTATCATTTTTGTCTACGCTAAATTGTAATGCCTAACGTCGTCATGCCAGTTTCATTTTTTTAAAAAATCAAATATGCTGATTGCTGCTTCTTCAGAGGAGTTGCAGATGGTTATAGGACATAACTGTTTCTCCACTGCAATACCCACATCACATTGCAGAAGCCAGGCAAAAATAGTTTTCGCAAAACCAGGAAACACCTTAGTATTTAAGGACTCCACCTACTTTTTTTTCCAGGCAAAGAATGGGTAGCTGCGCAGAACATTATCAACAAACTGGTTGACGAGAGCATTGGTGAGTTATTTAGTTATTAACAAATGCAAACAGTTACTCACTATTTTTTACCCTAAATGAATCAGTAAATTGGAAACAGACAAGCAATTATTTCACACTCAAAAGAAAAATTTGGAGCGACTTCGGTGCTACCTTCACAGAATAGGTTAAATGGTATGGTTCGTCTCACAATAGTCATTCTGGTCCTGATTGATGGCGAAGTTTTGTCCGCTAAAATCACTGACAGTTAACTTTCTCACTATCGTGAGTCAGGCGATAAACTAACATAGGAAAATACCTATTGGTTCACAGCTAGCAGAGTTAGGGAGGCTGAGCATGACGTTGCACATTTGTTAGAGGCAAATATCGGTAAGTAATTGCAAAGCTCCAGGAGCCCATAACCCGGAGCGAGCAACTTCCTTGCGCTCGTGTCACGGGGTTTTCAAGGACCAGTTTATTTTTAGAACGGTTTTGGCGAGAATTTCACAAACCAGTCAACAAAACCTACAGACCTACAAATGATATTTTTTGCCTTTTGATAACGTTTAGTTTTCCTTTTTGAAATCTTATACTTAGAATGTTCTCATAGACACGGTGGAGATTCTATTTTCGCCGGAAAAAGTGCCCTAAAATAAACTGGTCCGTAAAAACGAACATAGGCCTAGTAAGGCAGTTGCTCGCTCCGGGTTAGGGGCTCTGACAGCTCACAAACATACATAGTCCTGCATATATGTTTTCCGAGTCTTGTGGTCTTGTGTTTGAATGTTTTCATATTCTAAGCTTTCCTTAATCCTTATTGTTGACTGAAAAATGTATACATTATTTTCAGCTGATCATATCAAGAAGACCGGTAAAACACTTCTTCGAAAGTTACCCTCAGGTAATGCATGTTCCAATAACCGCAAAACCAGTGGGATATCTCCCTGTATTCCACTGGGCAGCAGTGCATAGCATATACATGTGCCTCCGTGAAGTGATATTATAAGAGGAGATATTCAGTTGTTGAGGTTCTACTGAATCTAGAATTAGCCGTTACATTTTTGTACTTTGTTACCTTGCCTTTGCCTGGAAGAGAGGCAGGGGTTGACTTTATTGTCATATGTAAATAGTGTTGTTCTTATGCTAAGTCGCCAAATTAACATTTAAAAAGCATTAAGGTTTGTATCAACGAAGTCAATCCCAGCCTCGCTTTCACTCAAAGGGTGGGTTACGAAACACAAAACTGTAAAATAAGCTATTACGGTTTTAAAAATCAAAAAGCCTCTTCTTTTACCATCGTATACAGAAACTAAAACAAGACATGCCGAAACGTCCTTATATAGCCACCTGCACGCAATCCTAAGAATGTCAAACTATCCTTTATCAACAGAGTGTCATGACCAGATTGAACACTGCGAGACATTAGCCAAATCTGGGGTTTGCAAGACTTCGCCAAAAGCCATGCGCGAACACTGCGCAAAGACCTGTAACTTATGTGGTGAGTAAAGAGATGTTACCTTTTTTTCTGTGAAGAAAAAGCCTCAGGAAAGAACTGTTTACCACCGACCACTGACGTATGCAGGGCTGGTACAGATTTTTGGATTCAAAATTCAAGACTTTCTCCAGACTTTTTTCCAAAACAATAATTTCTTTTTCCAGATTCAAGTTTAAGAAATAGGTGATCAATAGAGACATTGCAGAAGGCAGGAACCAACCTTTTTTCATGATGCAACGCAATCGTACAGTACCCTTATGTGGACATGAGAGAGTTCTGAAACTTCTCTTTCTGTGACTGAATGTCTTGGCAGATTTGACAATGGGAAAAACATTTTTCTTATTACGCACTTTTTGTTGCTTTGAAACAAAGAAACTCCAGTAATTGCTAATTGCATAACTAATTCTGTTGCTCAGATACTAGGATTTGTAGATACACAGGCCTGCCTTTTACCCTTACAAAATATTTTTCTTTTTTTGGTTTCCTTTTCAGAGGATCACTATGTCGTGCAACCTCATGTCAGTGTCGATTTTAAACAGAAAACTAAGAAAGAAGCAAAGCAGCAAGACGCTGTTCCACCTAAAAAGAGCTCACCTCATAAACAACATTGGAGGCCTCAGAAACCCACAGATGGGCCAAGTACAAGGAAAAATAACTTAGCCAGATACGCTGAAGGACTTATACCAGAAGACACTATTAAGATTCTTCACTCGATTGAACCTCTCCTTTCTCAGCAAACAAAGGGGGTAATGAAATTCCACCAAAATGACCTGAGCCCTGAAAACGAGAAAATTCACGACGCTCAGAAATTACTAGAGTATGTCAAAGTTCTGCAACCACCTAGGAAATTTAAGTTCTTGAATGAGGAGATTTCCAGTGCAAAAGACAAGAAAAAGTCTACAACTCTGGCAAGTGTTCAAAAGCCGGCGAAACACAATGATAGAAACAAAAAAGAAGACAATAAAAGTAAAGATAGGGAAAAATCTAAACATAAAGCAAACGCAAGGACAATTAAGTCAAAGTTAACGAAGAAGCTGAAAGTCAAGGGAACACCACTGACAAGTTTATCGAAGACAGTCACCTTCAAGAACCACAAATACAAGATAACACCCGTTGTAGACTGGGAGAGGATCTCCAAAATGCTTGGAAGTCTTGGGTACAAGGCTGTTCACATTGTTGGCGTGAAAGACAAGAAAATTCATCAGGATATAACAGAGCATCTTAAAAAGCACGGTGTGGACAAGATCCTAGGACACAAGGGAAATGACAAGGTGGCTGCCGAAACCTTTGTGTCAGCGGTTCACAGAGAGAAGTCATGGCATAACGGTACGTATTTCTAACAATCTTCCTTTACGAGAGCGGCAGCCGAATGTAAGTAAGGAACAAAAAAGGCCCTAAGAACTTGTACATCGGCAATAAATAAGGCCTCCAGTGCGTTAATCTTTTTGTCGCGAATTCTGTGTTTTCAATTTCAGTCCCTCTATTCATAGGTTTGTCTCCAAGTTTCCTTTTCACGTGAAAAGCACTGACTAACAATAAATTAGGTAAACAGAAATATTAGCTGTTGAATACATGGTAAAGGTCCTTATTTTACGTCGATAACACATAACAGTAGGGACCTTAAGATCCAACGATCCGACGTCAACGGAAACGTCGCTTAAAAAGTGAATTTGCGTTCTTTCAGTCTTTATAGCAATTATTCCTACCCACTTACTTTGTCAAATGTAGGCGAACCCTCCTGAACCTGAATTTCAAGTGACCATATCCAAGCTCAGAAAGAGAAATAAAATTTCGTCGTTGCTTGTTTACGTCCTCCATAAAACGCGAAATAAGACATTTTCACGTCGTAGTCGTGCAAAAACGGGAAAGAAATATACAAAGAAGTGTGATGCACGTGCGAAGTTGTTGTTTTGCTTATTAAACCTATTGTTTTTTTGACGTTCTCGTTGCCGTCCGCGTCGTTGGACCTTTAAGTCCCTAGTACTTACAAACTGAAACTGACAAACCTGAGGCCGACGGTGCGCTCATTTTACCCCTCCCCTCTCCCCCAACCCCACCCCCTCTCTCCAACAGTGCTCTGTTTTACGGCTATCTACAGCTACTTAAAGCTACACGGAAAGGAAACAAAGTCGAAAACAAGGATTTGAGATCACGCCTGGGAATGGCACTCAAAACCTCCCGCACAGAGGGGTGCGTACAAAAATATTGTCCTAATCTTGCCCCTGTATAATTATTCTGTTGCAGACGAATACTTCAAGGCTCACTGCCATCCTCAATGCTTGCACAGCTGTGTAGCGTCTTGTGAGCCCGGATGCTGCCCTGAGCATGACAAAGTCTCCGTCACAACAGGTCTCGCAAAACACTGTCACTCATCGTGCCTCACTAACTGCGTGCCCGCGTGCGGCAGCGGGTGCTGTTCAGCGGACGAAGAAATGAAGAGAGGGCATCACTTCTTGCATTATCAGAAAATAAGGGACTATCAGAAGGCTAAAGATCAAGCGGAAGAAAAGACGAAAACTGCGGCAAAGCAACACGATGAACCAAAGAAACAAGAAGATAATTCCAAATGTCACCCACAGTGCAAACAAACGTGCCTTGCGTCATGCGGGAAAGGTTGCTGTTCTGAAGAGGGAGAAAGAATGAGAGATGAACAGGAAAGAAAAGAGAAAGATGCAAGGGAAAAGGAGAGAAAAGAAAACAAATTAGCCAGGGCTCATGCGCAAGCTGAGAAGGATAAAGCAATTAAAGCACTTTACAAACACCAACCCAGACTCTGCCCTGCTCCATGTCCGCAGGTAAGATACAGCGTACTAACCTTTTATACCTTATGAGTGATCAGGATCAAATTTCTCCTTGTAGTATCAAAACTTTATTTTAACAAAGTGGTAAAAAGAATTAAGAACATGGTCAAAAAAGCTGAATTTGCTTCATACTTTGGCAATTTCCCCCACTACATCTGTAGGAAATGTACATGTATAAGGCCAACAAATGAGAATTCAAATTTTGATATAATTGTTTAAAAGGTTAACGGCTGATTTACATCAACTGCTTTATAATCATGCAATTTGGGCTGTGCTGTGACTATTCAATCAATTTTAACGTAGGAAAGAAAGGTTGTATTAAGACATAAAGAACTGTAAAATGGGGCTACGATAAATGTTAACTGTTGGTCAGTGGGTGGTATGCGGGTTACTTCATTTGTTTTGTTTCTTCAAAGCACAGTAAAGTTCATCAATGACTATAAATATACAGTATATATATGTTATTTTCATTATTCAAGTTTTATAAAATACCTAAGATAGTACGCACGTTCTGATTGGTTAAAAACCTATGGTTTATTGTGCCGGTAAACTCATAGAATACTTTAAGATTTTTTCATAAATTAAAGACCACACTTTCTGTGGGATCACGCCGGTAATCCCACAGAAAGTGTGGTCTACTGCTTAAATATCCATTTCCCTTTATGTGGAAGACACTGAGAAATCAAAATACTCAAATATATATATATTCATAATGAGGTTACAACTAAAATACCAGGGTCAATATCTAAGACCTTAAAAGATAATTATAACACCTTTTAGTTGTAACATCTATGGAGGTAAGAGGGTGTTACATGGGGGGGTGGGGGAGGGGGTGTAGATGAGGTTTCAAGAAAAAATGGCAGCTTTGCAAAACACTTAATGGTTTGTTCATTACCCTGGGCTCCACTTCAGGAAACATTGACATTCACAGGAAATAAAATTAACCAGTTTCCCAAGAAACCCATTTATAGCATAAGTTGTTACAAGGCCACAAACTGTCGAAGAAAAACTTCTACCTTACAAATTTAGGGAAACAATTCTCACTCCCAGAAAGTGAGCTGTAAACATTGGCGGATATTATTTCAATCTTACCCTCTGATGTCATAGTTCATAAAATGTTGCAAACTCAGAGACTTTTAAGTCAAGAACAAGAAGAAGTTCTGTGGTTAGATGTCATATGCCCTTCAAGTTATCAATGAGAGTGTGCAATGTTGAGGAATTGAGGCGGCTATAAAACAATCCAAATTATATAGAAAAACCTTCCAATAATTCTCTGGCGAGAAAAGGGAGAATTACATACATCATAGATATAGGGAAGATGAAACAATTTTCTGATGAAAAGTGCCGCAAAAACCGCTTTTCTGAAGAGGACAAATAAAACCGTCACATTTTCTCAGGGGTAAGGACCACATTAAGCTTAATTCTATCTCTGAGGAGGTTCTAAGAATAAGCTTAAAGGTTAAACCCAGACAAAATTTTCTGCACGAGTTAAGCAAATCATCAATAGGGGGGGGTGTGAATATTTAATGGATAGCCCTTAAGCATCACATAAATTTTACAGTTAAAGGTGGAAACTAGGCTGTAGTTTATCCTGTTTTGATACAACCCTTTCTGCTTTATTATGTAAATAATGTTATTCTTATGCTAGTATTTTTAAGGCATGATTTCCATAAGAAAAGGAAGGAGGTTTGTATCAAAACAAGGTCAGCCTCACATTCATTGCAAAGCTAGAATAATAAGCCCACAACTGTAAAATGGTCTATCATTTAGCTGTGAATGGTCAGCAGGAGGGCATTGCAAACAAGAAGGTAAAGAAGAGCAAAGCATGTCGAAGCAAATTAACTCCAACTAAGCCAAAAAACGATTACTTACGAACAATGCATGGGTCCCTCTTCAAAGAACTCAAAATGAAAGCCAACAAGGGTCATAAATCCAACTTAAGTACAGGACGACGTTTAAAAAATACCGCCACTTGTGGAAAACAATATGGCTTCCTACGAAATAATGTACGCGGCCGACCTGGTAACTGATTTTATGTTAGAGGCATGAAATGTCCATTCAGATGGTATATAAAGCTCTAAGTTTCGTTTCCCTTGGTAAACAAAATTACTGCGGCAAGGCGAAATAAAGAGAATCAGGCCAAATATGAACCCAAACCATGTGATAGAATACATACGGTATAAGACGGTAGCCTGGTTCATTCAGAGAATGAACAATAATAATTTTGGCAAGTTACAGAAATGACTTAATTCAGGGAATGTTGATAATGTAAGCCTTAGAATCTTGATATCAACGGTTTTCAGTTCCCTAAGACATAAAATGTTGCCCAACACAAGAGAGATTACCGTAAATCCTCTATTAAGCCCCCCCGGGGGGGCTTTTTGTTTCAAGCATTTTTGAGGGGGGTTATTTAATTTAGCGAAACGCATCACCTGTAGCAAAAATACCGTGGTATGAGACAGAGTAAACTTACGCGTTGTACAATTAAAGTCACTGTCAAAAGTATTTAATTCAGTCAATTGTGGGAGCCTAAAAGTAACAAAAACAGAATTCTTATTCTTCAAAAATGTGCTTTCGGCCTCATGTTCTTCGGTAATTTTTATGAGAATGGTTATTTGTATTGATTTGTCGTACACAACTTACAAACGAAAATCTCTGGAAAACGCCTCTCATATTTACATTTTTAAATGGTGACAATTCTCCACAGAGAACTAGAGCGCAAAGTTGAGAAAGTTAAGCATATGAAGTTGGAGGTCATGAGGCCGAAGACCAAAAACAATATGAACTTCCAGCTTGAATAAACCATAACTGATCAGTCCACTTTGATAGTTAATTTTTTTGTCAAGAATAAGGAGTGGGTGAGGGGGAGGGGGGGTCTTATTAACTATCCTCCTCTGAAAGGGGGGCCTTATTAGAGAGGGGGGATTAACAGAGGATTTACGGTACTTTAAACTAGAATGTGTGGATGGCGTTTGAAGTGGACGAAAAACGAGGAATAAAAGCGCGTACACGATTGATTGACGCCCTTTTTGTAAACGTGCGCCCTACAGTTACTCCCCCCTTTTTTTCTTTTACCTTCAAACCCCTGCCACGCGGACTAACTTTAATATTATTGTTTTGGTGTAATAACTCAAGCCTCGATAGCTCAGCGGTTAGAGCACTGGTCTCGTAAACCAGGGGTCGAGGGTTCAAATCCCTTTCGAGGCTAGTACCTTACTTTTTTTACTGATATGTAAAGAAAGAATTCGTCGCGGCCGCTGAATAAAAACACTGAAGACTTATTTAAACACGGGCGATCTCCTTTTACAATTATTTGTCATTTTACTTGTCCTTCTTCCCATTCTTTTTTATGTCTACAAATGAATCTCTAGAAAGGGGCCATTCCAATGAAAGCTAAAGGCGCAAAAACAATTTTTAAGTACAACAAGGCAGATAAAAAGACCGGGTGTACTCTTCGACTAGAGATTTCTGATTCGTACAAGTCGTCGAGAAATTTTGGGGAATATCTTTTGGGGGTTTACTGATTAATGTTCGAAACCTAGTGTTAATAATAAAGTCGTACAAGTCGTCGAGAAATTTTGGGGAATATCTTTTGGGGGTTTACTGATTAATGTTCGAAACCTAGTGTTAATAATAAAGTCACGATTTTGTAATTCATCATACAAAACCTTACTCTTCGATGGAAATTCTCAATCATTAAATAGAACGGCAACAATTTATGAAACTTTAAGAAGTTGAAGAAAATAGAACCTACCTTAGTTTTTCAAAAAAAAAATAGGTGAAACAGCCTCGTGAGGGATTTGAACCCTCGACCCCTGGTTTACGAGACCAGTGCTCTAACCACTGAGCTAACAAGGCATCACGGGTGTGACAACGTGGAGTAAAAAAACATTGAGAGATGTACTAGTGCTCAGGTTTGAAATTCCACTTCTGACACAGACGAAATAAATATTAAAAAACTAGCATTTAAAACGAACAGTTGCGTTTACCTTCAAGCAATTTGCCAAAATATCTCCAAGCCTACGCTGTGCGTCTGCGCGCTGATAAATCATAGGTCTCTGATAACGAATGTGTAGAATCTTAGTTGCTGCGGAGCGACCGAAGGGAGCGAGCAGCAACATAATCATAAGAAAAAAAATAATAAAAAAAAATTTAAAAAAAGACATAATCAGGATTTAAAGGAAATATATAAGGGGCGACGAATTCTCGAATTCATAACTTTTTACCACAATGCATTGCATTTAACCACACTTTTTACCACAATGCATTGCATTTAACCAGAGTGCATTGCTCCACGATCAACTCAAATAAAAACACGGGGAAGTTCGGTGGGTGAGAGAGTGCATCATTCGCGGCTCAGACTTTGAGTTTTCTTTGTGGCAAATTTTCTACAGCACGGTTAGAGGTCTTACCAAATTTTAAGACACGCAGGAGTCTTTCAGATGAGTACGATGGTTAACTTGGGGATTCGATTTCAATTCAAGAGCCTTTGACTCGTCCAGGTGTTAAACCTGACGAGAAGATGAGTTTTTGCTCTTGGACTCCGCAACACGTGAGATATACAAATTCCAACTTGCTAGAAGGTGATGTGAAAGTGAGAAAATGTCATGCAATGCTATTCTTAAGAAACTGTATGAGCCGAAAATGCCGTGATTTTGACCATTCGCTTCAAAATAACAGCGGAAATCGAGATAACAAAACATATGTTTTGTGTCCTACTTTGCAGACGAGGACGTGTATCGGCGTTTTGAAAAGCATAATTATGTTCTTTCATTCATTTATTGCCATGGAATATGCGTTTACATTGTTTTTCACTGTTAATAGCTCGGTTAATGCGGCTGGCGATCATCTTGCCGGCGGAAGTTTCATGGAAAAGGAATAAGATGAAAGACTTTTCCCAAAATTATGTAATGATCCTCTGTGGTGTAGTGGTTAGGTGTTGTCGCGTCGAGTAGGATGTGCTGAGTTCAAGTCCTGCTGGAGTCTTAATTCCTATTTTCTTTTTTTTCTTTTTTTTTCCGTTTTTTGTGTTGTTGTTTTCTATAAATATATAGCTAAATAACTGTTACTTAATAAAGTGCAACAAACAGCAAGAAAAGTATTGTGTTTCCAGAGAAAATATCGTGCACCGTATATTAAATATATGGATAAAGATAAACGATCTGAATTTCTATTATTTCCTACAATTTACGGTGGGAAAACCAGAGTTGATAACCACTTGATCATTTTCTAAACAACGTTACCACGAGTTCTTTCTATAGACTGATAATAATTATTCTAGTACTCTCCAACATGTAAATAGGACATTCAATGTCATTTTTGATTCTTTTAAGTCTCACTGCCTAACTAATGCCAGTATCAACAGAATGTGCCGCAGCATTACTATCTTTTAGATACCCTAGTATATTTCATAACTGGTATCGATTTGGAGGGTATGCATGAATGTGTTTCTGGTGTGATGAGAAAATTCCTACTTCTGTCAGCCGGGGAAGATGGAGTATTTGCAGCAGAAACCGTGGGACTAGCAAGGGGCCCTGATTTCCCGGCATGACCCGGTGAGAATGGCAGGGGGCCCTGATTTCCCAACCTGACCCTGTGAGACTCGCAGGAGACCGTGATTTCCCGGCCTGACCAGTGGGATCGGTAGGAGACCCAGATTTCCCGGCCGAACGCCTAGCTGGATTTGTTCCAGGTAGGATGGTCCCGAGTTCGACTCTTGGGCAACGCTTGTACTGAAATGATCAACTGGTCTCCCTCTTGTCAGTTTTTTTTTCCTGTTGTAACGTTTAATTTTAACTACCTCATTTCTTGTCCCTAAAAAGTTCCTTAAGGGGGGAGGCCTATAAAACACTATTTGCTATATCTGATATTAACACAACTATATTTTATATTTTGCAATAACTACCTCTTTACAGCTGACGAGGTTTTGAAATAAACGTATTTCTAGTATTGTTCCTTCGACTGAAACATGCTCTTTTTTTAAGGTTTGCGCACCATCTTGTGCAGACGACTGTTGTGCATTTGGTAAATTTGCGCCTACTCAGCCAGGGATGCCTCCAGTTGAGCAGCCCCACCCTGGACTACTCCCTAACGTACCTTATCCTCATTCAAAAGTCATACCCATTGAGGCTTTTGCCTGCAAGGAATCCTGTAAGTTCTCCTGCGCCTACGACTGTCCTCGTGATTGCTGCAGTCCAGAGGATGTTGCAATGCAAGAAGCTCATGAAGCCGCTGCCGCAGCGGCGGCCTCACCACCAGCCACGACAGTGGGAGCTCCGCAAAGTCTTGCTTTTCAAGGATTCGCTCCTGCGGCGAACACTTGTCCAAGCCCCTGCCCTGGGGGATGCTATCCATCATGTACTGTAGCGTGCTGCACTTCAGCGCTGGGCCTTCCACAAGGAAACGAAGCAGAATTAAGCCAGGACGCTCGCTCCTCCACTAACCGAGTCCTGCACGTCACTCACGAAGTTCAACCAATTATGAGCTTCAATGGGTGTGCACTGTCATGTGCTTCACACTGTACTCCAGCATGTGCGCGGACAGGTTGCTGTGATTCATCGAGAAGAAGAAAGCGAACACCCTTCTCCCGACTTTAACTTTTTGGACATCTCCAAACTTTGTAAACAATATAACAATCAAATGCACAGAGACACATTTTCCCAAACAAGAATTCCAAGCTTGTACATTTTTCTAATATGCTGTGTTGGATGCATTTTTCACTTTAATATTCTATGCAAATGAATTATCGCACTGTCAGAAGGTAAACGGGTTTCGAAAACAGAGATCGGACTCAAAGAGGGAAAACAGGTCAGCTGTACTCAGATAGCCACTGAGTTCTCGCATTCATACTGCAAAAAAAAGGAATCCATGAGTGTTAATTGTGTTCTAACTACACTTGTAATGGCGATATCTTCATTATGTTGTTTAAGATGTTTTTGGATCCCGAAATAACGATCGTCCCAAAACAGCGACCCCATTTGGTAAGAAACGACAGGATAGTTACTTTCCACCGCCACTTTACGGATCGTAGTGACAATCATTGGTGAAGTAGAACCAGTAGGTCTAGTAGCAACGTTCTTAAAAATGACACCACCATTTACTCCTATGTTCATTTCATTTGCAATTTACTTGTAAAAGAGAAGAAAAATAATCGGAAAATTTAATAGTTAATATAAGATACAAGGAAATTCAAATTATAACAGATTTCAAGGTATGGAACAATTTTGATTTGGTTCTTGAGCAAGAGAAAGTTCAATGTTTATTTTAAAATAATGAATAATTAATAATAATAACAATAATAATAATAATAATGATAATAGTAATAAAAATTGCCCCGTCATCAATTATTTACTTGTACATTACTTATCGTTATTATGAAATCCGAAGCGTTTTTCAGTATGAACTTATTAAAACATATGTCTTGCGCAATAAATACCATATCATATCACGAGAACAGTTGTCAAGTACAATATTTTTTAAAGTTATCTAAGAGTATTAAGATACTATTAGATAACCTCAACCCAAACATACCAAGAAAAAACAGACCTTTAATTTTAAGGTTACCAAATTTTAAAATTAGAACAGCAAACTGATCCTTACGGCCAGGAAATATCGGGCAATTATAATTCACCGATTTATTTTTGTTTTCTCTTTTTATTTGGCTATCACTCTTCCTGCCGTAAGGATCAGTTTACTGTTCTAATTTTAAAATTTGCTATTTAAGATTTTACTGATCCAGGTCTAATAAAGACCCGGCTGACCCTCAGTCATTTTTTTTTCGTTGTGGTTCTGCCTTCACAAGTGTTTCTTTTTAGGTTGCCTTGATTATTACCCCTCTGTTTCATTCCATGTGACATTTTCAAATGTCCCGTTTCTCGCCATAAGTAATGCTTTCATATATTTGCTCGAATAAGCACCTCGAGTGAGCGCTGCATTTGGGATTAAAAGGTTTATTAGCACCGCCCCCGAATAGGTGCCATGGTATCGATGGAATTAAAATCAAAAAATGTGTCTCAGTACCTAAAATTAATAATGCTGCTAACTTTAAAGAAACAATTCTTTTCTCGTCCAACCTTCAAAAACGCTTCCATGACATAAGCACCCCATTTAAGGCGTGATCCAATGAAAATGAAAAATGTCTGTTGTCTTGCGTAAGGGTAGAAATTGCACACTGTTTTTACCCATAAAGGCACCGACTGGGTTTTTACGTAAAAAAAAAAAAATTAATATCTATATTGCAAAATTGCCTTAATACTGTGTTAGAGTTCGCTCCCCGTTAGGGGTCAAATAGAACCTAGGCTACGCCCAGTTTGGTCTTCTTTAGGCTTTAATTCTAAATTTCTCACTGGCTTCCCCGTCTCTTGTATAAAGAAGTTTCCCCGGGGCTATTTGAATCCAAGTGCAGCATAACATGGCATAAGATAAGAATTATGCTCATTAACCTGAAGAGGTATGAGCCAATCCGTGTTTACACGACTTCCCTGAAGTCTGTAAACGAATACAAACTTATACGTTTAGTGCTTCCTTATGCCCGTGAATGGACGCTACTGACCGCAGGGTGGTGGGGGAGGAGAAAGCAAACATTGACCAATTGCCTGACCCGGATCACTTAGCATCACACGAGATGTGGTTATGTATTATTGCGAGCTCCCGGGGGGTATTCCTGGGAATTCGTGGTGGGGGTGTGCCACCAGGTACTCCAGATCCTGACCGTATTTCACAACCTCGTCCCCAGGGCGCTTTTCCTGGCTTTGGAGGTGGGGCGTCCCACCTCCAAAGCCGGGGAAAAGCGCCCTGGGGACAAGGTTGCCTATTTTAGACCAAAAAATTGTCATTATCCACCCCCGTTTTTAGACCTGGCCTCTAAAATCCATATCCTTTTTCAGACCTAGCGTAGGCAGAAATTATGTTGTCATTACTTAGCTAGATCAGAACGCCAACAAAAAGATGTCGAATTCGCATGTTACTCTTTCTTTCTTATTCCTTTGGAATTGAAACGACAAATACGTTCATGCATTCTCTCGAAAACCATACCCGAATTCAAACCAAAATAGGCCAAATAGACCAAAAAGGCGGAAAAACCATACCTTTTGGGGCGGCACACACCTCTAAGGCAAATATAAGGGAGTACCTTCCGAGGCGAACTCAACTTTTTGTGTTGTTAATCAACTGACACAAAGCACTATAAGGAAAAATCCCTTTGCCGGCAAATGTTTCCTTTACAATGATTCACGTATGGTCGACGAAAACAAAAGGATAAATTTAAATAAACCCATAAACAGCCCTAATATTGGCATAGTTCAATGAAGGTCTGCGAAGACAGTCACATCAAATATATATTCTTGGTTGTACTTCGTGTCGGTCAACCTCATATCCAGGGCTAAGTTGTCTTTTGCTGCCAAATATAAATTAAACATCATGGTATATTTTTGGTCCGGGGGTAGTCTCAATTTTTTCTCGTGTAGCTGGGACTTTACTCATTTGAAACTTAGCTAATATAATAAAGGGTACCCTATCTAAGGATCACACCTGGAACACAATGCCAACAAGGACAAGATGATACCCTATTGATAGGTTGGATAACGTTCCTCAAAAACTAGACCCTATCGGGGGGCACATACCTATCTAGTTCCCCCGGGCTTGTTGGCTTGCCCTGACACTTGTCAAATATTAGCTGTTAAGGGTAAACCGACACTGTGACGCAAGCGTAAAGAAATGTACAAGAAATTTTATGAGTTAGATAAGGTGCGTCAAATAAAGGAGAATGGGATACCAGAAGAAATGTTTGTCATAACAAATTAAACTTACGATGGGCTTAATTACTTAGAGAGTTTGCAGAAATTTCGATAAAAATATTCCAAATCAAAATTTACCACATTTTTTCTTTACTACATGAACAGGAGAAAATTTCGCCATTGCTTAAACGTATTGAGGACGGGTGTTAATGTTTGCCAAATGCGCCAGCGTCAATGGTACTGCTCTGTTTTATGCTACAAGGGGACTCTACTGGAACATTAAGCGGACACTGGGGAGTGTGCATATACTTTTGTGGCAAATAAAAGGACGCTGCTCTTTGGCTGTTCGTTGTCAGTTGGGAGCGATACTTCGTTAACAACAGATTCATAATTGGAGATTGACTTTGCACCACCACGGGAATGTTCCTTCCTGTTTGTTCAATCAATAAAGAGTTCATTCGCTGAAATTGAATTGGTAGTCATGCGTTACGCGAACCCCTGCGGAAATACGGCATACAGGGTTTTAGAAGGCGCTACCTCCCCTGTGATATTTGCAAACGCAAACCAGATTACCTGATAGGAATGGAGCTCTCCTTTATCGTTTTCATTTTTATATATTAAGAATGACACGTCAAATTTCAAGTTCTTAGGGTATAATTGCCATGCAACGTGTGTGACAGGCTCTTTATGGGTAATTCTTTAATTTCATTAGCTTTTATTTAAATGGTCACCCTGAAAAATTTTGACTGCGCTCTTAAAAGTTAAAAAAATAACCTCCGTTTGAAACTTGACCTAGATAGAGAAATCAATTTAAAATGGAACTTAAAATGAAAGTGACCAATAAATGTGGGAAGTGCTACAAAGAGAGACATCGTTCGGGGTTTCAAGGGCTGTACCGTTAACACTAATTTAAAAAATCCTTGCTTTTCAATAGTTAAATGGACAGTGCGACACCAGTTCACTGAAACAAAGAGAATCTTTTTATTACTAAGAACAAAGAGTCTTGAATTATTTATAACTAAACTCGAAGAAAGCATCAAAAAGATAATCATAACCTATTGGTGGTGGTGTTACGACGAAGATCTTTGGAGGAAAAACGTGAAAAATATACGGTACGTCTGGAAAATTTTACAGATATCGATTCAAAGTATATGCAAATGAAAAAGTTTGACCTAACTAAATGAAGTTTATGTGCATATGTTTGGTTACGTTTCGATTATTGTATTCTTCACGCTCTTAGAATACCCTCGCATCTTCCAATAACTGTAGTTAGATTAACCTTATATACTGCTTCTGATTTTAGGGACGTATTTTTGGATCTTAGTATGTAAAATTTCAACTTCACGAAAATTTTGTTGAAAGTTGTTATATAGAAATTTGGGTTCGAACAAAGTGAGGTTATACAGCGAGGTTAGAGGAGTCGTTAAGCTTTCCACACTTTTGATATGAGTTATCACATTTCATTAGTTATATTCTCTTCATTTTGACAGATGAACCAGACATTGTTGACAATAGGACTACTTTTTACTGTAGTCTTGCTTTTCACGACATGGACAGAAGCGAAAGGAAAACATCACCGTAAGTCGACATTTAATTTGGATACTGATTAAAGTGAACCTCGATATAACCCGAAGTTTCGGGGAACTGGCAAAATTTGTTCGCTATAACAAGGTTTTGTTAAATCGAAGTTCTTTTAATTTCATATATTTTTACTATTACTGGGGTTAAGAAAATCGTTCGTTATACCTACAATCATGGACAAAAGTCCTTGGGACAGTCAGAACGTAACCTCAATTCTATGCGTTTCACAAGTAATGTCGCAAGAAGCAGTGCTGTCGTTTTAAAAACCCATGTGCCCTCCCCCCTCCCCACCCAATACAATGTTGAAAGATCAAAGGAATTGTGCCTTGACGGTTTCAACACTGTCCGTGGTGTGGGGGGAGGGGGTTGGGACGTACAGTGTCAGTAGCGCGCGGATACAATTTGGAGTGTTTGTTCAAAAGCGTCCGAACTATACAACTGTCCCAAGGCTTTTGTCCATGATTGTAGGACTTCTTTACATAGTAGTTGGTTATATCGAGATTCCAATGTACTACACAAACAAAATAATCCCTTCAAAGCAAAACAAAAGCCAAACTATTGCGGCTTTTGAAAAGCCGTTTGTAACCTTAGCTTTAATGTAACTTTGGAGTGATTTACATGATCTTGTTGTGATTTACTGAATCGTGTGAACTGTGTAACCATGCCTTCTTGAGCTTCGATTAGCACTGTCAAGTAGCGATGCGAATCTCAAATAAAATATGGTTCACCGATCACGGTTTTCATTGCTTTCGAAATGAAATTTTTGGCAATAATTACATGTCCTTCAAGTTACATTTAAATTATTTATTTTTTTCCAGGTGCTTTTGTTTGCAAAAGGTGCCTCATTGAAGCTGTTTTAAGAACCACTGCACATATTAAACTGACTCTGCGTTGCCAAAGCAAACATTTTCTAACGTCTTTTAACCATCTTGTAATGGACTTTTTTTTTCAATTTCTGTGACAGAATTTTTTTTCGTTACTCAACTATTTCTATTTCCAAACATATTTGAAAATAAGAAAATAAAACGGAGCTGAAAACATAAACTTATTTTATTGATAGAATTTCTTTTCCCAGTATAATCGCATACAGTTTTTTTTCTACAATTACGAGACTTTTAAGGTCAGACTATTCGTAAGTTTGTGTCTCGGCTTTGTTGTAACAAATTAATAAAATCTCGATAAACTTTGCTTCATAAAATGCCGAAAACATGGACGCTAAAAATTGGATTTGTTTACGCCTCGTTTGCGTTTCCATGTAAAACACTTTGTGAAAGGTTTGTACCCAGGAGTCATTTCAAAAGTAGGTTGAGTTTTGTTACTCCGTATACTTTCCCTTAGGCTGGCGTGATCTATTTCCCCATCAGAGCTCTTTTTGATGCTAAAAGTATAATTAAAAAACTGTTTATCATTATGCATGTCTAACTTAAACCATCCTTTCTAGCAATGCTGATAAGTCAAAAGAACCTTTTTTTAATAATACTTTGGGATAAAATAATGCAGCAGAGCAATGCGAATGAACATTACTTGCTCAGAGTATATGTTCTCTAGTTGTCTCTCAAAAACGTTTTAAAGCAAAGGACACAAATCTTATTCCACAACAGGGCACAAGCATCTCAAGAACTTTCTTCGACACAAGGTGGCAAAACACGAACGAGAAAAGAAAGTAGAAGAAAAACCAGAGGACATACAATTAGTGAAGTCAGGTAGATACTACCGAACGTTACAAATTATATCAACTGAGGGAAAGACTTTGTTGACGCTGTCTCAAAAATCTTTTTAAAAAGTAAATAGTACTACATGTATAAAATGAAATTGTAATATATTCAACATGGCAAAAGACGCTTCTCGTATATATTGGCACAAGTCTCGTGTATTAAGTAATGATCCGGGTAAGGTGGATAGCAATTTCTTTTGTTATGCGGCAACGGTGCTTTCCCTACATAGGAATGTTCTCATTTTTACACGGCGAATGCTTAACCCTACATGAAGGCCGTTTACGCAATAAAATGCATTTACACTCCACTTTGAAAGGGTGTTTTTTTGTGTTAAAAGATTTTGACCAATCACAAGAGTTGAAAACAACAGCCAAGAAAAGTTTACAATTTTACATGTTCCCCACATAGGATTTCTTTGTTATTCAAACTGGAAAGTAAGACTGAATATATGTACTGCTTTATGAAGTTTTGTTAACTTTTGCTGTTTAAGCCAATCAGAAGTAAGTACAGACAATAGAAAGGTTAGCACCTTTTTTGCATTCCAACATGTTTGTTGCCGTTCAGTGCTATCGTTCTTACCTGGACCGTTTCTTAAAGATATAAATTGCATGAGTAACCTAGCCTCCCATGCAGACATTCTTTTGGCTCGACACTCGATTCTCCCCAACAAAGTCGGCTGAAACGAGTGGTTAAAAACGTAGACCAATTATAGCACACTTCCAGGTCTAGGAAATGCACTTTGGACTTTGCGGAAGTTAGCGATAGACAGCAGAAAAGTTAAAAAAAGTTCTTCCTAAAAGGAAAAGCCTTTAAAGACTTACAATCCTGGACTAAAGTCCTTGGGACAGTAATGCAGTAATCACAATTTTCTGTAATCTCTGAGTACCCTTATTAAACAGTGCATCCTTATCGAAATTTTCTTGCAGTTATTCGGAAAAAAAAAATTCTGGATGCACGCGTCCAACGTTGTTTGTGCGGAAGGGGGAGGGGCTGAGCATGTGTGGATTAAAAAAGAGCTCCACAAATACGAAAGTGTTCCCAGACCTATGTCCATGATGGTAGATCTGTGTTCGGTTTCAGATTGAGATTTCAGCTTACCTCGTCTGTCACCTTGACAGGGCACTTATCCTGCCATTATTTTTAATTTTAATTTTATTTGTACAGAAGATGACCTAAGCGGAAGTGGTCTTGACTTCGCTGCTGAACCTGAAGTTGATATGAAAGGTATAAAAATTACTATAGACAAACGTGCTGAGTCGCTGATAGTCAGTCAACAGTTCAGTTTCCAATTTTTAATTGGCCAAGCGTTAATAGGGAGCTTAAGCAACGGCGAAGACGACGGAGGCAGTGAAATTGCCATCCAGTCAAACTTTATCTCGTCTATTTGGACCTTCCCAATTTGTGAACTGTAATGCGATTTCTCCTAGAGTTTAATTTTTAACGACTTTATCCAGGTTCTAAAAAGGTAAAGTCGTTATCGTAGAAGGTTTCACGTCGTAGTCGTGCAGCGGACGTCAAAGAAATGTACTAAAAAACATGATGTACTTGCAGAGCTATTGCTTTGTTCCCAATTGTTTTTTGACGTTGTCGTTTTCGTCGTGGCTACTTGAGCTCCCTAATCTACGAACCTGCTGGGTTTGGGACACTTCCTTTTCTCTCCTCTTCTGGTAGAAAATTTGAGAGTATGGGGCAATTCACAGTTATAAATACTGCTCGCTTTGCGTAAGTTTTCCCCCTGCCGTCCCCACCCCCCTCCTTAACAAAGTTGAATTTCATGCACTTCCCCAATTTTTTTAAAACTAATGTTTATAACCTGAGACTCTCAATGTTCAACGTCCGGGGCCGGGGAAGGGGAGTTATTGAAAAGGCACAGATTACATGTACACATGACTAAGTGTCTCAAACGTTTCGACCATATTAATCATAACGGGATCTTAATTAATTTAGTTAAAAGTCATATCTTATCAGAATTAGCCTTGATTTATCAGAATATGTTGCCAAGCCCACAGAAGAGAAAACGAAGGAAGAAGGAGAGAAAGCTAAAGACCATGTCGCACATATAAGACCAAAGAAAAAGAAAATTCACCATGAAGGTACTAATTTAATGTTCCCTATGCTTGATAGAAAAACAGGCACCATTTCAACGAAAACAGCGGATTGTTAATGGTCCCGTCGTCCTCCAGTCTAGATCCGTGGCAACAATTAATTAATGAACAGATATTATTCAATAGCCAAAACGTTCGCTTCTTTACAGTTGTATCCTGTCCGAGGAAAGGGAACGCCGATCGGCTTTTCTTTTAGGCCTTTTTTCTTTCGTTCACCTGCTGACCGTTGTTCTTGATGAACACTACTTGTTCACGAGAAAAAGGAACAATTTAGGATCGATATGCTTGGTCACTACGGTTGCTTGCTCAACTTTGGCAGTATCATTTGCCAAATGACTTACATACTCCTTAATCAATTGATCTTTAAACAGATGATGACGATCAAGGATCCCTCAGAAACCTTTTGGACTCAAGCATAGGTAAAAAAAGACATAAAATAATATTTTCATTGGTATTCTATCCCCCTGCACCTTCCTTATTTAATGGAGAAAAAAGATGAAAATTTCAACAGAATGGTCAATCTCTAGCATTTTCTCACGGATGTCTTATAGAACCACGCAACAGAGGATAATTATAGTGACAATAAACAATGTCACAATTTAACATGCTTGGTAGATTCAATTGAACCTTTATTCAGAATTTTATCCAGAGACTCAAACGTTTCATTAGAATTGTTCAGTATACATATAGTACATAGTGCTAAAGAGGAAAGCACTGCTCAGTATCTACTTTTCCTTTAAGAGTAAACGTCCCTGTTCATAAGTCTGGATTAATTTATTTTTCTTAGAAAACCTCGCTAAAGCTGGTAAAGCGATTCAAGCTATTTTAGATGCTACAGGAACAAGGAGGGGTAAGATTTTTACTATAGTATTAGTGTTGCTTTTAATTGTCCGTTCAGAACAGTTCTGTGTCACACTTCAAAAATAGTAAGGTTTTATCACCAGTCTTACTCTCCAATGAGCTCTATAAACAAGTGTAGGAAATCTGTCTCTTGTCTTTGTTTGCATGGTTGGGAAGGTGAAATAATTCAGTGCCTTAGCTTACATACGAATTGTCAAATTCGTCCCCAAGGCTTTTTTCTTAGAAAATGGAAGGGATGAGCAAACGGAAAAGCCCTGGTGACGAGGATGGCGCACTGGCCGGTTGATCTCGAGTTTGTCCCCACCCATCGTTCTTGCCATCAAGGGGAACACTTTTTCTCTCCACCTTTTCGTTTGTTTATATTTTCTTTTAAATAAACAAAGTAATTATTTTATAAAACAAATCGGAGTCTTAATCTAAGAACTGAATTAAGATTTTGACCATTTGAATCCTAGTTAGTCAGACCTGCGCTGGTTCCTGCCCAGATGTCTGTGCTCCAGGCTGCCAATCAACATGCTGCAACACTCCACCATCTAGTCCCATGTCTCAGGTAGCAGGTCAAGTCCCCTATCCTTCCCCGTACCAACAACAGTCACCTTACGGATACCCGCAACAGCAACAGTACCCTCAGATGCCACAGCCACAGTATCTTCCAATGCCACAGATGGCCCAACCACAGCAGCTAGCCCCATACCCTCAGCAACCTAGAGCTGGACAATGTCCTCAGCAATGTTCTGCAGCACCTTGTCCCAGCGCCTGTCCTTCGACTTGCTGCAGTTCACAGCCCCAGTACCAACCACAGGCTGCAGGCGGCATGATGAGTGCACCGCAGTACCTTGAATTACCTCCAGCTACACCTAAACCAAATATCACGCAGTCTTCAAGCTGCGCCTCGCCGTGCTCACAGTCATGCGCTCCTGCTTGTCAACCAAGTTGCTGTTCTGGATCAATGGGCATGCCCATGGGAATGCCATTTCCACAGCAACAACCTATGATGCCTGTCATGCCCCAGATGCCCCCAACGCCTCCGATGCAACAACAGCAAGCATGTCCACAAGCCTGTCAACCAGCTGCACCTGGTGGATGTGCACCGCAGGCTCAATGCCCCCAGCGCTGCTGTCAAAACAGACGAAGATAAACCACAGTAAACAATAAACATGACTACCATATTAGCGACGTCTCTGAAAACAAAATTGTTATTTTATCACCTTAACTGTTACATGTTCCACGTTGATCAAGCATTTTCTATTGCCGTGTTTATTCATGTAGAGTCTAAAATACTCACGATATAAATACACCATACGTCATGTTTGAAATTACTCCTACCTTAAACGGGTGTAAAGAAACTACGAAATGAGAATTTTCACTTTCTAAAATCGCACGATTTTACCCACTAAATAGCTATTAACCTAAGACAAAGCGTTAAAACAATGAGCATTTTGTGAAAATCGCCAAAATACTGATGCAAGTAGTGGTAATAAGTTAATAAAAGACATAAGTTCTTGGATCAAATACTCATCAAATTGTTTAGTTCAAAATAAGTTTTGTCTGTTTGTATCTTTTCATCTTTATCTTTATTTATTCATCATAATCATGTATAGCTAGAAAAGTGGTTTCGTTTATTTAGTGTTCCATATATTTGAAATAGTATATGAGCATTACATTCCACACTTGAAATGAAAATTTCATTACCCTCAGTTATCGAACAATGATCAAAGAATTGAAAGTAGAAATATGTATAGGAGACAACAAACTGATAACTTTGTTTTTCAATAAAAATAATAGTTTTCCCTCTATTTTTTAATGTCTCATTTTGTTTTGGTAATATGGCAACTCCTAACGCGAGCTGTACAAGGGTCTTTTAAGCCCGAGAGGAGGAATTCCCAGGACGTTCCACACTGACCTCCATCTTCGCCCCATGTAAGGGAATCCAGATTCCGGACACCGGGAAATTTTTGGTTGGTGCCGGCATCCAGGACAATTTTGCTCGTGGAATCCGGAATCGTGGGCTTTGGAATCCGGAATACCTGTCAATCAATCCATAAACCCACTAACGATTGGAATCTTGTACCTGGAATCCGGAATTCAAGGCGTGGAATCCAGAATCCCAGACTGTCTTGCATTCCCTTACATGGGGTGATCCATCCACTTCCTTAAAGAATTAATTGAGAGAAATTTTGAATAAAATATCAAAATATTTTCCCAGTGTAATTCTCAAAGCCTTTCTCTTCGTGACGTATAACCTGCGATCATGCCCTCCCTATATCTCTATATGATGGCAGATTACATGACGTATGGAGAGGGTAAAGAGAAAATAGATGTTAATCACTCTTTCAAGGAGTAAAGATATGGCGACAGGTTAAAAAAATAATTCTGCACAGTTGTAGCCTCCCACGCAGACGTTCTTAGCGGTTCGTCACGCGGTCCTGCCCCATGAACGTCTGCTGAACTGAAAGATAAATTCCTTTTCCATTGTTCACAAATATCGGCTGGAGATCACATGCCGATCATCGGAGATACAATCGGCGTTGTTGAAGTCAAAGTGTTGACAAGCCAAACACATACGTACAAGTTCCGCAGAGTGTGATACATGGCCAAAGATTTTTGCTCCCGACGAGATTAAGCTAGATTAAAGGAGATAAGCGTTGGCTTTTTGTATATTTCTCTCTCTGTAAAGGCTGGATTAGATGTCATTTGCTCATAAAGTTGTTCTTTGGGTGATGCAACGGCGGGGTTACCTTGTAAGACTGAACAAAAGGAAGAATTTTTTTGACACGTTATTGTTTTGTAGTAAAGGCGACTTCCGTTCAGCAAATTTAACCTCCGAGGTAATTTTTTTCAACGAGATTCTGAGAAACCATTAGGTAGCCATTAGTACGAACGCTTGTGAGTTATCTGAGTAGTTTGTTCTAAAACTGTAAGGTCTTCACCTTTCATGAGACCTTTCTGATGTTTTCTGGAGCTATAAAGTCAAGCGCGAAATTTCTCAAGGTCCAAAGTGCACTTCCCAGATCTGGAAGTCTACTGTGATTGGTCTACGTTTTTTTCCGCTCAAGTCAGCAGACGTTCGTGGGACAGGAACGCGTGACCAACCCCTAAGAACGTCTGCTTGGGAGGCTAGTACAGTTGATTACTCTTTAATGTTTAGCAAATGCAAGCTACGAGTTCCGGAGGAATCAATTTCATCGACAATTCTACCTATTTGTCACAGTGCATTTATCTCTATTGAAAGGTACTCGATTGGGTGAAACCTGCTTGAATTAGTACATTAACTAACTGGTGTACTGACCGTCCCTTATTGACAAAAGACTGGCCAACAGGACTAACACCTTGTTGGTTTCATGGCCGACAGTCAAACTAAATAACAGAGTGGATATCTGTCCGTCTAACTGACTCACTAGCCCATTAGCGGACTGACCTACTGACGAACGTATCAATCTACTCACCACCTGACTGTCTGACTGACTAATTGATTGATAGACTGACTGACTGACTGACTGACTTACTGACTTACTGACTGAATTCTGACTGACTGCTTGACTGGCTTACTGACTGACGGACGACTTACTGATTGACTGACTGACTGACTGACTGACTGACTAACTGACTGACTAATTGCTAGCCGACCGATCAAACGACCTGGTCCAACTGACTGGCCGTCAGACAGCTGACTTTATAACTCACTGACTTGCTCACTGACTGACAATGTTAAACAAAGCGACTGACCGAGCGACCGAAAGACCGATCGACTGACGCACTACAATAGTTTTTTAAAAACAACAGCTGCAGTAAATGTGGAGGTTGGAAATCGTTTAACGGCGCCCTGCCTCACTTTGAGATAACCTTTCCCAGAAATTTAATGTATTTCATTTATTTATTTATTTAGCAATTTATTGATTCATTTAACAATACCGTAAAATTCCGAAAATAAGCCCCGGGAATTATATTTTTCAAAGGCCCTTTTTGAGAGGCTTATTTTTGGAGGGGCTTATATTCGGAGGGGCTTATCTATGGAGGGAAATTTGCGTCTCAACATCGTTTGGTCTAGCCTTATAGTTGGAAGTAAATTTACCGTCTTTGCTTTGTTTTACTTTGTATCTGAGGGCAATTTTCCAAGTACAAGCCCCCGGGGGGCTTCTATTTGTAGGGGCTATTTAACGGAGGATTTTTTTGCGTTACGAGTTTGGGGGACTTATATTTGGAGGGGCTTATACATGGAGGGGCATATATTGATATTGTTATTATTGTATTGTAACTTGTTATGATTTTGCAAATAAAGCATGTTGTTGCTGTTGTTGCCATTGCCATTAACCTCGAATCACGCTCAATCCAATCACGCTCGACCCAGCTTGTGCTCTGACAAAAGTAATTGATGTTAGTCACGTGGTTAATTCGATAACACTTCTATCCAAAACACCAGTTCTAATCGACAGGTATCAATCTCGCGTTTTTTGGCCGGACCTTTCAACGTTTATTTTGACGAACGGTCCTCTCGACGTCAAGAGATTATACAGTTTTGGCCACTTTTATTATTTTAGATATGATTCTTTCTCGATGTTATCCACTTGGACATGATTCGCGAAGCTAGAAAGGAAGTTTTGAGGCTTGAAACTAAGTCTCCCCACATATACGAAACCTTGGATTATAAAAGACTAAATAAAAAAAGCTTCATTGCTGTTTTTAAAAGACATCCTCGGAGAGATTTTGATCACAGAACAAGTAAAAGATCACGCCTGTGTTCGATAAATTACCTTATCGAGAATGACTCACAACATTAGTGCGCATGCGTTGTTTACTAAGACCAGGGCAAGGTTAGGAACAAGTACCAGCCGAAAGAGTTAATAATTCAGCGAATAAGGGACATTTTTCGCTAGTGAGATTTCTTTAACAGCCCTCTCCTCTTTGCAGCTCGAGACCGAAAGAGGAAGGTATTGTATATCACTATAAACGCCTTTATTTTTTGTATGTATTAATTTGACGAACGAGGTATAGCATCTTATGAAGCCGTGGGGTCTGATATAATGAGACAAAGAAGCAAACGGTTTAGTGATCCGTCACATAAATACTCGTATAAATGAAAATATCACGTTGAAAACCTCGTTTAGCAGACTTCACAACATTGAAAAAACCTTGTTCAATCTTTTTCTCCCTACAAGGAGAGTGCAGATGAATGAACTGAAATCTTCACGTAAAGTGTTCCTAGGTTGTAACTTTTATCTTAAGTCTAGTAAGTGAGAACATAACTAGCTATGACCTGTTGCATATTGCGACGTTATTTTTAATATTACTATGCCTCTGTATCTTCAACTATTTCAATCTTAGAAAATTTATCTTGAAGTCTGTAGTAAAAACAAAGGAATATTTTTTTCATTTAAACCTGCGTAAATAATGGTTAACTGAATGTTGTCGTTGTGAATTCTTTTTATTCTCAATACCTGCTTACATGAAACAATAGCTACATAGTGAAGAGAAAATACAGGTGATCACCTTGGAGATATTAGGGTATACAGCATTTTTCCATTACGTTTGATTTTAATACTTTCTTATGACAATTTTTCCTTATTTACCCCAGGGTAAGAAATATGCAATTTAAATACACGAGCTGCGCGCTTTTAGTCGTGCTCCTCTGCATTTCATTCACAAGCCATCTTGTACGAGCAAGAAGTTTAAAAGGTGGGTGTTTATTATTAAGGCTATTTTCTCACTATACGGTATAGTATGAAGACCTATCCGATATGTGACGCTCCACTTTCGAGTTCAGGGCGGCGGAGTCTCGATTCGTTACCGAAATCGCCCCGAAATCAGCATTCTTATGTGTCCAGCATTCCTATGTGTCCGGCATTCTCATGCCCTGTCCGGTATGGTTTTCATTCCAGAGCAGAAGCTTTCTGGTATAGAGTGAACATTTCCTAAGGGTTGCGCAATAAGTTCGGTCTAAGAATTTGAACTTTTAACAAAGCCGTGATTAACCTTTTATCATGGCAAAACGCTATAATCTTCGTAGAAATTTTCCTTACCTATAGAAGCACATAACCTTGTACCACCTGTGTATCATCTAATCGCAATAGCTTTAAAAGTGTTACGCGGGTCATATTTTTGCCGTGTGACCTGAATTATGTCTAAAACACTTCAAACTTTTCAGCAAACTATAAAAATATGGTGGTGCTGAATATCTAACTCCAAAAAACTTTGAAATTTTTCTAACATAATTTTTTTTTCCTTGGGTAGATTTAGCAAGTATTTCAAAAGGTAAGATTATTTTGTTTTCTGCTTTTCAAATACAAATAATGGCAAGAAAGTGAAAAATAATATTCATCAAACCAATGGGAGTGACAAAATAAAAACTAACGACAGTAATCGCTGGAGATAAGATAATAGACGAAGTTTTATACGTTGCCCTTACCCAAGGTCCAACCCTCCTACCCTGTTATAAACCCTATTTAGTTTTTCGCTGAAAGGTACTCCGTACACCTTCCAATTGAAAATGGTACCCCGTTCCTACTTTGTATGAATATACCGAGTCATTTTCAACTTATATACAGCTATAAGAGGCGTCTTTTCGAAATATTTTAATTAAAAGAATGAGGGGTTAAAGCGTTCATCACTTCTCCATCATCCCAAATTAGGAGCTTATCACGTGAATACTATAAAGAGGTATAAAAGAGTAGGCTTTTGCAGATTAACAGAAGCCCATTACCCGGAGGGAGTACCTCCCTTGTGTCCAGGCAACGGCGTTTTTACTGACCAGTTTATTCTGAGATCGATTTTCCCGCAAATTTTGAATATCAAAATAGTCTTACAAATCAGTCATAAAAAAACTGGAGATTAGATAAAAGCACTTCTGATGTTTTGATAGCATTTACTTCCTCTTTTTGAAATTACCGTAGTATGGATGCGCACGCATACGGAAGGGTGCTTCCATTTTCGCAGGAAAAAGTGCTCAAAAATAATTATAAAAAATAACCTAATCTGTGAAAACGCTGTTGCTTGGGCGAAGTATCCGTCACGTCAAAAACGAGACGGAAAATGGGCCGTATAACTCTCGCAAAGCCTTCTGGGACTGTTACTGGAGACAGGAAAATTAAATAGTGCGTGATTGATATATTAAAATTCTGATATGACTCCGAGGCTTTCTGGTCATTTTTCTACATTTGGTTTGGTTTTCTTTGTGTCCAAGTCTCTTTGGAAAATTGCGAGACAATAGAGTCGTGAATTAGCAATTTTGAACCTTAAGCCTCCGTTTAATGTTAAAAAATATCGAAGGTGGGCAATTAGCCAATAGCTGACCGGCGCGTCCCAGAAGTAACGATCCCAGATGTCTTTGCGAAAGACAACTTGGCCTAGTTTCCTTCTCGGCTTTTTTAAAGTACCAATGGGAGCTGCACGATTCGGGGGGTATGGGCTCCTACCCAAGTACACCTGTATTTTCTTTTCTTTAGAAGAAGATAATGACCTAGAATCAAAAGATGAGATCGACAGCGACAGCACTGACTTAACAGACGATGATTCAGATGAAGCTACAGATACAGCCGTTGATACAGATGATGCAGACACCGAGGATTCTGGTAAGAAAATATTCAGAATGCACCGTGTGATTCTTTTACTTCCCTTTCGCCCCATATAGGGAATTACAAGACAGTCTACTTCTTGGATTCCGGATTCCAAGCCGTGGATTCCGGATTCCAGCCAAGTACAGATCTTTGTCAGCGGAACTTGGATTCCATTCGTTACTGGAATTCCGGATTCCTAAAGCAGCATTCTGGAGCCCAAAGCCTTGCATTCCGGATTTCACAAGCAAAAATTTCCAAGATTCGGGAATCCAGATTCCAGTACATGGAGCGATCAGTTTTCTTTCACTGAATCACGGAGAACCTCTCAACTTTTGGAAAAACATTTTTCCATTTCCCTTTTAGGCTGCTGAATGCTTTTGCTAAGTTGATTTGTTAATTTTTTGCTCTCTTTTATTGCAGGGAGTAATATAGAGGCTACGAAGAGAGGAAAGCTTGCCAAAGATTACTACTTCGAAGGTATGTAAACTGAACAAAAAATTAGATTTATAGAAAATCTGCTCGGGACAAATATAATACAAAAAAGTGCAAGGTAGGAGGAAACCAGGGATATATGGTAAATCGATTTGGTAAATACCGCATTTTCCTCTAATTTAGAACTTCGAGTTAACCAACAAGCTTTTAAGGTGGCTCATTATGTCACAGTAGCATTTTCACCATTTCTATTTTGATCGATCAACTCTTTCAATTGATGCTACAGTAATAGCAGCAAATAAATGCAGTTTCTGGTGAATACATCAGCACCATTTTTATATAAAAAGTTACTATAGCAACGAAGTAGCCTTTTTATCTTGCCCCTTCATCTTAGCGTTAAGTACTTAAAAGGAAGTTTGTCCCTCCACTTTTTTCTCACAGAATTGAAACCAGCATGTCGAGGTTTAGTAGTTTAATTTCACCACACGCTGTTTAAACTTGATCTAGTTAAGTGTTTATTTCATTCGAGGCGTGCTGACATTGCTCCACCGAGGCCCACGTGTTCATCGTCTTCATCCGATTGCGAGCCATTTTCTCTCACCCTTTGTCGGATTCTTGCCCGCTTTGTCCTTTCCCATTTTTTGTTATATCAGTTTATAGGCTTCCATGACAGGTACGTTAAAAAACGTTTAGAACAGCATGTTTGGTGGAGCTCGCAGAACCTTGTCCTACCTGTACGAGGCTCGCTGTAACTGTTCATAATAAGAGGATTTCTATGGATTGGGTCCACAGCCCCTTACATTTTCGAACAATTTTAATAATCAGATGAAGCTGCATCCGGAAGTGGAGGCGAAAGCGGAAGTGGAGAAGAAGCAGCAAAACCACCACCTGGTAAGTCGCTTAGATTGTTCTCCAGTTGCCATGCAGTCAGCCTGCGATCAAGCTCTCAATCAGGAGACGTTGTAAAAAGTCACTCCTCAGTGGCACGCAAAGGGGATTCGAGAACAAGGGTCGGGGGATAGAGTCCTTTGCTCAGTCCTGTCTTGTCTTGTACAGTCTTGTCTCGTCGCTTCGCTCGCCACTAAAATAATGATATTACAATAAATATTTTGGTTGTAGAGCGTAAGGCTTTGAGGGCAGCGCATGTTAAAAAAAAACGTCCGTCAAACCACAATGGCTGATGACAAACTATTCCTTGAATGGAAAAAAATTGCGTTGTAGCTATCATATACCACGCCGCCAAGACTGATGCCGAACTGATTTCTTGTTGTAGTAGTGACAAAAGAAAGTGAATTTTAAAGAAGACGTTTCACTTAATATTCAAATTTCGAGAAATAAATTTTGCTATTTAGTGATTTTTATGCATTTTATTTATTTATTCATGATTTTCTCGTTTCTTATTCAGCTGAGCCTCTGTGTAAGCCACCTTGTGTCCTTCGGCCAGGCCCGGAGCACTGGGTACCACGTCCTCGATACGAACCTGGCCCTGCCATCCCCCCTCCCCCTCTTGAGCCACCCCCACCCCCTCCTCCCTGCCCTCCGATGTGCATGCAAACATGCGCTCCTACATGTGATCCAAGCTGCTGCCAAGCTCCAATGGCCTTACCACCTCCTCCACCGGTTCAAGCTTGCCAACCGTCATGTGCACCAACCTGCTGCCCACCACCACCACCCCCACCAGTTCAAACTTGTCAACCATCATGTGCACCCACTTGTTGTCCAGAACCACCACCTCCTCCCCCTCCGCCTCCACCTCCGCCTCCTCCCCCTCCCCCACCGCCGATGATTTGTCCTCCTACGTGTGCCCCTCCAACGTGCGCTCAGAACTGCCCTCCGATTTGCTGCAAGCGAGGAGATTAGATGAAAGTTTAAGAATTCCATCAATTAAACAAGCAAGCAGGTCACGATGAAAGATATGGAGCAACATGAAGCAAAAATTGAATTCTTTTTATCTCATTTAATGGTCTGCAAAAGGACATTTCTGTACATACGGTATAAACACCTATTGCTTGGTATCCGAGATGGTATTCCAACGATGTAATTATTACATTGTTTATTTCAATAAAGTGCTGTAGGTTACTGAATTTTGTGGTCTTAAAAAAGATAGAACCTCACAACCCTTAGTACACCATAGGGTAATGCCCCGGGCGGTTACTTGAGTTAGTTTTTGCTGAGTATGTGCCGCTGGTCTCTCAGAACCCCTACACTATCATAGTCTATTGTGTGGCCATATTATAGACCTCATCCTAGTCACTTTGGGAAAAAAGTAATTTCACAATCCCAACTTAGTCACTTTCTGTTTATACATCTACCTTACAAAGGCTTTTAACTGGGTCATCCTGAAATGAGCTAACACATTTGTTAAACTTCATGTTAATGAGGTGTAAATCTTTCTATTTTTAAATCCCAACATACCTGAATTTTCTTACCCCCAAAATCCTGAAAATGTGCGACCACATTCTAGTAAGTCTTATAAAAATGCAACCCCATAATAGTCAATCCAGTCGTGAAAATGCGACCCCATCCAGCGGCACATATTCATTAGCCTACTACTAGGAAGTCCCTTCCCATAGGGTAATGCCCTTGGCCGGGCTATTTAACTGAAAATGGTTCATTTCTGCCATCTAACACTGCTTGCCGTACTTGATCCTCACAAGCTGAGGGAAAAACCTTGAGGATAAGTTGGATGAATCCAACTAAAAACTTTAAATGTATAGTCGATTAATAATGTCATACTAGTGTTGTAACCTCTGTAAACCCCTATACAAATCAACTGGGTTTAGAACTAATTTTTGATACAAACGCCTGCTCACCTTATTTTAGTATTAATTTTAAACTAACGTTTTAAACAGCTCTGTGATGATTTTTTCATTGGACCATTTCACAATTGCGTCTGATCTGTATGGGTGTTTATAATCTGTACGTCGTATTTAATCTAGTATATAAACTTTACATTGTTAATAATCTTACGCATGATATTCACTTGGACCTGTAGTTCCGATATTTCCGACACTGAGATCGCTCCTAAGGTAAGGTATTTTCTCGTGTGCTGCTGTTGTTAGGTTATGGACTTTCAATCGCCTCCCTTTCAATATAAACATAACAATGAGGACAATTTGCATATAAATATTTAGACATCTAGATATCCTGGATTTTAAAATTGTTTATCCCGTCATTGCCCAGGCGGAAAGTATTCTTGTAGCAGAAGGCGTTTTATAAGTTTTTGTAAATATGATGGGACGTGGCTTTGCAAGATAGCTGTGACGTCAATAAACATGTTCGCCGTCCAAATTTATGGAAACTTAAGATTCATTGAAATAGTGTTGAATTTTGCAATCCCGTGGGTTAAGTTATCTTACAATCGTAATTTAATTTGCTGCCTTACCTATAAACATGCTAGACATTTTTTTAGGAAAATAAAACGAAAGACGTCATTTTCCCCATGTCAGTTACGACGTCATATCATAATCATCATAATCATCATATATCATAAGCGTCATATCATATCTAAGGCAGAAAATGAACAGCCACAAAAATGAAGAGATTCTGGCTTAACATCACTCGTCTTGTAAACATCTAGCCTGCACCACAGACGAAACCAAACTTTGGGTTATGTCCGTCTGCGAAACAGCGCCGAAATTCTTGTTCTAGGTCCTCACCTGTGTACCAGGATTTGAGTATGCACCATGATTGGCCTGTTAAAAAGGCCATTGTTGATTTGCCAATCAGGTTGAGAGGAAATTCGAAACGCTTCCGGTAATTGGTTGAGTCCCTTGGGGGCCGAGAATAAGTATTTCGGCGCTGTTTCGCAGACGTTACTAACAGGAGTCAGATCACGTCTACGACGCAGGCTAGCAAACATCTAACAACATCGTTTGTGAGTGTTGAACACCCGATTCCACTTCCTTGAATCAGTCTGAGTTAAGCTGTCAAAGGCCGGGTTTGAGCGACAGTTTGTTCAAATCAATGGCCCTGAAAGCCCTGAAGTTGTACCAGTCTTTGCGAGTGTTTGGATAAGTTTTTATTACCCTCGTCTCAGATTCTACAGTTTTTATTTTCGTTCAGCGTTTCTTCGCCAAAAGAAACGTAGTTTGGAAAATGAAAATGCCTTTTCTTGTCTCGGTCTCATATATTGGCCTCTTGAACATCAGCTGCACAGAGTTCTAAGAGTTCTGATTTTCTTCAGTGTGTCTACCATTTTGTTATTCTACATTTTTCAATTGAGTAAACAAGGCTAATTAGGATAGTAACAACACAGTAATCTCTTAACTTCTGTTTAATAAATTTAGATGGACGGCCATAAACAGCTGCATATCAAGTACAAATTTAAACCGAACTGATTCCTCATCTTCATTCTGCCGGAATCCTTCCCGAAGCTCTTTGAAAGTCGTTTTAGATAGAAGAAACTAAGTGTCTCTTACGGGGGAGACTGTACGTCTACTGAACATCGCGTTCTTGCTTCTGTAGCTGCAGGATTCAGAAGCGTCGGATTACTTCTACTGCTTCTTTCGGCCGCGGCCGACGGAGGTGACTTTGGCAAGCTTTTAACATGCATAACATTCCAAACGTTGTTGGCGGTGTGCTCCACTCTTTTGCACTACGTCTTTGTCCTTTGAACAGAAACAGCTTCTTCCCACTAGCAACAGATGTTCATGAATTATTATTCTCACCCGTTTGAACTATCTTTCGCGGTTTTGGATTGTATTAAGCTTCAAATTTAAAGATAAAACAAGAATTTTACTAAGGGTTATTGCAAATTTTCCTCTCTGTTAAAAGTTGCTCCAGACGACTTTTGGGTCTTGGAGGTACAAGTTCAAATCAAATGAAGGTTATGTGAGCAGAAACTATTATTGGGACACATTCTTTTTGGCAAACAAACCTCTCCTTGCTCCGATTACAGCCAGGTGAGCACACAAGAATTAATCTTCTATAGTAAAAACTTAGATTCTGAATCGGATTACGCTCAAAAGTTAATTTTCGAACAACTTCTTTGTCTTCTCTTTGATCGTCAGTGAACAAAAATTGACAAGTTAGCTGCAATTTGTAGCTATTTTGTTATCAAACATTTATGTAAACAGATAAACAACCCGCCACTTTCTGTGATAAACTATTCAAGTAACCTTTAGGATTCAACTCAACAATCACCGTTTTAAAAGAAATGTCGTAATGCATTTCAAAATCAATGATGCGTGACGTTGTTTCACTGCAAGCTTAGCTGTACGAGGAAACGAAAAAAATAACTGGTAAGTTTGGGGGATTTTTGTTTTATATTCTAAAAGAGTATCTGAGGCGTGATTTTTGATTTTCATTTCTTTTTCGTCTCTTGACACCACAAAGGAGTGCTAGTGACCATATTTGGTACCTGTAAATTTCTCACTTGTAAGGTGAACTTAGCGCTTTTTTTTTGTTCGCTTCAGATGTTCTGAAAGATCGACAAGATGACCCGGGTTTGGCTTGCTTCAGCGATTTTGCTGTGCTTTGCGGTCACGCTTCTGAAGTCTGAAAAGTTAAACAATCGTGAATCAGGTACGCGAAATAAGTAATTTATTAACCGTGAAACAAGTTATTCCATGCCATAAACTTCACCCTAAAATATTCACTTTTTAGTCCAATTATTTCATAATGTCATTGCTATCGAGATTTTGGCCATTTCTCTAAGGAACTATTTTAAATACAAAAATATATTGAGCATAACTAAGAAAAAAATTGTCAACTTTCAAGGTAGTGCTAAAAGTAAAAAATACAATAATTTAGTGACTTGGGATGTGTCCCAGAATAGATCTCTAAAAAAGTGGCGAACACAAAGTCCTTAACTGGAAAAAACGCAGTCTCGTTGACGGGAAACAATCATGACAGAATCCTTGATATTTGTTAGTTGTCCTATCTATCTTACAGTAGTTTGTAGTTTAATGATAAGAGCTCACACTTACCGGACCTTGGGGCAGGTTAAGGATCTGGCAAATGTTAGCAATCAATAGCACTGACACCTGTTGGACGTAAAGATCGAGATCAAGAAGCCAGTATCCAAAGCGACAAGAGCGTTGTTGATTGTCTGGGTAGTGATCGTATATATTTACTGAGTGGTATAGTGGTTTTCAGTGATTCATTTATACGGGACCTTAAGTTTGGATTCGGGGTACATTTGAGTGCAAGTATTCAAACCAAGTTTGTGTTCTTTATAGATAATTATTCGTGGATTAATTTTACTTCTTGAGCCGGTGAAAAACAGGAGAGTGCGAGAGATTCTCTCGGACGAGGCAACGCATTTAAAAAAACGAAAGAAGCCCTTCATAGTTTCTTGTCCCTGGTTGTTCATTAACTGTTGACAGCTGTGTTGAATAACTTTAATTTATAACTATCCAGCGGATGTTTACCACTAATTATAAGGGCCTGTTTACAAGGAGGTGTGGAACCCCAGGTAGGTCAGGTCACCCGCTTAGGTGGGATAAGAGGGCCCTAAGTAGAGATTAATCCGGCAAATACTAATATTCACCCTTTTGAACAAATGAAGCCTACAAGTACCTAAAGCCAAAAATAAATAACACGGTCGTATTAAAGTGAATCTGGCGGTTAGCATTTACTTAAATGGTCACTGTATTTTGTCGTTAATGTTTCCTGATCTTTGCGTCCAATTCGTCTACTTCACATAATATTTTGTTCAGTTTCTTTTCAAAACACATCGCAACAAATCGTGTTACATGATTTACAACACAAGGCCAAGTATCTAGGGGTAGAAACTGTTTGAATTACAGTAAATCCTCTATTAAGCGCCCCCCGGCCCCCCCTCTCAAATAAGTCCCCCATTTTCAGGGGAAGAATTGAAAGTTAATAAGCCCTCCTTTTTTGGCTGAGATTATAATACATTACCACATGAAGCAGTTTGTACGAAAAACAATTAAAATAAGCTACGTTTCTAAATTTTTCTAAATACGATTGCTAAAAGGGGAGAAAAGACAATCAGGAAAGAACAAATCTTGTATAAATAACAGTCACCTAAGTATGATACAAAACTGAATTAAACTCTGGAAGTTTTATCCAACTGACGTCATCTTGAAAATGGCCTGTTGAAAACCGCTTTAGGTGGCTGGACTAGATTTTTTAGGGAGTATAACTCCCCGCTTTGAACGTTTACTGCGTCAGTATTAACAAAGATAGCGCAAAAACGTTACCACAGCTGCACTATGTAAAGACGAAAATTTGTTATGATCCATGTTTTATTGACATCGAGTTACCATGGCAACATAATGACGCCATTACGTTTTTCACTTGCCTTTGTATTTCTTGGTTCTAGTAGTTTTTTTTCAGAAATCGCTTGTACCTCCCTTAGTTGGCTCGGTTGTAGGAAAGTTTGAACAAATTATATGAGAGAGTTTTGGAAATTAAAAACAACTGTAAGCAGATACAGCCGGTCAGCGCGGAAAATCGTAAGCGAAGAAGTTACACGTGAACTTGCTTACCTGGTGACTGCTTCAAAGGGTCGTGTTGCCATGATAGCAAAATTTCTGGATCTCAACAGTGTTCCGGCAATTATGGCAAAAAAAAAAAACGAAAAAATTTACATCCATCATTCGACAACTCAAAAGGCCGCCTCTGTCAAGGAAAATTGTTTAGAATCAGAAATTTGCTACCATGGTAACGTGACGTCACATTTCTCCTCTCTATTGTGCATCAATCAACAAAGCGGAGAAACACTTTGGGCACTTTTAAATTTGTAAGCGCTATTTCATTTACTCAGGAAAGTTCAGCAGGAGTGTGCCAGCTCTGCAGCAAATTTCTCGACTGGAAGATGCAAGAAGCCACATCGCAAAACCAGAAAAGGAGGAAGACGGAACTAAAGACGACAAGACTGATGACAAAAAGATGGAACAAAAAGCTATCAAAGATAATAAATCTGATTCTCAAAAGGATGGAAAGAAACAGAGCCGTAAGGAACAAGAAATAATGAAAAAGATTGAGAAAAATACCAACGAAGACGACAAATCTAATAACCAAAAGAATGAAAAGAAGCAGGACGATGAAAAGAAACACAGCCGTAAAGAGCAAGAAATAATAAAAAAGATAGAGGATGATGTGAAACAAATAACAGAAGACAAAACGAAGAAAGAAGAGGATAAAAAGCAAGGAGATGAAAAGAAGATTGAGGACGCTATAAGAAAGGAAGACGAAAAGCAGAAAGAGAAGCTTAAGGGTGATACATAGTTAATGGCAATGACATAGTTAATGACATATTTAATTAGCCAGTAATTAAGCAGAGCTAGTCGGCTATCGTAGGGGCGGATCCAGGAATTTTTTATTTTGGTTGGGGAGGGGCGGGGTCCGAACTTTGGTTCAGAAAGGACTGTTGAACTTTTCTCCTGGCAAAATAACTTCTCACAGAGACAACCACGAATTTCTCAGTTCGTGAATGCCGGTCGCCGCTGCTGTTGGTCCGGAGCCCCAGATCCTCCCCCTGGATCCGCCACTGAATCCAGTTAGCCATTCATTTATTCATTTATTCATCTATTCATTCCTTCATTCAATTAAATCTTTAAGTCCCAAGAATGACCAACAACGATTTTCTCCTAAAGATATAAATGCATAACGAAGAAAAAAGATTATGAAGATTACTAGAATGGTCAGCTAAAGGAAAATCCTTTGATCTTTTACAGAATTCTCTGTACTAATTCTTCAAGGAAATGTATGAAGATGAGTCTGGTGAATTTGTATGCGTTATTGATTATCCGGCCTTCGAACAACTGGGCCCAGATTTTAGTGTTAGTGAAATTTATCATTCTAGAGGATCTATCACTAGCTGGCATTAAAACAACCTTATCAGCTCATGTAATTGAGTGGGTTCATGACTGACAACTACTGGTGGCAGTTACTGACGATTAGCGGTAACCTGATGTCAAATTTTAAGATTATTCGAAAGCATTTTCTGATCTCGGATAACTTTTCACAATTCTTTGAAGGTCTTCCAATCATTATATTATTATAGACAAATATAATTAAACCCGTGACCGGGTCAGGGTTAGCTGATTGTTTTCTTTTATTCTTTCAGCCGATCCACCACAGAAAAATACTCGCAAGATTCATAAAGACGCTTCCAAACCGAACCTTAAAACACACCAAGACAAGCCAGCACCTGCTCCAGCTAGACGCCCTGCTCAGGTCCAGAGACCCGCTGTCGCACCTCGTCCCCCGTATCCAGGGTACCAGCATGCTCAGAGGTACCAGCCATATTATCAGCACCCGTACAACACCGCCCAAGCTGGAATGCCACCCATGTCCCCTATGGGCGGAGCATGTCTACAACAATGTTGGAAGAAGTGCACACCAATATGTATCCAACACAGATGTTGTCTGCCAGGCATGAGTAATCCAGGGATGCCACTTCCTCCTCCTCCTCCTCCCGTGTACCCACCACCACCTCCGATTCCTCCCCTCCCCCTCCTCCAATGGTATTTTATCCCCTCCACCACCACCCCCCATGCCTATTTCCTACCCTCAGATGCAGACGTGCCAACCATCGTGTGCTCCAGCCTGCTGTATGTCTGCCCCGGCCCCGGCTGTTCCTGCTCCTGCTCCTGCCCCACAACCTAAACCAGCACCTCCTAGGCCCGTTCCACCCCGGCCCAGTCCTGCTTGCAACCCTGCTTGCGCTCCACAGTGCTGCACGCCCATGTCTTCTTCATATCCTGCGCCTTATCCGGCACCTTATCCAATGCCATATCCTGCCCCTCAAGCGCCAAGTTACATGACAATCCCATCCTACAGTCAGAATTTATGTGGCGGATACTCTGGATATCCCGGATACCCCTGCGGGACTGGCAGCCCTGCAACTACCGCCAAACCCATTGCAACGAAGCCAAAGAAAGCCTGTGCTCCAATGTGCCTCAAGTTCTGTCTGACAGTCTGCCCTCAGGAATGCTGCAGTGCTAACATAACAGGGGTGCAAGTAGTCAAACCATCTGCAATAACCTCTGGTGCAGTAGCCACTCCAACTCCCTCGTCCTGTCCTGCAAACTGTGCAAAAGTATGCGCAACACCATGTCCTCAGGTAAGGATGAATTATTGAGACTTTAAGCCCCATTTTCCAAATAGAATATAACAGAATAGAAAACTTTATTAATGTGTCGGAGCCGTATAGCTTGGGAATAACCCCATACTAATTTGGGGACACAAATTCTCCAGATTGATCTCCGTGACATTTCCTGGGAGACGTTTTTTGAGAGAACTGATAAACGATCAAGGCATTTCCCCTTATGTGATCATTCTATTAATCATAACTATAACAAAATTCTCAAATCTGATTGGTTCTCAACTGCCCTGATTTCAGCCTTAATAGGACAGTTTAATAGGACAGTACGCGTCATGCCTAAGTAATTGGACAGTACGCGCCATCAAGCGCGCGCTTAAATGGCTTTTTCTTTTTCATTGCTAGCGGAAATATCTTAGAATTTCTTGTGTTTTGATTTTAAAAGAGCCCTATATATCACAAATTTTGTTAAAGTTATGATTAATTGGTAACAGAACTTCGTGTCGTTCAATTCGGTCTGTAATTATACTCCATACTCCTGATTAAACAAATCAGACTCCCGCTACGCGGTCGTCCGATTTTGTTAATCACTCGAATGATTACAGACCGAATTGGACTCCACTCAGTCCTGTTACCATTACTAATTGACCACTCCAGAAAATACCATAACATACCATAATGCTGGTCACGTAAAGGGTTAAACAAATCGGTCAGTAGCAGGTGGGAATACACGGGCAGGCCGTACCGGTCAATCTAAAAAATAAGATAGGCTTTTTAAAGAGTTTCTTCAACACTTGTCAATGTTGTGCATACTATTTAACCCTTTACGTCTCAAGAGCAAAAGACCGAAATAATCTTCTCCCAAAGATAATGTAATGACAGTGACATCGTGGAAAGACATTTAAAACGGCTCCTAAGGCTGCATCTACCCACTTCTCCCTGTCACACCATTCTTAATTATAAGTTCACTCGGTTGTAAGCCGCAAGCTAGTCTAAACGTTTTGTGTGAAGCAGAGAAAATGAGAGACATCTGCACACTTAACAGTATACTAATCAAGTTTCATCAGGAAATTTTAAGTAAAACCGGCTTTCCTAACTCAAAACGATTTTTACTTTTTGATAGAGTTGTTGTACATCTGGTACTCAGTCTCCCGTCACAAAACCTTCAGTGGCCCCTACGCCAACAAAAACCTCAGGAACGCGTGAGTACCATCCATGCTCTTATATTAAGCAGTGGTGGATCCAGGGGAGGGGACCGGGGGTCCGCCCCCCCCCCCCTTATTGTTAGACCAAACTGAGGCCGAAGGGCCGAAAAAAAGGGTCTGGAGGACCAGGCCCCCTTCCCCCCTCCCTATCTCAAGTTCTGGAATCGGCAGTGTTTAGGATATGTTAAACAGGGGAATATTTTGTGATTGGTCTACTTCACACCCTCGATTTTCTCATTACTTGTTTCGTGTATTGTAAGCCGGTGGAGATTGATTGATCCTGGGTTAAACCTTTCTTGTAATCCGTTCTATGTAAAAAAAAGTTTATTGTATGTGAACGTCAACCAACTTTTATCATTTTAATTTGAATTAGTAAAGCTTACTGACAACGTTCTTTAAAAAGGACACGGTCCCTCCTAGAGAAGGGCCTGCCTTGTATAGAGACCAGAAAATGTAGATAGGAAGCCACTAACTCCAAACTGTAACGGTAAAGAAAGTTTGTATCTATCGATGTTTCTAGATAACTGACCACCTACCCCTCCCCTAAGTCACAGTTTTGCCCTTAGTGAGAATTAAGTGTTAGTGATGACTTAGGGGAGTGGTAGGTAGTCACTTACCCAGATATTTCATCTGCTCCAAATGTTTTCTTTTTCATAGCTAAACCAACGCCAAAACCGACAACACCAGCGCCAGTGACTTGCCAGTCACCCATATGTTCAAGTCCTCAGACGTGTCAACAAACATGTCCCAAACCTGTATGTTGTCAACGATTTAACGACATGGTAGATGGCTGTCTGCCAATCTGTTTTAAGAAATGCGCACAAGTGTGTCCTAGGCGTTGCTGTGGTCCTCATCCGCCATTGGTTAAGCGCATTGGACAACGCATTGGACAACGCATTGGACAACGCATTGGACAACAGCCAAAGTTGAATGACATTTCGTTAAGTGGGTGTCCGAAGATTTGCGCTGATATCTGTGCTCTGGAGTGTCCTCATAGGTGTTGTGGCCCGGGTTCCCTGAAAAGGTCCTTCATACCAAGAAGGACGCCTCAGCTAGCTTACATGAAGAATAACTATGCCTATGCAGCAAAACGGTTTCAGGTGCCTTTATCACGTTACAGTAAGCCACGTGGATTTAGCTTGAAGAAAAAACGGCACGTAATGCACTAATAAGCACTTTTCAATACTCTTGGGTGGTCTTCGCTAATTATCTGGGGTACTCGTAAGTACTTCGACGACAAAAAAACTTGAGAAGCAATGAGATTTGCTTAGGCAAGTATCACTTTTGGATAACGCCGGCGGATTTCAGTTAAATACCACTTCTTGCTGCCGATACCAACTGGTGATCAACACATTGCCAACCTAAACGTATTACTTTTGTACTGTCTTAGTTGACATCGCCGTCGACTTTGCTTAAGGTCGGTAATGGCCTATACGGGGAGGCTCCGCCCGAAAGGGGTATCTATTTTAGGCTTCAAACATATGAAAGGGCAGGGATTAATAGTTGAAGCATATTAAAGGGTAAAGAAATCTGTCATTTCGGTCTCTAAAAATGACCAAAGGGGCTTACAGATGCATTTTTGGCCATGTGATTTACCTATATGTTAAAGAAAGTGCATTTACAGCAGTTTGAAGGGATGCAAAGTTCTAAACTAGGAGAGCGAAAGCAGTACCGTTTGTGAAAAGAGGGTATATGAAAGGGGTATCTTTTTTGTCATAAATAATAAATAAAAGGATAAGGGGCTGCACTTCGTGGCGGATCCTCCCCTGAAATTTTCTTAAACACGCCCCGGTAAAAAAGTATATTATGCTATGCATATTATAGTATATACTAACACAAATTCTGCAAATTGCAGCGGGAGTAGGACCAAGGAAGCACGTAATTTATCCTACCAATAATAAATACTAGTTTGTTATCATACAATGTCGCATGTGTGCATAATACATTCATCTAGTTTTAATGTTTGTAGAAAGAAAGTGTTGGTGCATTTTAACCCTTGTAAGCTTGTAAATACTACTGAAAAGCTATGACACAAATTAAGACTGATTGTAATATTGACTAACGTTGTAGCATGAATCAGAAAATAGAATGAAATAAATTATCAACTTAAACATGCTTGAACCTGTGCCTTTCGTAGCCTTGGTCATAGAACACGTGCTAGGGTTAGCCAGGTTTGCAAAGTTTACCGAGGAGCCTGGGGTTATACAGGCTTTCTAAAAGGGTCCTGAAGGGACTGGCATTTAACCACTGGGAAAGGGATTAATAAATTTGCAAATGGGAGCGGGATTTCTCTTATTTTAGAGGAGTGCGACCCTATGATTTCATATATCTGAAGAAACGATCCAGCTTTTTGAATTAGAGAAATACAATTCTGGAGAGGAGCCTAAATTCTAGTTAACAATTTCCACATGGTTCCGTAATTAAGTTCTGTCAGTTTCCTTGCTCAGCCGTTTTTTATGTCGATAAAATGACATGCAAGCTGGGAGGAAAAGATCAAACTGCTTTTAATTAATTACGTGTATCAATTTGCAAACAGCCACTGGGAATGAGATTTGGACCAAAACGAGGCAAGCTCTGTGATTTGGTACCCCCATCTCCCCCCGCCCTCTTCATTCTTCAGTACCGTCTTTTACAATGAGCCTGGTTTGAGACCAAAAGGTATCTTTTTACATCTTAGCCAATTGTTTCTAGTCTTTAAAGGTTGATCATTTTGCGCATTAAGAAAAGCTAAGAAAGCTTCATGCTTTAACCAGGATAACAAGGGTTTCTTCGTCCTTAAACAAGACGCTGTGGATCCCGCATTGGATTGTCAAGCAGTTTGCACGTGAAAGCTTTCGAATTTACCGCTTTTGTGGTTCGTGTATGAGAGAATACGACTTAATCTAATTAACCCAAGGGTTTTGAAAATAGAACGCGGTTTGCACGTGAAGATGTTGGACTCTGCCCCTTTTACGGTTCAACCGTGAAAGAATGCAACTTGTTTACGAGGTCATTTTGCTCAGTAAGATTTCAGAAATCACCTCCTTTCCGAAAATTTGCAATTAAATTATGCATCATTCAATATTACCCTTAACTGTCTCATGCACGAGTTTGATTATTGTCAGTCTCTTGACAGTAAGCCAAACCATTCACACCGTGTGCTGCGAGGACCATTATTTTCCAAAGGGAAAATTTTAATTATTTAACAGTTTGTTTCACTCATTTTCGATTGTTTTTCCAAAAAGTTTATTTTCTTTTGCCGATTTGTTTGCCGTGCGCTATCTGTGGGTCGTATGTAACGAAGATAAACGCTGTGTTGTGACACAGCGCGCCGGCAGACATTCGCGTCGCTTGGCTTGTTTAATGGGCTTGTCTACGTTTGCACGTCTTGCGTGCCTATTGCAACTTTGAATCAAAACAAGCGAACTCGATTACCCTATTTGGACGACGCCCAAATAATTAGGAATCTCTCCACCTCTCCTTCTAACTTCCCTCTTCCCCAACACCCCTACCCCCTCCGTCCCGACACCCCCTTCCCCCAATAAAGTTTTCTCTCCAACGAAATGTTAGGTTTCAACTTTAATTTCTTAAAAAATAAGTAAAAAATGCATAATACCACTGGCATCGTTACACAGCTGTTGCTAGTTGCACGAAATGATTATCATGTCCTTAATATTAGTCTTTGCTTTAGGCGAGCTTCATCATGAGAAAACAGCCGAGATAACGCGACGCCACCACTGGCTTCTCGCGTGAAATAACGCCTGGCCCACAAACTCCATACTGATGACGTGTCACTAGCTAGATCTGGGTAGTGCCTCTGATTGGTCGTACCTCGTGGGAAATTTTCTTCAACCAATCAAAATCACTACCCAGATCTGGGGTAGCGATACGTCATCATTATGGAATTTCTGCGCTCGTTTTTCAGACGTCATCCATGTCCATCGTTACCATCTGTTGCAACTGACGACAGGAAACAGTTTCGATGCCTCAATTTAGTCGAAAATAAGATAACTGGAACGTTATTTTCAATTGATTTGCACACCTGTTTTAGCTTTTTAAAAGATAACAAATAGCGTGATATTAGCCCTGTTTTCGATCTTTAATGAAAATGTCGTTTAAATAGGCAACGCCTTTGAACTTTGTCTGCAGCACTGCTTCCACTCTCGACAAGAGATAGTTTCTCAGGGGAATTACAGTTGATATCTTTGCCAAGGCACATGGATGGGTTGTCGACCGGTTTGTACCGAAAATATCTATGGTCACCCTCTTCTCTAAGCTCTTGTACAAACAGGAACTCCTCGGGTGTGGTGACACTACATCCTTGATACCTCTGTAAACAAAATTGATTATGTAAAACAGTAATATATAAAGTGTTCAAACAAATCGAAATGGAAATGTCATCTTTTCTGGGGAGGCTCCGCCCGAAAGGCTTGGGCCTTTTCCAGGCTTCAGGTATTTTTATTAATTTTTTTTCAGGTTCAGGTATATGATAGAGTAGGATCAGCTCTAGGATTTCACTTGTTGAAGTATATGAAAGGACAGGGAAATGTGTTATTTGGTCGGTAAAAAGACCCAAGGGCTACTAGATGAATTTTATGGCCGTGAGAAGTCGAGAATACGTTCTGGTTCTGTATTTTATTCACATTTTACGTCTCCAACAATTAATGAGTCCGCCCCAACCTTTTCCGTGGATGAACTTTCTAGCCACGCTAGTGTTGTCAATATTAAGACGAAGGCACCCAGAATTAATTTTTATTCTCATCCAGTTAGTATGGCCCGAGTTTCTGAAATCCTCTCTAATCTAAAAGTTCGGAAGCCTGCTGGTCCCGACGGAATACCACCCAAGCTGCTTAAAATTGCCGCTCCAGTCATAGGTGGACCTATGACTAAACTGTAGGCGAGTGGCCATGTCAATGGAAACTTAGTAACGTCACCCCTGTTCATAAGAAAGACGACGAAACATCTAAGACGAATTATCGCCCTATTAGTGTCTTATCAGTTATACCCAAGGTGTTTGAGAAACTACAATTTGATCAATTATACAGCATATTCACACCAGTCTTTTCGGATAATATGTCAGGGTTCCTGCGTGGGCATTCTTGCTGTTCCGCTTTATTAAAGCTAACTGATGATTGGCGCCAGGCTCTTGACAATAAAAAGGATGTGACGGTGATCGCTATTGACCTACCCAAAGCATTTGACTCGATTTGTCATAATTTATTACTAGCAAAACTGAAAGCTTACGGCGTTCAAGATTCAGCTATGAAACTGATTCAGTCATATCTATCAGGCCGCTTTCAACGAGTAAAATGTAACGGGAAGGTGTCAGACTGGCTGCCTCTTCGCTGTGGAGTACCGCAAGGAAGTCTTCCAGGTCCGCTTTTTTTCAATATCTTTGTGAATGATGTCAATTACTCAGCTGGATGTTCCTCCCTACGTCTGTATGCTGATGACACAACGCAATATATAGCCCATGAGAGCCCCTGCACACTAGAATCTACACTGAATCAAGATATAGAGAGATTAACCCTTTGGTTCACTGCGAATTACCTGCAAGTAAACGCTACTAAAACTCAGGCAATGACACTGGGGAAATCTCAGTACCCATATAATCTTTTTATTGGTGATAAGTCCATCGAAATTGACCCAACTCTCAATATTCTTGGCGTTACATTGGATCGAGATTTGTCTTTCAAGGCCCACGTGGCAATGATGCTGACAAAAACGTATGCTAAGATAGCCGCACTACGGAGGATTAAGCGCTTAGTTCCTTCGGACGTTATCATTTCCCTTTATAAAGCCTACGTGTTACCGCATTTAGAATACTGTTGCCCACTACTTCTGAGCATATCTAAAGTCTTGAAAAATAACATCGAACGTACCAATCATTATGCGATCAAGACAATACTGAGTTTAGGTAATTCGGCTACCTATGACTTTTGCCTAGCAATGGCTCATATGGACAAACTTGAGCAAAGACGTACCCTGCAATCGCTTATCTTATTTTTTAAATGTTTTAAACTAGATGGCCCTAATTATATTTCCAAATTTTTTACACCTCGGCTAACTAAATACAATCTACGAGACAGTGGATTAAATGTTGTGCAGCCTCCATATAACAGCCTTGTCATGCACAACTCTTATTTATACATGATTGCCCACATATGGAATCAATTACCAACTGTAACCGAATCCTCGAGCACTTTAGCGCAATTTCGTGCTCGCCTTAATAATGTCAATTTCACAGGGTGCCAATGTATGAACTGTATATAACTTTATCTATTTTTACATTTTTACATACTCTTGGGCTAGTTTATATACATATATAATTATACTGGTATAATTATATTTTTTAATATTTTAATCAGTTTATAATGATTTTTAGTCCGTTTTAAACTATTTTTAATAATACTTGTTCTTAGGTTTTTTTTAGTGTTTTTTTTTTTTTTCAGAAAATAGTTTCTTAAAAAAATTTTCCCAAAATTACGATGTTCTTAGGTTTTTCTTAATATTTGTATATACATAATTCACTTTTTACCCTGTTTTGTATTTTTTAGTTTGTCGAGCGTTTTTAACATGAGCCTCT